TAGGTCGGATACCCTTCATAGGGCAAAGAGCAAGGTCAGGAGATGCTTCTAATCGAATTTATCCCGCAGGTTCGGATATCCCTTGCCTTGTTGACTTGCCCAGCTTTCTGCCCTGCTTAATGTCGGCGTCCCGTCCCGATAAGCAAACCAACAACTGCAGCACAGGCCCTATTGAGTTGGTGTTAGGACCACAAGCGAGAGATGATAACCAGACAGATGGGACCGTCTATTACCGGATAGGCCATGCTTGGTGCCTCATCCCAACCCATTGGTGCCGGATATGAGATCAAGCTGAACCATGGTCTCTGACATTGAATATGGCAACACCTGGGAGGCTTGGCTCAAACGATAGGAGGTAGCAACGAAGCGCCCACCTGTGGTCAACACTGGTGCCCAGTATTGTGATAGAACCAGCCATAGCCCGCGGGCTTTCTGACTGGGTTCAAGTGAGCCCGGTAAACGACGATATTGCGGAGCATTGGAACAGGCACAGAAAACGTGATAAGGCTCGTGGTTTCGATTCGCAACCCTCAATCCTTCGGACTGATCATGCCGGACGTTATTTCGAAGTTATCTACTCTTCCAACACAACATACAGCTAAGCCCATCGCATACTAGGCTTATCAGAAGCGCCGAAGCTTGCCTGATCTGGATGAAGGCTACATGCTCTTGGATCCATGATTACGGTTGTGGAGATCGTGGTTACAGGGTGCAGTGCAGCAGATATGAACAGCAACATAACGACACCTATGGAAACATTGAGTGTTTAAGCGGCATTTATTAAGCCTGTCTACGGAGATAGTTTGACTGGTGCCAAGGAGTTAAATCATACATCTCGATAAATGCCAACCGATTGTCATCGTGAAAGAATGGTAGCGATGCAAAGGTTTGGAGATAATGAGAGCATATAACGGGGCCGACTGATGATTGACCGAGCCTCAACGGCCAAGTGGCTTGCTGTGGTATTGGGATGCCTTTGTTATATTGTATGCTTGCATGTGATGGAGATGCTTGACAAAGGTTTTATGTCTGCATCTCGACCGTCCAGCTCGGCCGATGGCTACGACAGACGTGTTTCAATGAACACCCAAAGCTGCCGGCATGTGTTTGAACGTCATTGAAACTTCTCCCAAAGTTTGCGCAAACTTATAGGTACTCCTCGAATACGAAGGTCATTACAAATTTTGGGAGGTTCGGCCATTAGTCCATGCCTAGGACAACAAGCGTTGCGTCCGGTTGAGTTTGAAAGACTTGTCCTAAAAACCAACACAAGTTGCTGGTACTGTATGATATTTCATCAATCATAATAAATGAGCAGTTTACATGACTAGTCGGATATACGGAACTCCAAAGCTTCTTGCTCTTGATCTAGATACGAGCTGCTAATGGTGACGGTTGCCAAGTCAACTCAACATTACTGGTTATTCTTGAATCCGGCAACAAATCACGATAGCCTTTTGCACACTTGAGTCCTTATCTTCGGATATTATGCTCGGGAAATGCCCATATTGACAGAGTGGGCCAAGCTATAAGCAACTGGCAAGCTGGTCCTTTGGTCCAGCCTCCCAGGGATCAAGCTGTATCAATCCAAGCAATTTGCCAATCAAAAGGACGCACGTTTGAAGCACAGGTTCTTTTCAGTAATAAAGGACTCATCTTTCAGGGTTCAATGGGAGAAAATTCTTTGCTCGGAGTAAAACGGATATGCCGAGGAATGACCTCGGAAGAAATCGTGTTGGCACCAAGTCTTTAGTGAGACTCCACATGGTTATCGAGAGCTTCTTTTCCATGGCGTCTGGGCGTCCTAGAAAAACGTCAGTCAGTCTCATGAGGGGCGTGGAGTTTAGGTTGAGCGCCAAAGCCGCTGGACCGAGGATAGCAAATGCAACTACCGGCATGACTGTGCTTTGTTTTAGTTTTTGTGGACTAAGACGCGTCGTTCTGGTTCAACACTGGGGTGTATACTGAGCTCTACATACGTGACGGCATCCCGAGGTGAGGCAAAACAACAGGCACCAGCCTCGCAGATCCGATCTCGGTGACTGATAAAATATCTTTATTTGGGGTCCCCAGATTTCTACACACGCCCTGTACTGCACTGTTCCCCAGAAACTGCTGATCAATGCGCTACGGTGTGGATGTAAGATACGGACCCTGGATGGCAATGACGATGGCTTCACCTTTATCAGGGAAGCGTCAACACCTGATCAAACGAACTTTTCTCCAAGAGGAAGTTCCGTGGGCTGAAGCCATTTCGGCGCGGCCCAAGACATCATCCTGGCTTTACCTGGAACATATGTGTCATTGTATTGTCAAGAAAACCCTAAGATGCTTGGTATGGGTCTTCTTAGCAGACCAGGGGCCATGGGCGAGGCTGACAGACTTACTACGTAGGGTAACCCGTCGAAATCAATCTAATCTGATGTCGTACTGGTATTAACAACGCTTAGCTTTTGTTTAATCCCACGACCGTGAGAGCTGGGAGAGTCCAACTGTCTTCATATCTAAGGTCCCAAGATGCAAAGCTTTAAAGTAGCTGAAATGACTGATGCTCGGGTGAACGAATACTGTTGATGTATTCTGTTCACATTACTTATATGACTGACAAGAGGAGAAAGGAACTGTTGATCTATACGGTACGCTTTTCTATGCAATTATCCAATATATTGTACAGCCGAAAGCTGTGTGTCTGAGCAGACATATACAGAAGGGTCACGTACAGCCAGTCTGGACAAAAGTGTATGACCTCGTTACTGCTATTTAGCTGTCCACATGAGGAACAGTGATGACCAGAAGTTAAATCAAGATAACTACTCAATCTTTAGATGAATAGTAGGCAATATGACCTTGCGCGAGCATGATGCGTTGCCGTCTTTGCGTGCTCGATCTCATATTTCACACGGAAGATGTGAGCATATGGACATAGCTGCTATATAGGCATCGTGGGTGAGACTCAATTCCGTCTTATCTTGAATGTACATGGATTCAAAGGTGCAATCAAGATAAGTGCTAAGAGAATGAGAAGCAAGGCAGAATATGTTCCTATTCACTTCAGTTCTCTTTGCCGTTGTTGAGCTATCGCCGGTGCTAGTAACAGTTCCCTCTGAATCGCACTGGTAACTCCAACACTTTTATCTCAATAGTTAAAATAAGTATGTATTAAGAACTTGAGTCTTCTTTGAATGAAACCTGAGAAACATCCGAGTTACTCGTGTGAGCTGAGTGCATTGCAAATCCTCAATGAATAACAGCTAGAGTAACAGAGCAGGCTCCAGTCTCTGAAATAACGATTGACACGCGAGGGAAACTTAAGGGATGGGAGAATGGCTTTGAAGCATCATACTGTCTTACTGTCATACCCGAGACTTGTGGCGATAAGTTTCTGGAAAGTATCACACTCCAGGCTTCGTTGTGGTGGTTCGTATGGCACCCCCGAGGACAGTAGGAAATGAGCAGTAAGAACACATATCAGAGCATATGCAGCAGAAATGTTACGACCTGGCCTATCTCACCAGTTTTTGTTAGAAGTATTGCACAATCTCTGCTTGTAAACCGTTAATTCGATTATTAGGTGTGAACCAAAAGTGTTATCAGCACAACATCACCATAGGCCAGTCTTGACAACAAGAGTCATATAGGCTGTTAATATCTCAATGAAGCTAAATTATGTGGCCTATGTTAATAGCATAATACGAAAGCATGACAATACATAGGTTATGGTAAAGACTAGAGGGATAGATGACAGCCAGCATAATGCCATACTGGATGATTAGAGCACTAAGTGCAGAACTATACTTTACTTAGGATGATACTATTGTGCAAGAGAGTTTAGAGAATGCTGTGAACCAGGGCTCGCAGACTTCGACTATTTCGCAGTCATCAAGTCGGTTTGATATACAACTTTGGTAGCTGCCTCAGCTCCCAAGAGAGTGCGACGAAAGCCGAGGCCGGAGGAATCTGCAAGTAACTCATGACTACCCAGTCATCGCTAGCCCCTGGTATTTAACACACACACACTAAAGTCTATCGTGTGTCTGTAAAGTTAGAGTTGAGAATGTGTAACTATTAGGTTTGTCTGCTTCAACCTTGTCTCAACAGATATATAAACTGCATCAATTCTTGCATCCCAGAAATCTATTCCCAGAACATTCATCCAAAACTCTCAACATCCAGATACACCATCCTCCTCTAAGTTAAACCTCATTTAATGTTACTATATTCAGGCCCTCGAAATAACCGCTTCCCTAGTGTCTTCAACATACGCTTCATCAACCAACGCCATGACTGAGCCCAAAGACAAGACCGAGTTCAAAGGCATGGCTAAGTTCAAAGGCTGTAGCTATACTGTCATCAGCTCTAAGCAGCTTAACAGAGCTCGTAGGTGGTATTACGTACAGTCGAGGATCTTGGGCATCCCAGATCGATGGGGACTTATTTCCACCGGTCCCCCTCCGCGCCAGGTATTCGAGGTTCAGGAAGCATCTAGACTGATGAGCATGTTTTGTTTGAGCAAAGAATCTATGGCAGTTGTGCTATACGAGACGCTCAAAGAAGGCGGTGGCTTCGAGTGGCCCTATGTGTGGATGTCCTTGTCGAACGAATTGATGGTTCTTTTAGCATTCTTGCTATTACTATTCAGAGGACCTCGCAACAACCCCAACTTCGACTGGGGGACTTGGGAAATGGATGATGAGCGACATAGGATGGGGTGGTTGACTGCAGTCATGAGTTTTCTGAAGTACCTTTAAAGGTTTGCTTTGGCAGCACCACTCAATTTTGTCGCCTTGGATGTCTTTATGAGACTTCCTAATTAGGAAACTATTGTATTTAGATGTTGACAGGGGTTCCCCAGATCAGATCAGCTGACGCCAAAAGCCGACCATGAACCTCGGCATCTTTTACTTTACGTTTAGATCCATATCAACATCAATACAACAACAGTCTAACCTTGATCTTGATTTTGATCTCGTTTTTTACTTTCCTGTGCAATAACATACAAGATGTCGACTTACGAAACTGCCCAAAACCAATTCATCACTGTAGATGGCATTAAATTCGCCTACCGACGCTTCGGCTCAAACAATGGCGTGCCTCTCACGCTGCTGATGCACTTCAGGTGAGTTTCCTGTCCATATTCACCGGCGAGAAAGAAACTGATTAAGAAGGGGAACGATGGATCATTGGGATCCAGCCCTCATAGATCCTATCGCCGCTAAAAGGCCTATCATCATGATTGACAACGCCGGCGTAGGTCGATCAGAAGGAGAGGTCCCAAAGCAATACTTCATGTGGGCACAGTACTACATACACGTCCTACGCGCCCTGGGAGTAAAACAAACTGATGTAATGGGTTTCTCAATGGGTGGTTGCGTCGCACAGCTTGTCGCTCTTAACGGCAAAGACCTTGTGCGCCGCCTGATTCTCTGTGGTACAATGCCCAGTAGTGGTGAAGGCACAGTCTCAGCACCCGATCTCACACCATTCAATCTTCTCCTAGCTGCCAAGACGGAGGAAGAGCAGAAGCATGCGTTTATGGTGAGTATGTTTGGCGTTTCGGAGAAGAGCAAAGCAGCCGGCGAAGAGGTATGGAAGCGAATCACAGGCGCGAGGCAAGACAGGACGGAGCATGTTGAGGTTGGAAACGCAAGACGCCAAGCGATTGCTTTTGCCAAGTTTATGGACCCGAAGCAAGCCAAGGATGCGAGTTATGATCGACTTGGGGAGTTGACTATACCTGTCTTGATTGCCAATGGTAAGTTGGACAAACAGCTTTGAGGAGAGGTTACTTTACTGACAAATGATAGGGAGTGATGACGTTCTGTTGCCGACAGAAAATAGTATTGTTATGTGGAGGAAACTGAAGAATGCTCAAGCGCAGTTGCATTTGTATCCTGATTCTGGACATGGGTTCCTTTATCAGTATGCGGATGAGTTTTCCAAGTTGATTAATGTGTTTTTGGGAGATGAGTCTAGAGTATCTAGTCGCCTATAGCATACTCCAAGAACGAGTCGTACTGTGCTGCATGCAATTGGAAAGATTGTATATGCATTAAACGCCTATCTAAGTACACCCTACAAACCAAACAAACCCACAAACTCCTTTTCCTCTATATATCCATTTCCAACTATTTACAAACCTAAGTCAAAGCCAGAGACACTCTATTTTTTCTTGCAGCTACACTTAGGGTCAAACACAACAGGACAATCACAGCAAACATCGTCCTTGGACCAAGTAATATGGGCACCCCAGTTATAAACCTGGTTAAGAGTGTTGTACTCAGAGTAAGCCTTCTTGATCTTGCCAGTTGTAGGGCTCAAAAAGACCATGTCGATGCCATTGCCACGACCGCGCTTGCTACCCTTGGGAACCTCAAAGTCACCCTTCCAGTAGAAGGTGAAGGTATTGCAGCCGTAAGCGATGGGCCCCTTGATAAAAGCACTAGGGTCGTTGGTCTTTTCGGTGTTGCCGGCGATGAGCTCCTTTAGGTTCTTGAAGACAGGAGGGAAGTTGTCGTTCTAACCATGTCAGAAACAGGTCAGGTCGAGTTAAGGGAGACGCTTACCTTTGCATATTTGTTGATCTTGCTGGAAGACGAAGTCCACCAAATACTCTGCGAATAGAACTTGACATCCTCCTGGAAGATAGTCCTCGCAAGCGCTCCACCATCGGTGATACCCGAAAAGGTAGAGACGTATTTGTTGACGATGGACTCAAGCTTTCCCTTTGAAATGCACTTTTTCGACGATGACTCAGTAGTTGCCTTTGTGTTGGTCTTTGTGTTTTTGTTGTTGTTGTTGTTTGTGTTGGAGGTGGAGCCAGAGCTGGAAGAAGTCTGCTTCTGACCTACGGGCTGAAACTGGTTCGTCTCCGGATGATCATAGTTTCCTCCATAAGCGTTGTATCCGGCCTTGGGGATGCCAGCAGCAGGAAGGAAGTTGTCGGCTCGACGGTGATGGATGCTTGTAGCTGAAGAGATGGCGCATGCCAGGATAGAAAGGGCGACAGAAGCCTTCATTTTGTAGAAGTAGCGTATATAACGTGTGAACGTGAGTGTGTATAAGTATATATGACTGCAGGTAAGAATTTCGTTTCAAAAGAGTGGATTTGATCTATAAAAGATCAAGAGAGGAAAGAAAAGAGTGCCGCTGGTGTTTAATGAGAGACTGGGTCAAACAAAGCCGCAAACGGGAGAGAAGGGGACGTTGCCATCTTATACTTTCCTCGATGGTTCATCATGGTTGTAACTAAAGTTCAATTTCTAATTGTAAGTTCGAACTATAGAGCTCTAGATGCGCTGTGCCTTTGATGGTGGGCGTGGCCACATTCCTGTTGTTCCTGGACTAAACTCGATGCAGCCGATGTGGAATTGGAATTGAAGGATAACAAAGATCGGGCATCGTAGACATAAACTGAGGAGTTTATGTGAAGGATAATGAATATTTGTCTCTGGATATGAGATTGATGTGAGAGCGGGTTGTCGTGATGAGTTTTGGGGTTATCTTGTCTCACTTACACGTGGTATCTGAGACTATTCCCACATCTTCAACGTCTAGGACATAAGTTCTCGGCAAAGCAAGGGTTGACTTGTGGCTTATTCTTGGCACATTGTTAGGCCAACCCGAGTCCCCGTCAAGGGACCAGACATCCGTACAGTAACAGTCAAGTTGGCCCAGTGACTTCGGAATGTCGCCATGCCCGACCCCAAGACATATCCGGCGTCTTCCATGTGGATCTTTCCATTTCTTCTAGCTTGAGATCTGGAGACTGAGCTGAGAATCGGGGCCAAGAGTTTCTCCAAGGTGGTGATGGTTGTGGAGAGAGAGTTATCTCAAATCTTTCTTGTTCCCACGTGTATGGCTGACGGGATGGAGTCATGTATTGGAGGGAGACTGGGAGAGGCTGATGACTTTGGGCAAATAGCCACGGCTTTGGCCGAGAACCCTTCTCTTTAACTTTACTTGAAGTTAAAGACATGATTCACGAGACATTAGGTTCTGATCCGGGTATACGACTCATGCACCTATTGAGCTACCGTATCTCAAGAGGCTGGAAATGGTACTCCTTCCCTTTCACCAACTCCCCAAACATCATCCCATGAACAAAAGCCTCGCCCACAAATGTAAACTGCCCTGTGTTGTTTGGACGAAGGACAAATGGCGTCCGGCCGCCTGCTAAAATCACTATACGATCCTCCACCCTGGTCTCCTTAGATAGCAGTCCTAGATATCCTCCTTCTGTCCTCGCCAAACATCGCTCCCTCAAAAACTCTTTGAAGCGAAGCAAATATCTAACCCCCAAAGACCGTCCACTGGTCCTATCATAAAGGCCTTTTTCACTACTCAGCACCTCTGATGCTGTCGGTAGTAGATCAGATGTGTCTGTCACTCTGAGGTCTTCTATGGCTTGGCAGAGTTTTGAGTGACGGTCACTTGAGCTACTTCGACGATGCTCAACCAGGCATTGGCGAAGAAGACCTTTGAAGAAAGCCTGGCTCGTGGGCGTCATGTTCCTAGGTCCTAGATGGGATACCAGAGTTCGCCAGAATGCTTCAATTCTGGTGTTTCCGGTTGGATAAGTTGATGGGAGTCGTGATATGATGCCCCACCATGCTTCCATTGTATGAGCGTTGACCAAGGGGTCTTGCCAATTCGGAGGAGGGGACTTTTCAATCTCGACGACAGTGTCGACGATTAGAGCATCCAGCTTAAGTATACAGGACAAGGACTCATATAAGACAAGCTGATGATGCCCTGCGGCTTTATAACGCTTGTGGTATATTCGTGGACGGTCTAGTCTTTGATTGAATGTCGGAACCCAAGAAGGAAGAGTGGTAGATATGTGTGGTTGAACAAAAGATAGTGACTCTAATGGTTCCAGATCGTCCATTGCTGAGCCATCCCATGTATGAACACTGTTGTCTCCTCCAGCCTGAAGAAGAACTCTACCTGCGTCAGTAAAAACATCAGGGATCGACTTGGAGTAATCCACCGATATGCCGTCGAGGGGTTTTGAGAGACTCAATAAGGCGAATATCTTATCTCGTGGATCAGAGACATAGAAATTCCAGGTGAGAATGATTAAAGCTGCGAGGCTCAATTGCTGTTTGTATTTGGCCTGTAAGGCGGGTTGCTTGAGGAATTTCTTTCGTGCTCTTATTCCTTCTATACAATCAGGCCTTGTCCGAATCCTGATGTCAAAGAGCGACAGAATCTCTGTTCCTGGTGAAGCCCGTTCGAACTTCATACGTGGCTTCCCTTGTGATAAGTATTCGTAAGCTTTTGCTTCTCCTAAATTCTCGAAGAGAAGAGTAAAGACTTCATCCCATGGGAATCGGAATGGGCCGCATACCAAGATGATATCCTTGGCGAGAGAAACTTCTTGTATGACCCATGTTCTAGAGAACCATGTACGGGTAAGTAATTCTCTCATGCCGTCCATGTCCCAGGGTGTTGTGCAACCTCGCCCTGAGATAAAGTGTAGATATTCTTGTGTGGGAAGCATCGCAGGTTGGAGTAGACATGAGAATGAATTGTAAAACGATTCTGTCTGCTCGTCTGCTTCTCCCAGCCACGCAACTACACATCTTGCTGAGCCGTAGATATGAGACATTATGGCCACTTGGCTATTGCGTTCTGATATATCATCCTGGTTGATACATATCGCATCGATCCAGAGCGGCACTTCGGCACCAGTTGTCTCTTCTACCGGTGAACTATTCCGACTGTTCCAATTTTGCAGAATCTCAGCTGTTTCTTGCCACTGATGTCTCTCCCGTTGCAAACAACAACTCAAAGGATTCCGTCCAGAACGATCAAGAATGTTCATATCCGCACCCTTGGAAAGAAGGACTCTCACGATCTCTGGGAATCCATTCTCTGCTGCGTAATGCAAAGCTGTCTCTCCAAAGCTATCCGAATAAGTATGATCAGCGCCTTGTTCAAGATACTCGATGACCCGTTTCAAGCTCCCTTTCTCAGCAGCTTTAATAAGACCCGTCTTATTGAATGGCTCCGATCGTCTATCAACATCGGCAAACCCTTGTTTCGGCTGTCGAAGTTGACACAGCGCTTCGTAAAGATTTCTTGTGATATAGAACAGGCGGCCATTGACAACGATCACATGTTTGTGTTGAGTGGAATATTCGTCGGGTGCTCCGCTGGGCACGAAGTTTGGGTTACCCCAGGTGTAGGATAGGGCATCGTAGGAAGGTAAATCATGGCGTTCTGTTGACTTGAGATGGAATTCAAGTGGGGGGATACTGTTGATAGAAGGGGTTTTATGGTTCTTGGGTCGTGTTACTGGATAGAGGAGGCGAATTGAGGTTGGTGATGGAAGGGCGTCGTATTCAAAAGTTTTGTATTCCAGAGGATAGTCCATCATGATGATGTTCGATAAAGTATTTGTGTCATATCATCCGAGATGACATTCCCAAGATCCTTTTCATGTTGCATAGTATCTTCTTTAAATTAATTCTACCAGTTCATCTGCATTACCACAAGCCATTTATAGCATATATGCAAGTCCAGGGATGAGCTGCAGCAGCTTACACTTGGCACTTTGTCACAGCAAATCAGTGTATTTTGGTGCACTCAGCCCTGCGGCATCCGGTAGGCGATGCAATTAATATTTCTCTCACTTGAATGTCGATCGCTCTACAAAACCCCAGTATTTGAGTAAGCCTCGCACTGCCTACTTGATTGAGTGACTAAACCATCAACGAGACGGCCTCCCGATCTCTTGTTCTTCCTAGTAGATAAATGCATTGGTATTATTCGAGAACACACTTGGCTAATAAAAAGACACATGTTCCTCCCAGGTCTAACCTTCAAAAGGTGTCTCGTATGGTCTCTCAGCCTGAGGTGTGATTCGAGCCAGATGTCTTCGCTGACCAGAGTGCCAGTCTAGAATAGCAGTATGTTGAACAGATCGATTATCCCAAACCACAACAGTTCCGGCCTGCCACTTGACACGAGCATGGAAGTCTGCACCCCAAGCAATGTGCTCAAACAAGAAGTTGAGGATCGCATCAGATTCTTCCTTCTTGAGTCCGACGATGCTTCGTGTAACTAAACTGTTAGCGTTGTGCTTAGGTAACTTTTAGTTAAGGTGACTTACACTGAGGGTTGACATAGAGTGACTTCTCCCCTGTAACAGGATGTGTTCGAACAATAGGATGCTCGTTAACAACAGGTTCCCTCCTCTTAACACTGCCCTTCTTGACACTGGCATTGATCTGTTCAATACCGGAATGAGTAGCCTTGAGCCCATGCAGAAGTTTCTGAAACGTAGGCGAAAGCCGGTTATACGCCTCAACGGTATTAGCAAAGAGGGTATCGCCACCAGTATCGGGGTTATCCAGCACGTAAAGGAACGTAGTTCCAGGCGGTTGTTGCTCATAAGTGACATCAGAATGCCATGCTACGGAGCTCACACGAGTCTTGAAAAAGTCGTCATATGATTTATCTCCCGCACTTCGATGAACGAGATGGATCTCCGGATGGCCTTCTGGTGAACCCGAGGTGGGATGGATGTGGTGACGACCGAAGTAACCTCCGAAGTTGAGAGCTTCTGAGATGGGCAGATCGGCAAAATCTTGGTTGCGGAAGGCCACGACTTTGCGCTCTGCTACGTAGCGAGCGAGTTCATCTTTGCCGGCGTTGGACAGGGAGCTTAGTTGGATACCTTCGATCTCAGTACCGATAGTCGGGGTGAGATGGGAAACTTTGGTTTCCGATTTTATGAGATTGGGGAAGCTTGGGTCTGCATCTTTGCCGTGGTCGTAGTGTTGGAAGGGTTCTAGGGGAGGATAGACTTGGTCTTTGTTCCAAGTTGGAAGATAGTTGGGATACTGAACAGTCAGTCAATGGATGATGACTAAGTGGTATAAGATGACTTACCTTGGCAGCTGCATGTCCGTCAATACCTTTCTCTTCAGCTTCTCGCTGATAGGTAACAGGGGAGAGCTCTTTATAAGCACCATCGACGTGGCCAGGGTAGAGTTTGACTTTCTGTGTTTCCGAGGCAAGTTGCGTCGCAGTCTCGACAGCTGAGGGGGCCATTTTGAAGTAGCTGTATACGGTCTTGAAGCTAGGTTCTATGTCCTGAACTATATGAATGGCAATTTAGTCGTGGGAGCTGTGGTTCTTATATACACTTCTCACTCCCAGAAGGTGAGCATTTATTCGTAGTATTCACAATGCGGGGGAACAAAAACTCGGAAGCTTCCATCCGTCATAATATCGTCTCACAATAATCATCAATATGCCTTCGGAACCAATTCTAGGTTGGAGGTATTACGCGATTGTCGCCTCTGTCGCGTCAATCGACAAAGCGTCGTAGTTGCATTATGGCTTTAGATCACGCAATTTGTGAGGTAGAGGTGCAATGCGACCCCGAAATTCAAGCGGATTGCCATGGCCAAGAGGCCAAGAGGCCAAGAGGCTATTTACTTTGGGTGCCATGAGAAAAGATCGCGCAATGCTGATACGCCGGATAGGGAGCTTTGTGGTGGTTGTCGCAATCCCTGGGGATGGGTCACGCAATGCGACAATCAATCACTGCCATCGAGGCGAATAATCAGGACGACATATATATCATGATCATATAGAGTACTAATACACTTATAATCGATTGATTTTGTATGTAGTGATACTGTCTATGGTGGACTATGGGTGAGTTACAGTTTGTCGTATTCTACACTACAACTGTCAAACATACTCGAGCGCAACTGAACCTCAACTCTTGCCAACAATAAGTATACTTCGCATTCATCACTTTTTAATGCGAGTATATTCAATCTAGATGATCTCGGGGTTAATTCTAGATCCTGGCATTTCGCGGCTTCTCGGTCGGTTCTCTCAACGATTGGTCCGATCAAACCCCTTGGCCAGCACGCCATATCTTGCGATATGAGATATATCGAATCCCCTCAATAGACTACCATTCTAGTCCAGACCAACATAGCTTCTTAGAGCTTAATAGCAATTAGCTCACTATGACTTACGAAGTCTTATCCATAGGTTCTTATTGGCTACTGATCTCTCAACTTCAGCCGATGGCGAAACCTCCTAAGCAGTTGGACTGCGAATATTGTTACATTTGTACGCCATAGTTTAACATACCTTGTTCCCAATATCGTAGTTTGTCCGTGGGGGGTCCAAATTAGCTTGTTATATCCAGAGCACGCATGTTCGCCTAGGCTTGAGGTGATTTCCAGAGCTCATCGCGACATTGATAGCCCCGATTTCGCTGCTTGGTCGAGGTGTTGAGGCGAAATTGGTTCCGAGTAGCTAGTAGGAGTAGAGTCGCGATGAGGGAATGTCAGTTACTTATAAACCAGCCATACTTCCATCAGGATCATCCCATCTCAGACATCTCCGCGGATCTCCCTCTTCATACCCTTGACAACTACTCATCCATCCATCATGGCTGCAAGTCAAGGCCGTGACGCGACTACTAAACTAGTCGATGTCAAAGACCAATCCCATGTCGACAGCGGTGATGAATCTGCTGCTTCGTCCATCGAACATCCTTTCTCTGATCCAGAGATCGCTGATCGCTGGAGGAAGGTCTACGAAAAGGCTGAGTACGAGAATCGGCACCGATTTGATCCTAGTTTTACTTGGACAGACCATGAGGAGAAGAAACTTGTTCGAAAGGTATGTCTCCCAGACTGAGTTGGGGTGTGTCTGTTTGCTAACAAGAGGTGCAACTATAGATCGACTTTCGTATTTGTTTATGGGCATGGGTTATGTTCCTATCCCTAGACTTCCATCGACGTAATATCAACCGTGCTATTTCCGATAACATGGTAAGTTCAGTCTCGTTCTTTTATTCGTTACGTTACTAACCAATCTCTCTAGCTACCAGAAATAGGCATGAATACCAATGACTTCAACTACGGCCAAACCGTACGCCTCCTTTACTTACAACACTCTACTCCCACTAACACGAACCCAGATCTTTCTCGTCTGTTTCCTCTCCGCCGAACTCCCTAGCGGTCTAATCAGCAAGAAACTCGGCGCAGACCGATGGATTCCCTTCCTCATCTGCAGTTGGTCCCTCGTTGCAGGTTCACAAGCGGCACTTCAGAGCAGGAGTGCTTACTTTACCATCAAGGCTCTCTTGGGTCTTTTGATGGGTGGCTTTATTCCGTAAGTCACATAACCCTCTTGCTAGTACCAGTATCTGACAAGTATAGTGACATCGTTCTCTGGCTCACCTACTTCTACAAATCCAATGAGCTACCAATTAGACTGGCTTTCTTCTGGACAGCGCTCAGTACGAGTAATATCGTGGGCTCTCTTCTTGCTGCAGGAATTCTTCAGATGAGAGGCGTACTTGGATGGGGGGGTTGGCGCTGGCTGTAAGTGTCCGACATAATCTATCACCCAAACTAAAGCTTACATGGTTAGATTCCTCCTCGAAGCAATCGGTACTTTCATCGTTGGTCTCTTCTCATGGGTTCTCATGCCTCCAGGTCCTTGCCAAACCAAAAGTTGGTTCCGCGGCAAAGATGGCTGGTTCAATGAACGTGAGGAGTACATCATGGTAAATAGACTTCTTCGCGATGATCCTAGCAAGGGTGATATGAACAACCGGTAAGCAAACCTCCTTAGCTATCAATATCATGACTAACACACGACCAGAGAAGCAGTCAATCTCCCAAAACTCTGGAAAGCAGTCAAGGACTGGGAACAGTGGCCATTATACTTACTCGGCCTAATGGTCTACATCCCTCCCTCCCCATTCAACACCTATCTTTCCTTCATTCTCCGTCAAATCGGCTTCTCCGTCTTTCAGGCCAACCTCCTCGCCATTCCCTCCCAGTTCCTCTTCGCTATCAACTTACTCATCGTGACTTGGGTATCTGGTCGAGTTAAGGAGCGAGGCATACTGTCATCCCTATCCAACATCTGGATCTTCCCCTGGGTTCTTGCCCTTGTTGTTCTCCCAGGCGATATCTCCCCCTGGGTTCGTTACGCCCTGATCACAGGTCTTCTCAGCTATCCCTACTGCCACGCCATTCTGGTAGGCTGGAATGCCAAAAACAGCAATAGTGTGCGCACAAGAGCCATCAGTGCCGCTTTGTACAACATGACCGTACAGAGCGGTAATATTGCGGCGTCTAACATCTTCCGGGAAGACGATCAGCCATTGTACCGTCGAGGAAACAGAGTCATTCTTGGTATCACGTCTGCCAATATTATTCTGTTTTACCTAGTCAAGTATTTCTATATCTGGCGAAACCAAGTTCGCGACAGGACATGGAATGCGATGACTAAGGAGCAGCAGCAGGATTATGTTCTGAACACTACCGATGAAGGTCAACAACGTCTAGACTTCAGGTTCGTTCATTAGACGATATGAATTACAGACTTGGAGGTTATATCAGTTTCATGTCAGATCCTGGGCTTTATACAGTAGTTATGATCAGTGTTTATACTCAGGACAATCCTAATTGAGCCCTTCCTTAATTAGTTGAAAAGCTTTTCCAAGTGATTACATACTGTAAAAGGCTTCAAAACAGTGTGATGTAGTGGGAGCAGAGATTGTCTGGGTCATAACTTAGTTGACATCTCAGCATTTCCTAGTCTACTAGAATATTAATACAATGATTCATTCCTCATCCAACGCCTGTACGTGATATCTCCCAAAACAACATGTCCGCCCAGTCTAGATATGCTTGAAATCACATCGAACTACTCCAAACCTGATGACCCAGCATGGCCGTCAAAACTCCAACGCCGTACTTGCCACCATCCGTATTTCCCTGCCATGTCTCCCAACCGATCCAACATACCGCTGCCAGCTCGAACACGCTCAGCATGGAGCTCACGTATTTCGCAGCTGTAGGAGCTCTGTTATCCTTTGGTTCCCGACTCGCTTCGCCTGTCACCCGCAAAGCGATGGTTCCTACTGCAGACAACAAAGCAAGCTGCACCTCACGGCCAAATGGCATCGGCAATACAGTTGTCAAGCTCCATAGGACAAGCAACACAGCTAAAGTGACGAACTCGACACCGAGCCTTTCGAATTGTGGGGTACCAGGAGTATGAGCACCAGAAAAGCGATTTGGGGACCCTTGCTCATGTTCACTTGGCTCCTGGCCTAAAGTGAAGCTCTGGCTCAAGAGATCGGCTAACCCGTTTGCCTCATCATTACTCTCCTGGGGCGCAAAGAAGCTGGGTGGCTTGAAAGCAACTTCACTCTCCTCAGCTTCGTCTCTGCCCTTGTTTCTGGCAGCACCTCGGAAGAAAATACTCTCCTGCTGCACAGGCTTGCTCCTCAAGATAGGCGCATTAGGAGGATTCCGTAGACGTTGAGATGGTGTGATAGGTGCGGCAGGAACTTTGTACCAAAATGGACTCTGTGTATTACCCACAGGCGCCTCGCCAAAAGGTCTCCTCCGTCCACTTGAGAGTGGCGAATCCTGGAAAGCTCGATACTGGGACTGCGCCGGAGTCTGAGACTCTGTTGGTGTCCAGTCCATCTCATCCGAGTCCCGGACTTCCTGCACCTTATGCGGGATGATGTTGAGGCTATCAAATCGATTAAACGGGCTTTCCGGGGGCCTCAAGGGGCTACTAGGTACGTATGTGCGTGGCGTAAACGAGCTGATGTGCGATTGAGGCGATGGGTCGATATGATGAGTAGGCGTAGGTGAATCCAGTGCTTCGTTGAGCAAATCGGAAAGCGTCTTTGGCTCTTCTCTCTTGATTCGGGGAGTTTTAGGTTGCTTTGGCGAGAATGCCGTGTCGGAGCTGCCGAAAAGAGGAGTCGTATCGACTTTGATAGACCTTTTCGCTGACAAGTATATCATGATCATAACGACCGACATAACCAAGTGCGCACTGAGTTGAGCGTTTCGAGATTGCGCCTGGCCTCCATCCATCTCCAAAACACGACGGAAGAGAAAACGGAAGAAGACGATGAGACCCTGGAAAGAGTACCACTGTGTAAATCCCAATAGGTGTCGAGAGAATCCACGGAAAACTTGCACAAACTGAGGGTTCCACCACGCAGACAGTATGCTTGCGACAACAGCACTGTTGATCAAAGTATCCGCCGATGGAAGAAATGCGACAGCGTAGGCCAAGCCACTCACAGCCAGTGTTTCCCAACTCTGATCATCGGGATCATACATTCCGACATCTTGGTGTTGTAGCGTAAAAGAGACTGCCCTGAGATGCCAAAGCATCTGCAGAATCAATCCCCCCCACCACAATCCCTTGCCCAGGCTGTTAACCCAATTCAAGGCACTTGACTTCTCGGAGGTGCTCTTTCGTCCCCTACTCTTCTCCATCATCCGTCGGAGGTGGTCTGTCTTGGCTGTGTATCCTGCCCTCTTTATCTGGCTGTCAACTCTTTCGGCGCATTCATCACAGACTTGCGGGTATCTTTCCTCCAACCCCTTTCGATATCGGTAGTAGTTGCGCTCGAGCTCGGCATATTCGGGGTGATTCGGGTCATCGGGTAAATACTGTGCCAGAGATGAGGTAAAAAGCCGCTGATTCTTGAGACATGTTGCGCAGAAGATGCTATCTTGAGGCGCAGGGGGAGACGATGGTCGAGGATTAGCGTATAGTGTTGCTGGCGCTTCACGCTCGGTGGCTACTGGAGGGTCCGTAATCTCTCCATTCTATCCTCAATCAGTAATTATTTCAACAAGACGTAGCTGGGTTTATACTTCATCGAGGTAGTTTGTCGCATCGCATGACAGGCATAGAAAGTCGCGAGTGATGCCGTCATATTTAGTATTTGATCGTTTGCCGCAATAAAAGCAGGTTAAGAATTTGTTCCCTCGCAGGCGTGGCATTATTTCATGATCATCGCTCTATCAGAGAAGAGCAGGTATTTAAATAAGGTCACTCAGAGAGAGAGAAGGTTGAAGAAGGGCGTGGAGTGACAAGCATGAAAAACAAAATCACGATGATGTCCCTTGTTTATTCCAAGTTTAGACCATCTTTGACTGTTTCTGCCGGGCGGTCGGGACTTTTAATGGTCATGACAGTCCAGTTTAGTGGGGGCCTGCAGATGGAGATCCCTGTCAGTTATCGTTCCAGAAGGTTGCTAGGGAGTGCCAGTGCCTCTATCCATGATAATGGATCTTTAACTACCTTACCTAATGCTTTAAGAACTCTTTATTGATGATAAACCATAAGAGACTTTAAGAGTCGGAATTAGAGGTCTGTTTGTCCGAGATCTGTTACAAAGCTAGACGGTAGAGGTAGCTTACAACACTACTCTCGCGTATTGCTTTGAAACAGGCACCCTATCGGCAAGCGGAGCTCACGTCACCAGAAATACAGACATGGATGGAAGCTTAGCTGTAGCTTCACTTCATCTTTACATTAACAGCAATCAAAAGTCAATTCTTTATCGCATCCACGAGCTCCAACTACTCACGATTGTTATCGTTTCTTAATCAACTGTTTCACTAAGCAATGCCAACATCATGACCTCTCACGCCACATCCTCGCATCCTCTTCCTCCTCCCCTCCATCTAACAATCCGCTTCTCAACATCTCAACCAGACCTCGAACTCAATATCTCCACCCCTCATACAACAACAGTTCTCGCTTTAAAACACCTCCTTCGCACACGGCTATCGTCTCGCAGCCGGCTACGGCTCATTTACCAGGGTCGCATCCTACCTGATGGTTCGGCACTCAGTTCAGTGCTCAAAGCACCTCCGCCGCCGCCGCGCGATAATGACGATCCCAAAGGCAAGGGGAAGGCTGTTCAGGGCGCGAATCTCACAAGAGTCTACGTGAACTGTTCAATAGGAGATGAACTGACGAGTGAAGAGTTGAAAACGGAAGAGGAGGAGGCGCTCAAGCCACCCAAAGATGCGACTGGCGATGATGGAAAACCTACGACGTCAACGAGACCACGGCCAAGAGGATTTGATCGATTGTTACAATCTGGAATCACGCCTTCCGAGATTGCTACGCTCAGAACACAATTCAATTCTATACACACAGCAGGCTTCACACCAGATGCGATGCCTTCGCCTGATACCTTGCGCAATATGGAAGACGCATGGATAGATAATAATGCAGATGGCCTTCCATCTGGAGCCAACCCTCTGGAAGACGAAAATTCCGGTGTAGGGGTGCTTGACATATTAATTAAGGCTATGATTGTCGGCTTCTTCTTCCCCCTGGGAAGCTTGGCATGGCTGTTGCGCCAGGACGGAATCTGGAGTAAGAGATGGCAGATTTTTGTCGGGTTTGGGGTCGTATTAAGCCTTTGCATTGGCTTCATTATGGAGTTATCAGGAGATCGGCCATAGTCTAATAGCTGGAGTGTTTCAGATGCTTTACGCAAGCCTAGAGACAGAAGAAATATCCTTAGTCTAAGGCTTAGGCTACTGGGACAGAGTACCCTAAACCCAGGCTAAGTTTACATGAGGTGATCAAATTATTTCGTCTCTTATGCTCTCGACTACCAATTCTTCCAACGCCCTGACGGTGCTCTGAGCCTTAAAGAACACATGGATGTTTTCGGCAGCGATGTGCTTTACGAGCGATAGGTACTTTACTCCGTAATTACACATAAAATGCTCTATCAAAGTACTAACTATATAGAGACCACACCCGGTCACGAATACTAACATACATCTTTTCCCAACGCGCCAAACTCCCTAGCCCGTAATGTAGCAAAAGATATACATGCTATCCCCCTTTTTTGGACTGCGTTCCGTCGCATTATAACTATAGGTACAGACTTTGGGCAGCAACAATGTCTCTGCGGATCTTGTTCAAACTCTCCTCAAATTTCTTGGTCAAATCGTCGTTGCCCATGACCTTGGCGGCCTGGGCCATCTGTCGCAGAAGCTCTTCCAAACGACGGAAGAGACGAATCAATGAGCCTTCGTAAACATTTGTCATTTTGCTAAGAAGAGAATATGTCAGTAAAAGGTACGTAAAAAGAAGCATTGCCGGGTGAGAATCGGAAGAATTGTCATCTAAGGCTTAGGCTACCATAATAAAGAAGCCTAAGTCCTAGTCCAAGCTGGCATAAAGTGACTAAATTATTTCGTCTCTTTTGCTTTCGGCGGCCGATTCTTTAGTAATTCTTAGGGTGTTTTAACTTACCAAATCTCGATAAATGGCTTTCCTTGGGCCCAGGTATAAACCGTCTCCATGAGCTGCCACTTGAGCTTCTGCACGTATTCCTCCTCGTTGACATCAAGCTTGCACTCCTGGCTGACCTTGGCGATGATACGGGCCTTGGCCTGAATCTCGCGGTAAGGCTTCTGGAGCTCCTCCTTGAGCGCAGGGGCCTCAACCTTCTCATCGAAGATGAAGCAACTCATAACGGCGGCGCACATTTCTGGGCTAAGCTCGTTGAAGAATCGGTCGAAGAGCAACTCGGAAAGGAGAAGCTCATGACCCTCTGTAGAGGAAACCTCACAAGCGACACGGGCCTTAAGCTGGACGACCTCGGAGTCGTTGATGAAGCCCAGACGACGCAGAACACGCTTGCGCGACTTGAGCTCATCCATCTGGGCAATACTGTAAGCCTTGGCGATTGACTTCTTTGTCTCCTTGACCTTCTCGGTGAGCTTGACCTTGGCGTGGTACTGATCCCACAGAGAAGGAAGAAGAGGGGAAAGATGAAGAGGGTTGGCCAAAAGTCTAGACTCAAGGACCTCAATCTTTCGCAGGAGCTTCTTGAAAGACTCATCAGTGATCTCCATGTTCTCGATGGGATCCAACACAGGAAGACCGTCGGGGAAACGACGCTTGACCTCCATAAGCGACTTAGTGAGCGTATCCCTTTCACTATCGCTCTTCAGACCCTCCTTGGGCATAAAGAGTCGGATCTGGCTGATGGCCTTGATGCAGGTCAAAAGGCAAGGGACGACCGCGAACTTGATGTCTTCCTCGTCACTGCAAGGCTTGATTCCGGGGGGCATCTCATCGGCGGGCTGTCCTGAAGGGAAGTCGGCGCTAGACCTTGAGATAGGAAGGAGAACATCGATGACATGAGCCTCCTGGGGAATGTGCTCGGGCTCGTTGAGTTTAGGTGCACGACGAGGAGTCTGGTTGACGATGACACCCCAGCCGAAGTCGGTTCCATTGCCAGCGATAGTCTCATTCTCGTCCTTAGGGTTGTAGATTTGAACCAGACGGCCGGGTTGAAGGTACGAGATACTGTAGTTGGGATGCTGAATGACGGTTCGCATATCCCTGGTGTAAGCGCTAAGTTGCTGTCGAATCTGGTAGTAGTCCTTGACGGTGGACTCATCGGCGATGCTGGTGCTATCACGCTCTTGTTGCAACGACATCAACTCCTTCTCCAATTGTGGGACACTAGCAGCGTTCTGGAACTGGTGGAAACATCGTTCTAACATGAACTCGGGTGAGATAGCCTCAATACGGAGAAGGTTCAGAATCATGTTGTAACCGAGGTAGAAGGCAGAGTTGAGTCGGTCCTGGTGTCCTGTAACAATCTCCTTGGCAGTGTCGGGCTCAAGCTTGTCGTCGATCATCATGATGACGATACCACGGGCATCGAGACCACGACGTCCAGCACGACCGGCCATCTGAATGTACTCGGACGAAGTGAGAGGACGTCTCTTGACGCCATCCCACTTGGTAACTTGGGTGAAAACGACAGTCTTGGCAGGCATGTTGAGACCGATGGAAAAGGTTTCAGTGGCGAAGAGAACCTTGATCAGAGACTCCTGGAAGAGAATCTCAATGGCCTCCTTGAGAATAGGCAGCAGACCAGAATGATGGACACCAATACCACGCTCCAACAGGGGAAGCAAGTTGATAATCTGAGGGAGGTCTCTGTCCTGCTCCGACAAACTCTGAACAGCATTGCCAAAGATATGGCGAACCATGGCCTTTTCAGAATCGTCGTTGAAGCTAAGAGTAGAGATGTTCATGGCCATATTCTCACACTCTCGCTTGCTGAAGTTGAAAACGATAACAGGGTTGAACTTCTTCTTGATGGTCATTCGAATAATCTTGGCAATATCCGAGCCATTGTCAGCGCCACCCTTGTTGGTCTTCTTATTCTTGCCCTTTCCTTTCTGTCGAGCGTTAGGGTCGTTGGGATCAGCTCCCTTCTTCTCCTCAACTTCCTGCATAACCTTGTTGAAATTCTGCTCGTTAAAGTTGCTCTTCTCGTCGACGATAAGTCTGGCGCCACTACCACCGGCAGGGAAGAAGTAGTTCTGAAGAGGAGTTGGTCGGAAATCGGTGTATACGACGTGACAGGCCTGGTGGTGGATCTTGGCAATCCATTCGGCGAACTGGAAAGCGTTGGGAATGGTGGCAGAAAGGAAGACGTATCGGACCTTGTCGGGAAGCATAATGATGGTCTCCTCCCAGACGACACCTCTCGTCTTGTCTCGCATGTAGTGAATCTCGTCGAAAACAACCCAGGCAACTTCTCGCATGATCTCAGAACCTCGATACAACATAGATCGCAAAATCTCTGTAGTCATAACCAAGCAACTTGCTGTGGGGTTGATAGTAACATCACCAGTCATAAGACCAACATCTCCAAAGATAGACTCGAAGTCTCGGTACTTTTGGTTACTCAAGGCCTTGATAGGACTTGTGTAAATAACTCTCTGGTTGCGCTTCAAACATTGCGCGACAGCGTACTCAGCCACAACAGTCTTTCCGGCAGAAGTATGCGCAGAAACAAGAACACTTTCCTCGCGCTCAATGGACGCCACGGAAAGACTCTGGAAAGGATCGAGCTTGAAGTCCCATGTTCGCGCGGGTTGCTCGGGGGCCTTGTGCTCGGAAAGAGGAACGTATTCATAGTCCAAATCTGGGGGTAAGGCGACCTGATGTTGAATGTTGTGCGACAAAACGAGAGATGAATCCTGCTCTGTGAAAGTGGCCGCGCCAGCAACCTCTCTTGACTCGGCAGTCTGAAAAGTATCAGTCATGACAGGTCCTACACCTTCCTCCTTCTTCCTTCTCTTGGCATCCTGCTGGCTAGCGCTCTCTTCGGAAGACTCTTCGTCGGAAGATTCCTCATCCTTGGACTCCTCTGTGGTGTTGTTGTCCATATCGACATCTTCGGTCCTTGTTGCCGCGTCGCCGTTCTCGCCATTTATCGCGTTGGCCTTTCTCTTCTTCGTCTTGTCGTCCTTGCGGCTCTTTTGCGACACAGTCTCGTCTTCGCTAGGGGCGTCCACCTTGCCCTCGAAAACATCGAACATCTCATCCATATTGGCGATGTTTTACCCACGACCGAAGCCGATCGCTAGCTGCAGGAAAAAGTGATCGAGATCGGGATCGGGAAGTGGCTGGCGGATTTCTTGGGGATCTGAAGTCGCGTCGAGATTCAACACCTACAAGGTAGATGTTTTGTAAGAAATTCCTTGAAGACAAAAATTTATAGCCTACCTGAATTTAGGTAAAGATTAAAGAGTGTCGTCGTCTTTGTGACACAAGGAATCGATCGATCGTTCCAAACAGGTAGGTACACGGACGGGCCTAGGTAGGATTAAAAAAGTTGGTTGGAAAGTGGGTTGCCCGGCAGAAAAAAAATCCCCTAGCGACGAGCTGTGGGCGGTGAGACTTGGAGCGTCTGAAGCAATTGGAAGGCTAGCAGGCTAGGTAAGGTAGGTAGGTCAGATAAGTGACAGAAAGTTTACCCCAAGGCTTAGACTACTAAAACAAATAAAGTAACCTAAGTGGTGGTCTAAGCTGACTAAACTATTCCGTCCTTTATGCACGAAAATGCCAATTTTTCTGGTACCCTGACGAAGGCGTAGTAGCTGAAAAGTGTTTCACTGCTACCACTGGAAGACCACAAGCTTTTATGGTACTCATTGTGATACTACTTCTCTATGACTCACAATATATACCTTTAGACCCGTTCCTTCATTAGCATCAAGTTTACAATCTGTAATTGTTAATGTGTTGTTATGTCCGTACTATCTGAAGGTCCTGATCCTTACAAAACTCAAATAGGTGCAGGGGCCGCTACCGACGTCATGTCCCTTGGGACTCAGGTGGGTGACAGAAGAATTGCCCTTCAAGGCTTAGGCTACTAAGATAAAGTGGGCGAAAGGGCGGCTCAATCTATTGTGAGATGACTCGATTATTTCGTCTCCTACACTCTTGGCGGTCAATTCTTCTGACACCCGGATGGCGATCCAATCAGCCAACCGCAAGTGATTGTCAGCAAGTCTCTTGACACGTGACCTACTAGCGTTTTGCTCCCAAACCTCAGACCACCATCTCTGACCTCGGATGCTATCATCACTGACACATACCCAAGCTTCCATCTCCCAATCTCCACTCCTCAACGTCAAGGTGCGTCTGCATTCAAGCCATTGAATTGCTCAATATTGCTCTACCAACTTTCGCGAACCGAATTGACCCTTTACTCGTATCGCAGATGCTCTCCCGCGCCGCTACCCGTACCACGACCTCTCTGGTCACCAAGCGAGGCTTCCAGACCACCCGCGCTCGCATGTCCTCTCCTTACCACTACCCCGAGGGCGCCTACAGCAACATCCCCTTCAACCCCCGCAGCAAGTGGTTCGGCGTTGGTTACTGGACCTTCATGGCCACCGGTTTCTTCGCTCCCTTCGGCATTGCTGGTGCGTGGTTTCTCTCCCGACGTCTCCCGATTCACGATCCGAATGCTAACTTGCAGCGCAGTCTGGCAGACCTACAAGCCCCAGTAAATTCGTCGCTGACGGACTGGGTATGTTGCTTGGTTGAAAGAACGGAAGCCTTACGGCGGAATGTGGTGTACATAATCGAAATAGATATCAGTCACTCTCGACTCGATTCGAAATTTCATTTGTCCGACCAGTCATATCGAAATTATGCGTGACATGCGAGTGCGTTGAATAATCAGCGATAATCAGCTTCAAATGCGACACAGATCCCGGTCAACCGGAGCTATTGGTATACAGAACGCTTGCGTCCTAGGGTATTATTCTATTTTACTTAAAGTACAGTGTGATACATCTTTTGTTACATCATAATCTCGTCCCATCCTTTTTATATCGTCGATACGATGGGCCATCCCAGGCACCCGTCGGCGACTTCATATCTACGCCGGCAAGAATACTCTGCAGGATCGACTGTATAAATGGCAGTCGGTCCGAAGGAATATCCCAACGCTTGGCCATCTCATCGTACACTTGGACCACCATCTCATCAGAACAACACTTTTTGGTTGCTCGCAATGCCCAGATGACCAACCATCTGTCGATGGTGAATCCTCTTATACTCTCATCTCTTGCTTGGTACATCGCTTTCAACACGCCTTCCAAGCGCTGTTCACTCCACTCAGAGCTAGTAAAGCCGCCATGAGAATAGAAACCCTTGAACAAGGACAGAAAGATAGTGGCGTGGATCGGGATGTTGAGAAACTTCATCTCATCGAGGTATTGCGCGACTTTCGGCAGGTCTCCGATTTTGACTGAGTAGTGCTCAACAAAGAGCCTGTAGGTGTGAAGGTTTGGAGAAAGTTGCATCTGCTTCTGCAGCGGCTTCTGAAGCTCCGGGTGCTTCTTGCCGATTCTCGTAAACATCATCAACACTTTGGTGACAACCCGACCCATCCCGTAGTCTCTATCCGGGAGGTTGGGCGCCATCTCATGCCCTAATTTCATCCTCTCGTATGTCAATTCCGCTGCTGACTCCTCGCCGCATCGCAAAAGACCTGATATTACACAGTTGAGCACAACAGTGTCTATCATCTCGCCGGCGTCAACCATGTCCTTGTAAGCAGCCCGAATTGCGCTCGAATCCATCTTGAGTCCGAAATAGTGTATCAGACTGACGTGATGGTATCGATTATACTGAAAGCCTCGCTTCTCCATCTCTCTATACATCATGTCCGCAAGAACGAAGTTTCCCGCCTTCGTGGCCACATCAAATAGGATATTGAACGTAACTTCGTTTCCCTTGACACCGGCTGTCAGCTCCATCTCTTTCCACAATCTCAGAGCGGTGTCCATTTCGGTTGTTGTTATACGAGACGAATACTTGGTTGCGAATGCCAAAGCATAGTTCCAATGCGCTTTCCGTAACGTCAATCCTGCGCTTTTGACATCATTGATCAGCGCAAAGTAACGCATCATTGACTCCGAGTTTCGCTTTGGCGGTAATCCCATAACCTTGAGCAGTCTATTCCGCCATTGCCAAGTGAGGTGCAACATCCTCTGTTCAGGCAATTGAAGATATAGGTTGTATATTGGCTCGAGGGTCGTTCGGTATGGATGGCGCAGCTTATATGAGATGGCATTGCATAACTTGGCGATCAACTTCTTCGTTTCGTCATCGGTCCTGAAAGTTTCCTCCTTGGATGGATATTCCACATCTCGCCGATTTTCCGAAACCTGTAACTTCTGGCCGTCCGGCTGGGCATAACCGCTCCGGTAGGGATCTTGATAATATTCAAGATGTTCTTCGACTGTCGACAAATCTTCTTGCGGTACCAGAGCCTTCAGATGCCGAGGATCGTGTGCGTATTGGGTGTGAAACCTCTGGTTTACCGGAGGCATCGGGGCTTCGGCGGCGGAAGAGGCGGTGCTATAATTGTTCTTGACATGTCGGGATCGTGGGACCGGCAGGACTTGCCGAGCCTGGGTGGCGGGCGTAAAAGTCGAGAGAAGCCATAGCGAGCTCCGGGGACATGACGAAGTCGAATTCACACTCGGAGTTGGTTTCCTTCTTTGCGGCGCCTGGTTTCTAGCATCTCTCGTACAGCAGAGGCTCCTCCTTGCAGTTGTAACCCCAAAACTGGCCGGCGGTCGGTTCGAAAGCACCGCACAGAGGGAGCCGTCTAATCGACTGGAGACTTTCATGAGCTCCTCCTCATGATGCTGCGACGTCTGTTGCGTTAGCCGTAGCTGTTGAATTTGTCTTGTACAAAAAGTAGCAAGGATGAATGTTTGAACAAGACAAAATGGCGCTGAGAAAGAAATCAGATCGGCAATCTCTCTCAGGGAAGAGCTAACGACAGCGCAAGTTGGGGACGGAGGCTTGTTCTTGTGAGTGGGACCTTTTTTGAAATGCTTTTTTGCTACACTATGATTCGCGCCAAGCTGCAGATAGGTACTCAGCCAAGTGGGTTACAATAAAACCCGCACATTGAAACACATCTTGAAATGGGCAGATATAAACAACAGCCTATAACAAGACAATATACATAGACATTTCAAGCTTAAAAACATTAAGTGCGTAGCAGAGTCTCATCTTTAAGTCTAAATCTCATCTTGAATTATTCGTGAATTAGATCAGCCCAATCTAACATCACCTTAGCATCCAGTATTATGTCAACCCACCTTGACATCCCGCAGTCGGCGATAAGATTTACCGACGAATCTCCAAAATTTCCACTTCAACACCACGACATAGAGCCTCATGCCACTGGCTTAGTGAGAATTACTCCCAATTTAGAGCGCCAATTGACGATGTAAGCCCGGCATTTTCTCCCGCCAGTACATACCTCCAACAAATACTGATTGTAACCGTAGACTTGGCCATGGGAGGCAGACAGATCCGACCCGCAAGGGTCCTCCAGACCGTGACGCAGGAACTCAACCACACCATACTCGGCGGCAAGACGATCCCTACGCCGCCATGGTACAATATCATTCAATCAGTCCCTCCCGCCGAGACCCTCGTCCGAAACGTCACTCCTCGACTTCAAAAGGGTTCGCGCAAACAAACGAAGCCAAAGAAACTCTTCCGACCTCAAACGATAACATACGTCGAAGATACACTACGAAGCACTTTCTACAGAGACCACCCTTGGGAGCTTGCGAGACCTCGTGTTATTCTTGAGTCGGATGGAAAGGATTACCAGTACTGCGATTGGAGCAAGGGCTTGAGACAGCCCAACATTCCCTTGTCTGGAGAATGGCAAGTGCTTCGATCTTGTGCGAGACTGTCATCAGGCTAACATACTGTACAGTGTCATCCAGCGCCAGCTGTGGCTGATGAATCACGATAAACGTGATTTAAAAGAGGCATACGATATTGTTCGCCATGAATTCTACCGTCTGCGCCAAGAGGAAGAGATTGAGAAGCGAGTGGCTCAAGAGGAAGCCAAGCATGTAGGCGCTTACTTTGGCCAGACCCGCATCGATGTCGCCCACACTCTCGAAGACCGTGAGTTCGAGAACTGGAAACTCTGGGCTGGAAAGGAGACAGAGCGCATGGAGCAGAGCCGCAACTCGGAGATTGAGGACTTTGGCCTGGAAGATGAGGCGGATGCTGTCGAGGATCCAGAGGAGCAGCCAGAGGTTAAGGCTGAGGCCGCAGAGGGCAAGAAGTCACCTTGAGGCGGATGATACCCGTCATGTACACAACCTTGTATTATTGTCTATGTATCAGAAAGCAAAATTACGCATGTTCCAAGAAAGACTCTTGGGTTGGACCTCGTCTCGGGTCTTTTCTCTATTCCAATCAATTGTCTCGCCGAGCATTGAACACCATCTCACCACAGTACCCAACTCCGTACTTGTCGGCCACCTCCCTGTGCTGCACCAAAACGTCGGCGATACCGGTGTAATAGAAGAGCTTCCCAGTGATGCTCAAGGTGGTGATGCGCGCCCAAGATTCGATGTAAACGATGTGCATCGAGGTTTCTGGAACGATATAGAGAAGCTTGAGCAAGTGGGCTGTCAATCCAACAAAGAAACCAGTGGCAGGTCCGTTGGTGAAGATGCATGTAGGGTATCGCATGCGGGCTCCAATGCCATTGTCGGGGGGTGTCATGAGAGCTGGAAAGATGCCGAGAACGCTAAGGAGCGCGGTAAAGGGGGTGGTAAGGAGTGACTGGTGAATTCGACGAGCACGAGCGACGGTGACAGTGTCGTAGGTTCCAGGCTCTTTACCCTTTGAAGCACACAAGGCTTTGAGCTCAGCTTCGTAGTCTTGGAGATGGTTCGCAGACATGGTGTCCCCAGAAGAAATGAGATAGCGACGGTGAAAGTTGCGGAAACTGCAATAGCCATCGTCCATCATCATGAGCATCTCCTTAGTGTGACCACCAGAGCCCAGGACAAAGAGGTAGTAGTCATGAGCGTTGTTGCGTTGATCGCGAAAAGCCTGTCTGCTGGGTCTGAACTTGCGACGAGCTCTAATGAGCTGTGTGTGACGAGCCTTGTCTATGTTAACATCATTCTTGATGTTGGAGAGGTCGAACTTACAGTGAAGAAAATAAGGATAGCATTGCAAATGACCAAAAGGGTCAGCAGAATATTTGCAAATTGAGATGAGCTCCAAAAGAGTGCAGCAAAAGCGAGGGCAACACCACCCAGTCCAGCCAGAATAAGGATGGGCTCCATGGTTGCAATACAGACTTATACGGCGGTCGAGTTGGAGTTGGTGAGGCCAAGTGTTCAAGAAAGATAGACAAGGTCAAGTTCTAGAATTTCGTAAGTTTGCGACAAAAGTTGGATATGGTCTCACGTCAGAGACACACTTTGAACGAACCTTGATTCAGAATCAACCCAAAGTTTTGAGTGATGCAAAACTTACCTAGGTTCGTCCCTTTACTTGTACTGATGGATGAAGTTGAAAGTGGAATCAGAGCTGCTGAACAGTGCCAGCCCGGCCCACACATAGCCCACCTGCCATCATCTTAGGTAGGTAGGTAGGTATTACTGCATCAATGATTGAAGCGTGTAATAAGTTGACTTCTTGTACGCCTCAAAACATCAATCCAATCAGCTGCTGAGAGTTTAGAAGATGAAAATCATAAAATTACTCCCATAGTTGCTGTAGAAACCTTTTAGTTTGTCTATTATTTCATATCCTCACCATACTCAACTTCACTTTAATCTCAGCAAGTTCCAACTACCCTGGATCAAGTATAAAATCATCATGTGAAGCTAAACCACCACTTGGTGGCTTACTATAGACAATTTCCTAAAGAACAGTCCTTTGAATGTGTTTCCGATATCCCTTTTCCTTCCTCCATATTCCTCAAAGTTGTGTTTCGCAATACAGCCCTTTCGACAAATAGCCAGAATTATCGTTCGATCGTTGCAATACCATAGCAAACATGTCCCAACCGGACGACCAAATTACCACAAACCGACAGTTTAATCATGTCAGAATCCATCCCTTCTTAGAAGAAACGACGCTTCTTCTTGGGGGCGACAACTTCATCTTCGAGCCACTCGGCTCCGACAATCTTTCGCATAGCATCTCGTGCAGATTCGTCGATAACGTCCTTCATTCCTTCACCAGTAGCAGCTGAACACTCAACGTATCTCTGAGCTCCAATGCGCATCGCTTGCCATGAAGCCTATGAGGAGTTAAACCCTTCATCTTCAGAGTAGGACATGGGGCAGGCGGTAGAAAACTCACTTCAGTAGGACAGACGCAGCAAGTAGGATACGCCATCACCTCCGAAGAAGAGTCCTCAGATCCAGAATGATGGTCATCCAAAAAGCACTGGTCGCGAAGGTCTTTCTTCAAACCGACGAGATACAGCAGTGATTCGAAATTTGCAGACTTGGCGAAGCCACCATTGGAGGCATGGTGCCACTGCTTGAGTTAGTTTTTATCTGATGGTTAGGCACAGCGGTTACTTACCCATTGGATGATTGTATATAGGGACAATTTTGCCGAGACGTCGAAGCAAAGAAAGATAGCATCCCATTCGATGTAAGTCAACTTTTCGACTGTGCTCAGGTCTGGTACGCCAGAGGTATCCTACATCTCCATGCGAACTGGCTGATTGTGGTAAACTCGATCGTTGACATAGGTTTCGTACAAAGGACTGGCGAAAGCATCAGACTATTCATGTTAGCTTACAAACCCAATGAGGAGAGATCAAACTTGCGTGTGGGAAGTAACCATAGCGAGATCGGCTACATATAGTCAGCATACACATCAATGCACCTCCATTGGATGTACATACAATAGAAGAGAGGTCTGTCCGGACGATTTACTTCCGACAAACAAAAAGTTCAAGCGAACAGGCTCACGAGGAATCTCGACCTCTTGCTCTTTTCTCTTGCGCTTACGACTCATGAGACTGAGCAAACCCCGTCGGTTACTCTCCGCACGTCGTTCTGTCATGCCAGAAGCAGGGCGAGTGGAAGGTGTAGAAGAGCGACCAAACAAAGGGGTTGCGGCGCGGAGGAAACTCATACGTGTAGAAGGACGACGTCGAGGAGGAGATGTGTCACGGAAGGTCTGCAGATGATTAATTAGCTTTGAATAACGTAGTTAAAAGAGAGTACGTACTAGTCGTGTTGCAGGGCGTTCGCCAAATCCATCGCCTTCAAAAGGATCATCACGATCAAGACGACTGGGAACGCGCTGACGCCATGAGTCGATGTGGTCCTCCGACAGCATGTTAGGAGCGGACATGAGATGAGCAGGAGTAAATTAAACGTGCGAGAAGATAGTCGATTATGAGAATAAGGAGAAATTCTAGCATAGTGCGATGAGCTAGATCATGAGGAGTGTTTAGGGGAATACAAGAAAAGGTGAGGTTTAAGCGTGTTGATAAGGAGAAAGAGGTTAGAGAAAAGAAGATTTTATGAGGAGAGATTAATGAAGCGCGTTAATTTGGGGAACGCGTTGATAAAGGGAATTAAGAGGATGAACGTTGGTACGTTACTGCTTAAATTTATTTGGTGATGCATGCGTGGATGCGTGGGCTAGCTTTGACACTGGCAGCAGCTGGCAACATTAGGTAGTCCACCACCAGTTCTCTTAAAGACTTCAGGAAACCTATAGACTTAATAGACTATCCAGTAACAGGAAATCCCTGTCCGTAGCTAAGTAGCCACATAGAAGTCTACAGATCATCCATCGCATCAGCCATGTTGGCTATATCCGCCCTCCTCAACCTCGCATCATCAACACTCAACAACTCCTTAGGAAACCAATCCTTCAACTTTCCTCCGGGTCTTCCAACGCCGTCCTCCAGTTTCTCATCCTCCTTTCCAAGAACCATGACCGCCAAAGCCGTTCCGCAAAGCCAAGCCCAGACCATACCCTCACCACTGAATCCCGCAGCTATCCACTCCCCTGAATCTTTCTTCGCAGCAGAACTGGGAGCTCTTCCAACAAAGGGCATCAAATCTCCTGTGAACCCGATAATTCCCGTCCACGCTTTGACTAAGGAACTTCCTTCTCCCCATTGCGGTTCAAAAATACTTGGCATGACGCCCCGGATGTGAATCTGCGGTAGAACGTGGGTCTGGCTATCGTCCCAGACCCCTATTTGGTCGATACCTTCTTGTCGACTTCGGAAGAAGCCTCCTCCTATCATGAGATCACCCGGTGTTCCATCTGGCTTATCTGGCTGTTGGGATACGTAGTCAAAGCCTGGATTGTAAATTGGTGACCAGGAACGGTTGCCGTGGCAGGATGGGAATAAAGCGCCAGGACGCTGAGCGCTCATGTGAGCAATTGCACCGCAGAGGGATCCTCTGACTTTAGGAAGCAGTTGTCCTGCGTGGGCGTTTGTTGTATGAATCACATGTCTCGCCTTGATGCTTCCGCGGGATGTCGAGACTGTGTAAGAACCGTCCCCAGCTTTGGTGACGCCTTCAACGGGTGTATGAGTGTTGATGCTCAGTCCGGGGAACCTCTCGAGCAGGTCATTCCATAAGCCCGTGACAAGACGATATGGCCAGAGTGCTCCGGCCGTGTAAGACAAAGCACCTGCCACAAGCTCATTTACACCAAACTACCACCATCAGCATAATAACATCACCCGTAGAAATCATCACTCACCTTGCTCCTCGCCTCTTCAGCCTCCCAGATTGTATGCTCTTCTTCGGGCATCCACTTTCTAGCCTCGTCCACCTGCTTCTTCGCACCCTCAAACTCCTCCTTGCCCAGATACAGATCCACTGTCTCGACCTCCCTAACACCGCCATGTCCAATCTTCGCTCCAACCTGCTTCATCATCTCCAAATGACTTCTCTTGAACCTCACAACCTTGCTCGCAACTTCTGGCCCAAGTCTCTTACTAAACATAGCGAATTCGCTGTACGGCGAACTCTTAATATGACCACCATTTCTACCTGTCGCACCACTGCATATCTGTCTCGCTTCACAAACCACGACTCTCAATTTGGAATCAGAAAGTTCAAGAAGTGATTTTGCTACCGCTGCACCTGTGATGCCGCTTCCGACAATGACAACGTCAGCTTCTTGAGGAAGCTTGTCATCTTGAATATCGCATAGTGCCGGGAAGGGCGGGTTGTCAAACCAGTATGCGTCTGTCGGGTTTGGCACGGGAAATCCTGGTGCTGATGAGGCCCGGTCAAGGGCGGCCGAGAATTGTTTGTGGAGAGTCCATATGCTTTTGAGGCCGTATAAAATGGTCGAAGTTGTCGACTGGATTGTTGATATGACAGCGCCCATGGTTGCTTGAAGGGTGAGAGAGTGAACTGAACATATACATTGTTTCCTTTCGAGTCTGAGATGTTCAGTTGGAGGGAGCGCTTATCTATATTACTACGTTCACGTGCAGGGATAATTATCTCCAAGTAACTGGCATCGGCAAGTGGCCAACATATACGGAGTATCCAACCAAAACTTGCGAGTGACCTGATTAACTTTTTTTTTGCAAACCCAGGCAAACCTGAACTTTACAGTAGCAACTACTCCAAGCTATTAATGCAGTTCATCGTATTCACTGATCTAGTTGAGCTTGATGTTGGACCAACGACCCGTTTAGTTTGCATTTTCTCTAACGTCTAAGAGCTACCTTGCCTATACCACTAGGAATCGCCCATTTACTGCTATAAAGTGCAAGCAGATCGCAAGTAATAAGAAAAAACACCACCATCATTCTGATTTTCGTTTCCCATCCCCAACACCAATGAAACAGTTCCAAGTAAGCCTTTCCACGTGGCGAGACCAAAGCCATCGCCATTCCGTCCCCTTATTCCTTTGCTTGCTTCCAGCTCAAATCAAGATACAGTCGACAGTAAACCCGGGCTTTTCAAACTCCAGCCCCCTTTTCCTGTTCGCTGTTGCGCCGTGACCGATGCAGGGTATGTTTCGAGACGAATTCGACGTGCCTGAAGACACAAATCCTGTTCCTTCTACCCTTCTGAACTTCGTTGGAATCCTATACCACCGAGGATTCGTTCCTGTAAACTCCAAGGACCCCTGTTGGGCAAGAAGTTGGCCGTTCATTAAAAAGCACCAAATACAAAACCAAAAACTCCGCCAATAAAAACCATTTGCAAAACCATCCAAATGAAATAAAGTAATGGGTATCGGTCACTTCCTCTCAAACGTACACCACCACCCCTATTCACGGCCAATTAAAGACTGGCCATCCCGTTCTCTGCGTCGAAGTCTGCGTCATAATCCATATGGCTTGAAAATCTTCCATATGGATCTAGCCCCAGCTCCTGCCTCACATCCCTTTGAATCTGGAGGAAATATCTTCTCAGGCTTCGTAAGCCTTTGAGGAATCCGCCATCAGGTTGATCGGGGTGTTGGGGAGGGCATGGCTTGTCATCAATATTGTCAAAGGGAGTGACGCTGTTGGCAAAATCTGCGATCTTGAAATCAATCTCCCTCTTGTTCTTCGTCTTCTTACGGGTTGTCTCCTCCGTATCGGTTGCACAATCGGTGGTTGACTCGTACATGGTCTCGTAGTCGTCATCCTCCGATGTGTCGCCGTCGTAAAACATGAGCAAGCTTGCTGCATAGAAGCGGTATCCATCCAGCTTGCTCACAATCTGCTCCAGTTGCGTAAGCTTCTTGAGCACAACTGGAATGTGTCGTAAAATGCTATGCAGATCCTGACCATTGTACAAGAACTTTTGTAAAGCGCCCTGGAACTCGTCTCCAGCTTTGAGCTTGCGGCCGTAGTATTTGTCCTGGAAATCGTACGTCTGCTTCTCAGCGTTCCACACTTGCAAGCCACAAATTCGAACTCCTAACTCGGCTGATGTCGTGTTTCGGCACTTTTCCGTCTGTGACTTCTGCTTCTTCGGCGTGGCTTCCACACCATACTGTCTAGTCCCCATCTTGAGGTCCATCATGCAAGGCCGCTTCATGCCTGATGTAAGATCTTCCAAGAGCAAGAAGTACTCAACACGATCCTTTTGGGTCTTTGCCTCTTTCGGGTTGACTGGTCTGGATATTCTGGCGTACTCTGACGTCATGTCGTCGACAGCTGGAGTATTCTCTGCTGACTCAACAGCGACCTCATGTTCTGGCTTCAAATGTTCGATGTAATGCGAATGGTGATGACCGCCGTTTGCTTCCGAATGATGGTGTCCTTCATGGTGTGTTTTGGAGTGTCTCTTAGGCTTATCCTCGTTATCGCCTTTGTATCCGGCATCATCGGCTTCTTCGAAGTACTTCAAGTCTCCTCTTGGTTCTCGAACATCTTCTGGTTTGCGACGCAGACCACCAGCGGAGTACCTGCGCTTCTTCTTGGCGGCAAGTGGGCTATCCTTGAGCGTTTCAGGCTCTGGAGCGCTTGTTCCTGTCACATCCTTAACTTCCTCGGGAGCTTGCTCAGGTTCGGACTGCACAAACTCATCCATGCCAGGTCCGAGATCGCTGTGGGAATACTGATGCGCGATCTTACGTTCAGGATGGTGAGGGGTATCCGCATCATGCCCGCTCATGAAAGGCGAGTCGCTCTTCATTAAAGCGGGGTCGGAATTGGTCGATCGCAGAAGACGCTGCAAGGTTGGACGGGGAATGGATCGTTGATGCGGTCGTCGATGACGGTGAATCGTAACGGGCTCCTTGAGGAATGCATCATTGAAGACCTCGTTTCTCAATCTCTTGTTAACCATGGTAGCACCCCAGCTATTAGGTCGCTCGTCCAAAGTCGGTCTACTCGATGTTCCAGATGATGGGACACAGCGATTTGATACAGTCGATGTGGAGATACTTTGTCGTCGATATTCTCTTGGCAGTGGCATCGGCTGAAGTAGGTTTCGAGGCAAAATGTGCCTGTTGTCGTCGAAAGTCACTGTCGGGACAGGGATGTTGCTGCTGGCAAGAGATTGGCTGATGACTCTGCCTGTTGGTCTCTCGGGTTTCGCAACCTCTTGTTCCTCGGTCTGCTCCAGTTCGTGTCTACAGGCCTCAAGCTTTTCCTGCGCTTTCTTCCGCTCGGCTGCTGCGGCCTCCTCCTTCTTGGATGTACTCTTTCGGCGCGCCTGCTTTTGGAAGGTGACGTTTAGCACACCAATGTAGCTGTAAACGTTAGTTTCCGATATATTTCACAAACAGCAGAGAATCGCAAAAACACAATTTCAATGGGACGTACCGAGGGAGGAAAGGCAACAGATCACGGTGGTATCTCTCGATAGTCTCGTAAAACTCATTTTCCCTATTGTTGAGTTGCTTACAGACAGCCCTTCGAGAGAATCTCCAGAGCGTGGTGTGGCCACCAACTTGATGTTTATACGGAATGAGCTCAATAGCCTCAAGAGGCTCTTGAGGATCATGCTGGTGATCATGGACATGGTCTTCATACTGGCTCACGAGTTGCGGTTGTTTCAAAGACTCAGTTGTCACTGTGATTTCTTCCTCAATGACAGCGCCTTCTTCACCCCGCGCAGGGATGAGATCGCCTCGTTTCAAAGTCAGTGCCTCACGGGAAGGGTGGCGGGAAATGCCATAAGGCGGCTCATCTGCCTCATGAATGGCTTCAGACTCAGGCTCGTCGGCTTTGACGAGCCACGGACGTTGATTACTTTGTGACAGAGATCGAACACGGATACTACGGGCCGCGATGCGGTCCTGCGGCTCACTTACACAAGACTCCTGCAGCTCTTGGTGGGGCAAGAAAACAGCAGATGAGATCTTTTCTTCCCCAGATTCTTCGGCTTCCCCGTCCTCACGAGATCCGACTTCAGAATGAGCACTGTCGGCCGAGTCCCGCCTGGCATCCACCAATTCGGGTTCACGGATTGCCTCGGCACCGGTAGCCGGAGTCGGCCCCACAGAACGGGCCGTCTCCACCAATCCGGTCTGCTCATGTACATCTTTGGGCTGAGATGATGGCTGCACTTGCAGCGGCGTAATCTCTTCGGATTGAAGTGAGGTACTGACTGGCAGTGAAAAGTAATCCTCGCTAGGTGATGTGCTAATAGTAGGTTGTTCTTCGAGCGGATCCGGTGGAAGGAAAGAACCTTCGCGATCTTCAGGTGGAGGACGAGTGGGTGTCAAATCCTTGTCAGAAGTTGCGGATTGGGATAGCTCGCGCAAAGCATGCTGGCGACCCTCTTCTAGAGGGGCCAATTTCTCCTTCGGGGTCTTGGTGTCTTTGCGACGAAGTTTGTCTTCGGGTGGCAAACCTTCTTTGAAGAACCGTAGGCTGTAGCTCGATTTGCGACTACGAGCATTGTGTTCCAGACCAGCCATCGCTTCAGTCACGGACTTTTCTACTAAGCCATCTTCTTCGTGGCCGTCTGCAGAGCCAATTGACCATATCTTTTCCGTTTTCTCAGTACCATTGTTCGTCCAATGTGATGGCAACTTCCCCCACGGCGCAGGTCTGGTCTGGATGTTTACGGCATCTTCGGCTCGATTCGTTGCAGGCGGTGTCTTGATTCCTGAGCGAGTGTCGACTGGAAGCGGTCGATCGGTAAGAGCAGCAGTGTATGTTGTAATTTGAGGGTGGTAAGAACTGGCAGATTGCCTATCCAAATCCAGAGATGTAGAGGTCTTGCCGCGTGACCCGTCCGCTGCTTCGCGATGATCCAGAGCACCTCGGAGGGCAGCAAGAGTTGAGTGATTGAAGGATGAAGGGACGCTCGCAGCCTCGCGAGGGACGAGCGACGTCATTGTAGCAGTAGCGGTAGATGTTGCCATGTTGACGGATTCAGAGGTGGCTCTCGTTAACGGCCTAGGAGCGGTGCGAGCAGGGACATTGTGGTGAGAAGGTTCGAATGGATATGAGGCGCTATCGCGATCGTGTTGGGAGGAAAGGTTCGCCGGAGCCGTGGGTGGTCCTGTCAAGGAAGTAAGGCTCGACTGCGCAGTGGGCGAGGCAGGAGTCGAGATAGTCGCTGAGGGTGAGGCGGTCTTGTTCAGGTTAGACTGTCTCGCACCAGGAGCAGCAGTGGTGGTGAGGGTTGTGGTAGAGGATGAAGTTATAGGAGAGATAGTTGTAGTAGTTGTAGAGGAGGTGGTGGCAGAGAAGGATTTTGAAGGCTTGACGTTTGTGATACCACGCGCAGAAGCCAAGGCTTGGGTCAGCAGGGAAGGACCAGACTGCCTCGGTATGGGACCAGGGCCACGAGCCTTCTTATTACTGGAGACAGAGCCGATAGGGATAGTATCGGTCTGGTCTATAGTGTCCCTGGCATTGGCATCACCATGGGGCAAGTAATGGGGATCAGACGGAGAATCAAAATCAGGAACAGAATCAGGCACGTTGTTGGGCACCTTGTCTGCAGAGGGTGTCGGTAGGAAGGGAGAGACTGAAGAGGGAGTGGGAGTAGTAGTGGTAATGTTGTCGGCTATGGGATCAGCGACAGCGAGGGCAGCAGCGGGGGGTTGACCACGGCTCCCTTGATGGGTATCATCAACATCATCATAATCATGATTGGGGCCAGCAACAAGACGGCTATCTGGGACAGCGCCTGTGCCTGTAACAGAAGTATCTGACAGGGCACATGGCTGTGATTCTGGCTCGCTCACCGGTACGGCGTGTGCGGCATTTTCGGACAGACGATGCGGACTGGACATGAGGAGGAGGACATCTGGCGCGACACGCTTTTGTTTGGAAAAAGGAAGGAAGGAGAGAGTTGCGAGTTTGAGAGTTGAGATTGCGAAGTGAGTGAAGATGGGTGGATGCCTGTGTGGAGGGACAATAATCCAATGGGTTAGAAGATGTGGGCGTGGAGGAATGATTCGTAGATACTGAGCCGGGGGGGCCTGGCTTCTGGGTAAGTTTTTTTCGGGGGGGCGGTAAGGCAAGTCGAGGTGCTGAGACTCGGGGCGGTAGGTACAAAGAGGGAGGGGCAGTTGATGGTCAAGGCGGGGGCGTCATCAGTTGAGCTCAGTGAACATGATGGCGGCCTCAATGTTTACGTCCAGTACTAGGGTGCCCTAAGATTTTTATCAAGACAGTCAGTCCATCCATGTTATCGCCATCCATTGAATTGATTCCCGTCCATGAATGTGCTTTCTGTCATCTCGGTACATGACGGATATTCAGGGCCTCCATCTCTAGCGGGGTGAATTTCCATTACAACATGCCCTAGATTTTTGACTCGACTTGACTTGGTCTCGGATGCTTCCAGTCCATTCCCATTCCATCTCTGTCCCATTTCGCGGGGTTCCGGCTTCTTAGTGGCCGTCCACCTACTGCAACTTTGAACTCCCGGAGGCCGAACCTCGAATTGCCAAGTTCCGGGCTGCCATCTCTCTTCCCCGGCAGTCTACACCGCAACTAAACAGTCCAAACCTCGCGTGGATGAAGGGATTTGCTTGTTTGAAGCAATCAGCCCTAGCAACAACCCCTTGGGCACACACACCAGTCCCAGCCTCAATCAAGTCTGTGCTTGTCGCAAGTTCAAATTCCAAGCTGCTGGATAAGCCGAGCCGTAACGCTTGTGGATCCTAATTAATGTACACGGATACCCAGGGGCGGCCCATGTGAATGAATGAGAGGTTGATGAGAGCTGAAGCGTTGAGAACTGTTTATGCTTTGTTATCTAAGACGGTCAAAGCAAGGGATTCAATATGAGGAGGAGAGTGTTGAGAAAGACTGATAAGATGATGATAGGTACTGTATCCATGGGAATGAAGGGGGTGTGGCTTGTTAATCCCATCCAATTGATCCCTATCAATCGCAGCCATGTGGACTGCGAGATAACCGGGCTGGGCTGGCTTCTCGAAGGTGAAATTCTAGGGGACCTTGATGTCAGCATCAGACGGGAACTAGGAAGAAAGAAACATCCGATTGAATCCTATTCTATTGAAGAATGATCAAGTGCCTGACTGTACTGTACTCTGTACCTGAACAGAGGCTGAACTCAACCAAGACGCCTCAGGAATGTTTCCAGTCTCTAAAAGTGAATTCAATCTTGTCTACAACACTAGGTAGGTACCTATGCTTATCCGATCTGCGCTGTCCAGTATTATCTGCATCGATTATCAACCACTACACTACAGCAAGACAGACAGACTTTTGCACTTAACTTGCATAGTGTACATACATACATAGTACATAAGTCGTTGCATCAAACAGTAACATAGTCTGGTCCCGCTATGGAATACCGCTCCGCAGATATGCGTAAAGCGTCAGATCCCCCATGCATGACCTTATCATTATGGATCCCAATTGGGCACTCTTGACTCTCACGATGTTTTAGGCAATCCTCTAAAAATGAGACCCGCTGTACCCGTTGCTGCCAGAGAGTGGAAGTAAGTGGATGGTTTTTGTTAGTTTGACCCTGTCGCGAGTGAAAGAATAAATCTTGCACTTGTGCCCACATGGTGCCAGGCACATGTGTTGCTGGTAAAAGGTCAATGGCTGATAAGAGGTCTGTTCCACATAAGTCTAGTTGTTCTATTTCTAGGACATCTACTCTGTAAGTAACAGAACAGTTATTCCCCAACGTGGGCTGTTGCTAATTCAGTACAACAGCAAAAAGTTTGAACACGAAGCTGACGTATTCTGTCGGTCTCTTGGCGGACCCCGTGGCTCTGTTCCACTGGGATCAGGATCATGTATGGGTCATTCTTTTGTCATTTTCCCCTGCCATTTCAGTTTGATTTTCCGTTTGATCACGCTGACCCTCCCTCTTTCGCTTGCCTAATAATACCTACCTATACTGTACAATACTAAACGGCCCCGTCAAGGCGATCCACGCTTCTTTTACATGGGACACTTGCTTGCTTGATGGTTCATGTTAGCAATTGGGTCATATGATTGGACAAATTGACTTTGGTAATTGAATTATTTCCGCTCGCTTTGACGAGGCCACAAACTATGTTTTGAGCTAAGTTATCCATGACGATCTAATGTCGAGCATTTATTATAGGGAATAATAATGAAGATGAAGTGCTGAGGCTTTGACTAGAGTGACGTAGCGTAAGGTCTCAGACCCGTTTGATTTGCATACGGAGAACATGGCGTTACGGCACTTGAAGAACTGGAGTTTCTGAATAGAATGTTTACGTGTCGAGCAACAACAGTTCTCTATTGTACTGTAGCAACGTTTCATGTATGTAAGATACAGATGGTTGCTTTTGATCATCGAGATACAAAACAATGTCGTGGACATCTCCGTTTGTATCATCCAATGTCAACCCTAATAGACGAACCACCGTCAACCTGAATCAACCGATATGATGACACTCGCAATATTGTTTGAACCCGACTACTCACATGTATGCTTGTCAAAAAGAGTCTCGATTCCGTTTAGTGTAGGAGCTCTCTTTGGTGGAATTTTGAAAAGCATCATGTGACGCCTTTCCCCAAGATCATGACATCTTCCAATTCATTCATGATGGTGTTGAAAATGCAATCACGCCAGGTGACTTGCGCGCAAACAGTGCGATTTCCAATCGCAGATCATCCTCCGACCCCGGATTTGCCAAGTCGAAAGACCCCAGCGACTCGGCAGAGGAGTATCATATCTCGTGGCTTTTAAGAAACTGGGGAGACACATGCTTCGGCATTGGCAGAAGAGACCCGGTCTGGGCTTACAAATTACACGACATATTGACTGCGACCAGTAGAGGTCTCGCTGCCACGTCCAGCCTCTTCAGTCGTCCGTCTCATTCCACAACCATCATCATTAGCCAGCTCATCATCTAATGTTTCTGATGACACAATGAAACTCTCCGAGACACGTTTTCTCAGAGGCTCCCATGAATGGCCCAAGCCCTGCCGTGCGTCGAAATTATGGTTTTTGAGTTGAACTTGGGCTTGAGCTTGTGAGTATTCCCCTGGAATGGCTTATTCGTGTAAACATATTCTCATGTTCCCTTCGAGGGGTGTGTTGTTAGACCATGTTGGTGCAGTGCAGTTGATCGTTGTCATGATAGCTCCGCTGATATGCATTGGTCCGCAACAAGAACCACAGATTCATGACTGCAGGCTTGTTTTAATGCTGCGCAACGCGGCTATCAACGTTGCGACATAAATTGATGGATATCAATTCTGCAAACTCTGATCGGTGGAATTGCTATGAGCCCTTGATCCGATGAGGCGCAGGACATGGAGTTACCCTACACATTCACGGGTTGGCGATAGTCTAGCCTAGGTACCCAGTGGTCCGGACGAAGTATAGATCAACAAAATCAAGAGTAAAGTTCCAGGCTCGAACTATTTCCTTCCAATTCATCTCGTGCGCTCAGCAAGTTGAAACTATTTGTCCGTATCTCTCCACCTTCAAAGTGCAGTAGCTTCTTCTACCACGGCACGTCCCATCCCGCCAAAGTAGCTCTCCTCAACACCATCAACAGCTATCAAGACATCTTCCATGGTATGCTCCAACAATCCCTACCTCAATTGTCCAATCATCAAGCCTGCCGATCTACCCCATCTTCTAGCCAGACTCTTTGTTCCATGTCTATCTCGCCAAAAAGTCAATGTCGCAGATCTCTCTCCGGCCAATCGTGGCTCGTCTTGCAACAACGTGCCTCGACTTCACGTTCCATGACGTTCCAAAGTTCAACACCTCCCCCGGACTCGACATCTCGTCAAACAAAGACACGGTGACATGCACACCCTCAGATGTTTTCGAAAGTGACAGGCTGTCTCAAGTGAGACATGCTCTTATCGTTTGGCTCAGGGCGGATTCAGGGGAAGGGGACCAGCGAGAGGGACTGTGGACGTAAACTGGTCGATCAGCGCGACATGTCGTGTGCTTCCCTTGTGATTCCCGAGGAAGGATTATCTGATGGATGCTATCAATGCAGGCTTTAGCCGTCTTGACCGGATAAAGATCCGGTCGAGGGTGAATCTCTACCTCGAGATGCAGAGTAGACCACCTGAACTTGGCCTTGGTCAGAGTCAAGATTCCCGCCTTTTGGTATTCTATCTTGCCATATTCGGCATTGAGAAACCAGAAAACGATGGATACAATCCACAAATCCAAAAACTCCGCAGTCATATGACTCTTGGACGATGGGTCGGTCTTCTTTGCCAAGCTGATCGCAGACAAGAGACAAGAGACGACAGCCCTAACTTCCCAGAAAATTGGGATCACAACCAGAATTGCAGCCTCTCAGATCCGACTAATAAGATCTCTCTCCCGAAGCAGGCCTGTCTTCCTGGGACCGGACTGGACGGTCAAGTTCTCCACCCCGATTCCGCCGCTGTCACTCTCTGATATCCCAACAGCTCTCTGGCAAGGAAGTATATTCTCACCAGAAGCAAAGCAAAACAAAGTAAAACAAAACAATCTTGAATGCCCCCTGTTGGAGTCAATCTTAAGATTACGATCAAGGAATCCTGCGACACGTTCTCTGATGCTTCTAGCCTACCCGCCGGAATCCTCTCCGACCCCGACCCCGAACAGGGACAAAGCTCGTTGCCTCACCGTACGCTCCGATCGAAGACAGACGATCTACTTACTAAATCATCCATAAAGAGCTTTTCTTGTACCCATGTGGTCGTTCCAGGCACGACTGCGCCTGCGGGGGCGTGTATCCAGGGCTTCAAAGTAGCCGAAAACCAACGAAGCGGAATTAATCACCATCACTAATAAAAGCCTCTAAATACATTCGTAAGATCGCTTATAGATCCGTGGGCTGGCGTGGTATCCCAGCGAATCAGCTCCGGGACCGTGAGCTCATGGGCGATAGTCACTGATGTAGGGAGACAGCGTTACATGCCTTACATTATGCACATTTCTCTGAAACCGGCCAGTATGAGAATAAGGTTCTTTGCTTCTTCGTCATGATTATGGTCGAGAACAAGCGGTGTCAAAATCGTACGCTTCGGAAATTGGTTTCAAGCAAAGTTACCTGCTCATTGTCAAGGATCGGGACCGGGAATGTTAGTCGTTGCACGTGGTTAAAACAATAGGCATCCGGTACTTATTAGTCTATGTATAGGTACGCAGATTAAGAAAGTTGACTACGGTGACTCAGCTTGGTTATTTGCATAGGAACTTACTTTGCCCTTGCTCGAGCTGCTGACTTTTGTCAATACTCATCACTCAACCTTGTAATCAGTTTCTAAATGCGATTTTGCATTGAATATTGTTATGCTGAGGTATCTACCTGCCGTACGCCAAAATGAGACAACCACCACCGAAATTTGACCCGTATTGACCTGACCATGTGCTTATGCTTTCCATGCTCCTTTGACCCCTTAAACTCCTGTCATGATCCGAGCTGGCAGACGCTCAGCACAAACGCCGTGTAAATGATAAAAAGTCCTTTCATGCTTATGTACATAATGATTAGGCACGTGAAAAGCACCCAAAAGATTTGTAGAATCGTAGTGATGCCACTACCATGGACTCTGTTGCCCCTGAGTTTTGACAGGTGATTGTATCGTGACATCCATACTACTATCTTGGTCGAATTCCTCACGCATGATGTCCGCGACCATGTCAAAGGGATCTTGCGACTCGTCCGACTCACGATCGCTCTTAGCAGGACCGTTGAGAGTATTTTGTTGTCGTAGCTGATCAGCTGAAAGGAACGCATCTGCCATTGCATCCGGCAAGGGGCTACCGACAGTGCGCTGGGACTCTGATGGCAAGAGAAGGTGATGGCGACGTATGATAGGTCCCCGCGCGACGGCATTGAAGTGCTTCTGAAACTTGTCGCCTTCTGATGTAGGTAGTTCAGACGTAGGGGTATCGGGTGGCGGAGAGCCCTGACGTCTGGAAAGAGAAGGGCACGGCGTTGCAGGCATGCTCGATTCTGGGCCTTGCATATCAGGCAAAGGTGCAAAAGAGACACGACGCTCAGAAGTATTGCTTTCCCAAGGATTCTTGGTCGCGGAAGCCAAGATGGCTTGCGTGCTAGGGAGGCCAGACTCCGACTTCCTCCAAGCGGCGCGCTTAGCTTGCTGAGCCTTACGCTCTGGAGAAAACATCCCGAAAGACGCGAATGATCTTACTGAGAATTGAGGCTCAGGCGTTGCTGCCTCAGCGGGAGTCGCTGCTATATACTCCTCGTGAACCCCTGCGTCAGCTTCAGTCTCGACCACTGGTGTGGTGGACTCATGTGACACCTGCTGATCCCCCTTTTCAACAATAGGTGTACGCTGCGGAGGGTCGACAGGCAGTTCCGCCGTCTCATCTGTCCAAGGCGTTTGCTCTACTGGACTAGCTGGAATGATAGCGTGACGAGTTCCCGTTTGCACTGATTCTGTGTCTCTTACGAGCAAAGAACCAGGAGAGAGTGTAGCATACTGAGAAAATTTGTTTGCTACCCATGGGCTTTGTTGAGAGAAGGATATTGTGGCATCTTCTTTCAAGTGCGACGGGCTTGGCCGCTGTTTTAAAGATTGCTCATACATGGGAGTATTAACAATAGTTGGAGAAGCGTCGTGATTCCATGACTGACTGAAGTTGAAAATTTGACGGCTGTTTGCCATCCCGGGTGTCGATTGGGTCGATCTCGCTCCTGCTTCCTTCTCAGAGACCCTCACGGGACTGGAGGCTGGACCTGCCAAGGTAATATTTCTTCTGCTTGACGATGTCTGTTGTGGAAAAGATGCAGGAACAGATTGGGAATCTGATTCTCCATGTTCCAATGTTCCAGACGGTGTTGTCTCTGCTTCTTGTATAATCACGATTTGCGGCGTGTTGTCGGAAGTTACTGATGGTGGTTTGGCCTCTAGGGTGTCTTCCTCACTAGCCTCCTCGCCCTCGGCATCTTCATCAGAATCATCTGCTGATTCAGTTTCACTGCCTCCGGGACCATCAATCGCAGTCGGGTTGTCTCTTTCTCTCGGTGTCATTTGAATATCCATAGCTTGAGCTTCACTATCCTGCTGAGCTGCGCCATGTGGTTCTGGAGCAATGGTCTTTACCGAAACCTCCGTTGTTTCTTGCATATCTACATCATGGACCTCATCGCCTCTCTGAGCTTCGTCGAGCGTTTCTTGAGCACAAGTTCCTACAGGCGATGTTGTCGAGCTTCGAGGAGACTTTTTAGAAAGCTCAAATTCAGAAACTGTAGGCTCAGTGACAGAAGGTGGCTTGTTGGCAATATCGATAGTGCTATGTGTGACTTCCTCAGGGAGCTTTGGCTCGTCGAGCTCTTTACTGGAAACCGATGATGACGATGAGGATAAATTTGCGGTGCCGGACATAGCTGTATCCACCGGCAAATTTGAGGTCTGTGGATCAACAAGCTCCTCTGTTGGGGTACTGGCCTTCAAGTCCGAGATAGAAACGATACTATCCATATACTGGTCGTGAGAAGAAAGGCCAGACCAAGTGTCTTCAGCACCTTCTGCCATAGATTCATCTTCGTCCGGCGTAGCGTTGTTGTCCTGATTGAGCTTTTGCCGCATTTTGAAGCAGAAGCTTTCATCTTCCTGTGTCTCAAAAGCTGGGCTAATGGCAAGAATGTTCTTTGCAGTATTCTGTGGCTCTAGGGCAGATTGCCTAGAGATGAGCTGCTGTCGGGATATAGGAGCCTTGCTCGGTGTTTGTTGGCCAGACGTGCTTTGTGACACGAAATTGACTTCTGGGTCCAGGACCGGAGTGTACTGTAAGTGCGACAAGGGTGATGACGAGTCCGCGGGAGCTTGGTCTGATTCAGCATCATCACGAGATAGCTCATCCTCTGAAGCCTCTTCCTGGACGTTTGAGATATATCGTTCTGCTGTAACGGCCGAAGATGGCAAGTGGCCGGGGGCACTCGTAAAAGAAGCGTTTTTCGCGTGGGCAGCTGAACTTGGAAGTTGAGGTTTCGGCCGGATGGGAGTGTCGACAGAACCCGACTCCATAACATCTGTTCGTTGACGCTTATTCGTCAAAAGTTTCAACCAGGAAGAACCATTTGCTTTTCTCTTTCTCTCGGATGCTGATGTTTGTGGGGTTGACGCCCAGAATCGATCCTTTTGTTCCTCTCCGAACTTCACAGAATCCCTCCATTGCTGGACCTTAACCAGTTCATCTTGTTCTAGGTAAGGATGCGGTTCAGTCTCAGATGTCTGGTTTAGGCTTTCGGGGCTCGGGAGGTGGCATTCCAGACTATCGTGGGGCTGACGGACGGTTTCTGGTATTGTTGACTTTCGCTTGACCTTTGCTGACCTTGACAGCTTCCCAGGGGATGTCCTTATTCTTGCAGAAGCCTCAGCTGTACGGTGCTTCGACCGCCAAGGATTCACCCAGTTTGTTTCGTTTGGCTCGAAGGGGCCTTTCAGTATTGCAGTCAAAATGAGTGGCGTCTTGCCATCAAGAAATCGCTGGCCTGCTGCTTCGTATCGAATCTTTCGGACAGCGGAGCTTTCGTAATCTTCGTCGTCTGATCCTTCGTAATAGACATCCTCGGGGTCACAAGTCGCTTCGCAGTATATCGTACCGTCTCCCCAATCGAGTGCGAGCTCGTCCGCTAGAGGGTCAACACACTGTTTGGTCATAACTTTGATGTTGGAGGGTTTCGCCCTCCGCGTCGTAAAGACTTGTCTTCAATTTTAGCATACATGGATCAATACCACTTTCATGGTACACAAGTCCAGGGTGCCGCTGAACGTTAATTGTGAATCGGCATGCACAATCACCCGGGAGACGCGCCCCGCGCCATATCACGTGACGTCGCGTAAAGTGCTTGCTGCACGTCATGACTCTGCAGACAAGAACCATGATTCATCTAGGGTATCTGATAGAACAATTCAATGCCTTTCTTTCAATGGTGTTCTTTTCCACTGATCACAACTATAGATAATTACAGCTGGGAACTAGATGCTGTGGACTGCCTATCTATTGAACGACTCCTTTAGTAATCAGGCTTAGAAAAGCCTTACCACGTCGTCAAATGTTCATTATGATAGATCATGGGCTTTCAACACGGAACTCCAGGAGACATCTGAAGTCACATTAAAGAGATAGTGAATTTTCTGTCGTGTCGCAGGGGTTATATCTCCGCTACCTTAAAACTGGTATTTGAACAAAGATCCAAGATCCAGAATCATAGCGTCGACACGTGATTCTCGCAGGGGTGATCGTGTTGACACAGCAACAGGCCTAACCAGAACCAGGACCCTAGTCTTGTTTATTCCGAACCTCGAGTTCAAGGATACGCGCAAAACATCCGCCTCACGATCTCGATTTCCCCATGCTTCTGTTTGTTTAATGTTTTTGTTGTGACTTCATGTCTATCTCTCAAAAACCTACTTCTTACCACTGATTTAATACATTTTCACTTCAGCATACACAATACCTCCCTTCCGTTCTTCTACACACACGTATCGCATTCACACCTCCTTTGCGACCCCACCATCCGCCGTCGCAATATAATTTTGTTTAGTTCATGGCTTCGCATTGACTTTTTTTACACGTTGATTTCCGGTTGTAAAGCGACGCCATGGAGCACGCTTGGCTGGACTCTCTATCTGAGGACTGGGTTTCCCAGCCCGGTTCTGATTCATCTGCCATTCAACTTCCTCCCCTGAAAGACGCCGAAGAGCCCAAGCCCAAACTTAGAGGGACCCCGAGCCGGATACCGCGTAGAACGATAGGCACACGGCCCCAATTATCAACCGCCCGCGATTCAAGCTTCAATATCCTCAGCGAGCGAACGCCGAATGGTATCAACATCTCGAGCCATCGAAACAAGCAGTCATCAGGAGATTTTAAACCGGCGCGTGGAACTTTCGCCAGTAGATCTGTCTCTGCCTCCACGAGTGCTTCAGTTGTCCACAACACTATCCAACACAAATCCTCTCCTGGTAGGCAACAAGATACACCAGAGTGGAAGAGAAGATTGGTGTATGGTGACGTCGAGTATGGCGAACAGCGCGACCTGTTTTGCTCAGCTGCGACCGGTCTACAAGACATGTTCAAGCCACCTACACCGTCGGGCGACGATGCCGACCACGAGCAGCGCCAGGAGTCCTCTATGATGCCGTCTAGTCCACCTTCATACCCCTCGCGCATCATGAGTAACGACCTCGAGCCCGACCTAGACCCACTCGATGAACTGGATGAATTCGACGACCAGGAGCCTATGTACCCGAACGACGTTACACCCAGCCCGAGCCCTAGAAGAACGCAACGAGAGATCAAGTATAAGCTTAATGTGGAAGATTCTATGGGCTCTATTCTATGCAGCCCACGGGATGAAGAAACTCCTTCGAGACCGCGAGACCAGATTTATCGCGACGAAAGCTGCTTAAGCGCTCCCTCGGATGCCAATGACACCTCGCGAAAGGTTAGTGGACAAAGCGTGGTTCGCAATGAAGATTTCAGTCCGATTCTTATTGGAAGACAAAGCGACAAGGAGGGCAACATGGATTTTGCACCCATTGAGCTGCCGGCGGACAAACTAAAAAACAAACTTGAAGCGCTGCGTATTAATCAGATGCTTCTTGATCCTAACGTTGATCCAAGAACGGGTTTCGATAGCCACAGCCCAGGCCCCTCCGATAACGTCGAGGACACCGAGGAGTACGGCACTCGAGGAGGATTCCTGAACACCCAAAGGGGAGGTCGATCTGGGGACGGCTCTTTTCGCTTCAGAGACCTCAGCCCCGGTTTGAATGTTGATACAAGCGGTATGCTTGCCGAGGAGTCTCTGCAGGCTAGTACTCCCAAACAATATCCCTCTATCCGAACAGAAGCTACCAATCCTTATCAATCGGACTACTTCAACATCAGCCCGGCTCTTCCACGGGCTCCATTTCCCAGCCCCGACAAAAAGGAGATCTCTTCTGGCCGAAGTGCGCCATCCGCTGGAAGCCCCCTTAAACTTTTCGGCCCTTACGATACATTTACCAACCAAACACTTCTTCGACGTCTTAGTCAGTTTGAGGAAGGCATGTCTGGTACACCGTCCCGCCAGTCGCTCGGATCTCCTGGTCCGCATAGTCAGTTCGACTCCACCGTTCACGAACGCTCTGAAGTTATGTCTAGCCCGTCTTTGCCTACACTGGCCCCTAATCATGGTCCTGGCAAGTTCTTCAGCCGTTTCGGTCTTGGCGATCTTGAAGGGTATGAATTCAGCGAGGAAATCTCCTACGCTACTCAAGGTGACGCAGCTTATTCTGATAAAGAAAATGATGCTCCTCAAACGTCAGCCCCCCAATCCCCCGAACCAGTTTTACAAAGTCCGGAACGACCCTCGTCGCCTGCTGAGCATCCGGAACTCCAAATTGGCCGACGCCGTAACAAGTCAACATCTTCATCCACGAGCAAGCATCAAAAGACAGCATCCGGCTCAAGTCAGATCCGCAGCAAAGCTTTGAACCTAGCCATGGGAGCACCTGGCAATGGCAACACCCCCAAACGCGATAGCGGATCAGAGGGTAAGAGACCTCGAACGTCTCCGTCCAAGGACCCAACCCCGAAGCGTCGACGCACGCTCCACCGGGCTGACATTGCTTTCGGTCGCGAGTTTCTTCTCGAGGGTGTAGAATCTGCAAGCCGCGATATGCAGTCCATAATGGGAAGGAAACGTAAGGATGCCCGACCCGGGGACTACCAGCTCGCTCACCCGAGTGTTCTGGCGATGCGAACAATTCTGCACCCGCACAGCCCTGCGGCTAGCCGTAGGTCATCGCTGCGCACTGATCCAAACATGACTCTGGACTCTGAGGCCGACGATATCAACGATCTGTTGAAGCACTCATCCGTTCGGGCCCTGCAACAGGAGATGCCAGGTACTGCCACAGAAGACCATAGTGAAGTGGATCGGAAACCTTCGATTATGACCCAGGACTTCGTCAACCAAGCGGCGCAGATCATGGCTATGATCCGAAATCAAGTCAGACAGCCAGGCTTGTCAAGTGTCGAGGAATCAGAGGCGGAGAATGCTACGCCTGAAGTCGACGATGCTGACGACTCTTATCAGGAGTCTACAAATGAGCCTTTATCTCGCCCTCCCAGTCGTGAGGGTAAACCGATGTCCAGGGTCCCCCAATATCAAGAGGACCCAGAACTTATCAAGCGACTCAAGAAGTACCAAGAGATCAGTGACATGGGCGATCTTATTACGTTGTCCATGCGATCTATGGGTCTAGTGAAGGAGGCAATCCTGGCTGATCAAGAAGTTGAACGCCAGATTGAGGGATCTCAACGTAGCCAGCCCGATGTGTCTTACAACACCGAAGAAGGGGTCATCAGCGATCCGCCCAATATTCGTCTGACAGCAGGTCCGTCTCATGATGGTTCATCTGGAAGCCCGGCACGATCTCAATCATCTGGGGTTGATACTAACAGGACATATCCTACGACTTCCTCGCATGCCTCCGAGACTCGTAGGACCATCATGCCTGAAAGTGTATCCCATCTCATTCCCGATCGAGTGGGTAGTATGTATCTTGACAAGCAGAACAACATCTGGATCAAGAAGAAGGAAACACCCACTCGTCAACCTATGAACATCCTACCTTCAGACAGCGATGACGATCCTTTTGCGAGTATCCCAGACCTTTCCGTCGATTTGACTAGGGAGATGGCGAATCTTGTTCTGAATAGCGCGAAGAAGCCCAGTGCTCCCCGTAGCTCGAGCCAGTCACAATCACCCGTCAGTCCTACCAAATCAGTCAAGAATCGATCTGCTAGAGGCTTTATGACCTTGTCTCCGAATGGACACCTGAGCCCAGATATGGCTAGTCTGGCTCGTGAAGAGTTCGAGAAGTTGGATGCACGGGTATTAGAAGATTCGGAGCTTTATCTGGATCAATCTATTGAAGGCGAAGAAAGCTTTAACGACGACAAGACTACTAGCACACCCTCGACGACAACCAAGAGGCGCAACCTTACCATCACATTTTCCTCTCCTGTAGCATCCGTCATCCAAGATGTGGTGCTGGCAGAGGATTTGGACAACCTGGAAGATGACCCAGAGCTTCCCAACTTGCACCCTAACAGTTCCTCGCCTAGGAAATCGCCAGGCTGTGCAAATGTTGGAAAGTCAGCGCTTAAGAACAGCGGGCATGGTTCAAGCCGCCACCATCATACCTCTTCACGAAGCGGACCCGCCTTTGTACCTCGTCCTGTGTCACGCATTGATGAGCAAGATGAGGATAGTACCATCGAGATGCCATTCGACGATCAACGACAAGTCAGTATCATTGGGGATACCAGCGTTGTCAGCCATAAAACACCCGATGCGCGCCGGACCAGCCTCAGCTTCGTTGTTAACCACACGCCTGGCAACAACTTCTTCCAACCGACTCCAGATGACAGTGTACTGATCGGCCAAAACGTTGGGAAGTATTCTCTCAGCCCCTTGTCTGAATTTACTTTCCATAACGCAGATCAGTCGATGGGCTTTGAGGTTAGCTATGTTATGGGCCGTCGACATGCGGCCACGGGTGATGGCTCTAAGAAGGTCATGTCCATGACAATAAGAGAACTCGTGGACAAGCTTAGTGAGGTAGAGCCTTATGAGCCTTACTGGGAAGATATCGCGGAGTTGGATCTTCAGGAAAAGCGCCTGACAAGCCTGCATATGCTAGACCAGTTCTGTGGCAAACTGGTGACGCTTGATGCTTCCAAAAACGCACTCGGACACCTAGACGGTGTACCTTCCAGCGTTCGGCAGCTCAAGGTGTCGCAGAACATGCTAACCGAATTAACGTCCTGGGACCACTTGATGAACCTTCAGTATGTGGACATCTCTGGTAACGAGGTCAAGAGTCTATCGGCGCTTAGAGGTCTGGTACATTTGCGAAGCGTTCGGGCGGATGACAACAGGATAACCAGCCTTGATGGTCTTGATACCCATGACGGCCTTCTCACCCTTCGAGCTCGCAACAACTTAATCGAGGAAGTTGATTTTGCAAGAGTCAAGATGGAACGCCTTACCGAAATCGACTTGGAAGGTAACCAAATATCATCAATCCGGAATTTGGAACATGCACCAGCCCTAGGACGTTTGAAACTTTCCAAGAACAAGCTCACTGGGTTTACGGTGTCTTCCTCCTTCAAAACGCTTCGTCAACTCGAGCTTAGCGACAATGAACTCACGTGCTTAGACATTACCAACATGCCCAACTTGCACACTTTGCACATTGATCGCAACCGCATCACTGAGTTGACAGGCTTTAGCCGAGCTCGAAAGTTAGACAGCCTGAGTCTCAGGGAGCAGCGGGCAGATAAAGCACTCGACCTCGGTTTCCTCTCTTCAGCTTGCGAGGTCCGGAAACTGTTCCTGTCCGGAAACTACCTGGGCACTTTCGAACCTGCGGTGGACTTTCTCAATTTGCAACTACTTGAGCTTGCCAATTGTGGCGTTCAAGCGCTGCCGGACAACCTGGGCCAGCTGATGCCCAACCTGCGAACGTTGAATCTCAACTTCAACGCAATTCGAGATCTGGAACCACTACGATTCATCCCACGACTCAAGAAGCTTTTGGTAGCAGGCAACAGACTTGCTGATTCAACTGCGGTGACGGAGTTACTTATCGAGTTCCCACACCTCACCCAGCTTGATCTCAGAGATAACCCCGTCACACTCGGATTCTATGCACCTATGCAAGTGTTGGTACCTATGGATCGCAGCGGATATGTCGATCCATTTGTGCTGCCTGATGCAGATGTTGAACGGGATGCGCTGTACTCCAGTCGACTGGATGAAATGACTAAACTAAGAAGGCGACTACACCAAATTGTATTTGTGGCAAGTTGCAAGAGACTACGAAAGCTGGACGGGCTCGGCATCGACCGAGAGACGGTTCTAGCCAAAGACGCCGTGTTTCAGACACTGGTTGCTGAGGGCTTGTTGCCAGATGAGACGCTCGTTGGCGAGGTTTCGTCGCCATGCAAAGACGTAACGGCGCAGAATGAGACAATGAGAAGCAGCCGTTGGAATGCGGAAGATAGCTTTGCTTAAGGGAGCATTGCAGTGTACAAAAGAAGACAGAGGGAGAAGTGTATGCATATTTTGAACGAGGCGTTCATGGAATGTTTTTGATAATGACTTTGATTTTTGTTAGATCAAGGGAGCGAGAGGCCAGGGAACGGCCATCAAAGGAAAGGGGGGTAAAAAGGTTTTTAACGAATGAACATGGCATGGGCTGTCAATTGGGATTGGCATTGGTCGGAGTTAATGGGTTGTCTTATTACGAGTAATTACTATAAGTACCTCCTGCATACATGAATTGTATGGATATATGGCATAAGAAGTCATTGAAGATGAGCAAAGTTTCAAGTGCGCGATTCATAATTAATTACAAGAAGCATTGACAAGGGTGGTGGTGTCGTGCCTTTCGGCTGGTATCAGGTACTTGTCCTTAACGGGAGGTAATCTTCAAGGGTACCTTGTGAACGCGGGTAAATTGACTGCAGGATGAAGTCACGCTGATCATGCTGCAGCCTCATCGACGTCAGATATACTCTGTACGCATGCTATCTATCCGTAATGAGAGCGTAAGCTTTTGTTGATCAACATAACATGTGAAGCTGAGAAAAGCTTTACCAAGCCTTGCCTTTGAGTGTCGCGTGACAGACGACGAGACACATATTTCAAACGCGTTGGTTCACGAAGAGAAAAGCATCTGTTTCTCTTGATAGCTGAGACAGTGTCAAAGTATCACCCTTGCTCGACCTAGGCCGGGGTAATGTAATGGGCTAAATTGTTAGGGGACATATGTCAGGTTCTGGAATTGCAATGGGTGCGGGAATCTTCGGGCTGTTGGCCAGGCGTAGTCTAGCTGGGATGGCCCTGGAGATGAAATCTATCTCAGCGCACGAGCTTGTAAGTGATCCATCCAGTCAAAGCTTTCGTGTTGTTACCGTAAATAACAAGTTTGTGGCGGTTGTACCCCTTGGGCTTTGATAAAGAAAACCTTTCTGACCCAACCGTGGAGACGGCGCCAGGCACGCTTTTGATATAAGAGGTTGATTGATGTTAGTGCAGCAATTAAGGGATGATTTGTTCTCTTAGCTTACATTGTGAAATAGGGAGGAATGTATTGATCGTCGTGTCTTTTTTTCTTAGGTTCTCATGATGTTAAACTTCATCTTCCATCCTTAATTGGGTTCCAGTTCTGTAACGGGCAGGACAGGCTGTTGGTGCGGAGCGGATGGATGGACGGACAGTAGGGCGACGGTGGGCCAACGCATGCTCATGCTCCCTAAAACAACCCTGGAAGCCAATCAATCTTGCGGAGGAGCAAGACACCCGGACAATCTAGAAGGGCATAAATCACTGGCACTTCCATTACGCTGGGTTTAGGCTGCTTGGCTGGGCATGTCCATGTACATGTACTCTGCACCTTAAGATGCATATTGTTGGCCTGATGCTTGCTTTTATACACATTGACAAAGACTTGTCAAATAAGAGGGAAAAAAAAGATCAAACATTGGTATCTAATCTGATTGGTATACTTTCTACAGTCCAGCTCTTTCATGGCCATTCTACGGATATCTCTGCATCTTACCTACCTACCTAATGTTCGGTTGATATCTTCATCCCAATCAAGTACATGTACCTGATACAAGCCCCTCGGTTGCCTTCGATCGCACACCCTCATCTGTCACACCCACACCCTTCATTATTGATTGATTGATGGGCTCGCTCGTCTACCTACTACCTACCAAGTCCAGTTCCTCTCTTCCCTTCTCTTATCATTTTCCTCTTCAACTCTCTCTGACCATATTCTTGTCGACAGACAAGTAAATTCTTACCATCCTTCAGCTATGGCGACGGCCATGGAAGCGAACGACCCTATGTCGTCACTCCAGCGGTCCGTCTCCCAGCACAGCAGCGCTTCCTACGCATCCCACGCCTCTCACGTATCCCACACCTCCAACCGAAGCTCCTCTAGAAGCAACCGAAGCGCAACTGTCCGAGGCCCTCGCGGACGAAAACGACCCAGTCAACCAGTCAGCTCTGCTAGTAGTATCGCTGCCAGCGACAAGAGTCTCACCAGCTTCCCCAGCTTCTCGCCTGATAGCCCCGGTAATAACAGCCTCGACGACCAAAACGATGGTCCCAACGACACTCCCGTCCCCCCGCCTACGGTGCCCGAAGCTGGGCGCAGTTCAATCGTCGATCTTACTGGAAGCTCTAATGCAAGAAGTGCCTTGTTTGAAGAGGACCACCCAGTACGCAAGGTGCCTGGTTCGTTACACAACGCCGATGATGAGCACCTTCAACGGTTAATATCACGGCATGGCGCTGTTGGGCTGATCAGACAAATTTCCGAGGACCTCGCTCAACGAGATGCCCAGATAGCTAATATGCGCCGCCGGGCTGACGAGAGAGAACGTGCTCTTCGTAAAATTATTCGAGAATGCGGTCTCTCTAACCTGGATCTCGAGACTCGGCTACGGGCCGTTGAGGCCGAGCTCCGCGCAGCCGGCAAGGGACTCCGGAGGGAAGATACCGGCCTGAGCGACCTTATGAGTGATGCGATGCAGGATACAGTGGGAGTTACCGCACATGGCGAGACAACGGCCAAAAGCTCTACTGTTCGAGCTGCGAGTCAATCTGTCAGCACACCAGGCGAGAACGGAAAAGGTACTCTCAAGGGCTGGAAAGATTACCTTTGGGGCTCAGGAACCGCAAAACGGGGTACCCGTACCAACAGCATGAACAGTGAAGTCAACCCTACGACTGTGATACGATCGCACTCTAGTATGGATCGACGACCAACACTGCAGGACGACCTCTTCAATCCCCCAGAAACGCAGCCGACCCGAAGTCCAAGCCGAGCGTCCAGTATCCAGTCAGGAGCAGCGAGTGAGCGCAAAGGATCGTCGTCCCTTGCAAGCATGGCATTACGCTTGGTAGCAGGCGGTGCTATTAGCACTCGTGAGGCTGAATCTCGAGGCCGTGCTGTGAGCAATACCTCAACTAGGGGAGGCTCTCTTCGCGGTGTCTCCACCACAAGCAGTCGAGCGGGTCAGGCTCGTGCAGCATCAGTCGCCGGCGGTCCCAAGGCATTGATGGCGATGCGTAAAGCGACACCAGGACCATCTGCTCAAGGGTCAGGCAGGGCGCAGGAACAGGATCCATGGGGCAGTATGCGAGGCAGTCCCCCAGACAACTTATCATCACGACAAGAGAGTTATGGGCCTGTTGAGATGGACGCCATTCGATCACCCGAGTCACAGCCACCAACATTAACACACATCTACAACAATTTTCCGAACAGTGAATACCTAACTGACAGATTTGGTTTCATTTACGACCAACGACGCAAGAAACGACAACGAGAGGCAGCTCAAGTCGCTCGACACATTCGCAAGGGCAGCCGCACGACAGAGATGCTGGCAAATGGCCGAGCTGGCATTTCACCTAATGTGTTGGATGATGTCCCTAGCCCTAAAGGAAGCACATCGAGCGACGGTCGTCCCGAGAGCATCAACAGCATGGAGGAGCGCAATGCGGATGAGGGGAAAGCTAAAAGATGGACGGACTATCTGAAGATTGCGACTTTCCCGACGGAACTACTGAGCCATACGCCGAGTATAGCGATACCGTCGATAGAGGTGATGGAAGGAGCTCAAACGCCTGAACCCGAGATGTACCCCACAGAGCCTGTTAAGCCAGCAATCGTTTCAACCAACTCTGGCCTGATCCCGTCGGCCAGTACAACCACAGCGGTGGACAGCGAGACCTCGCAACCCTCTCAGTCAGAGTCATCGATTGCGCTCGCTAAAGACGATACCGAACCTGTCAAGTTGCTACTTCGACAACTGAGTGATGTTCACGACGCTCTTCAACGCGACAAGGAGGTACGATGGAATGATTTTCTGCGCAAGGTGCGCGCTGAGCGTAAGCGTGAGGGTGAAGCGGCCATCGCTGCCGCCAAGTCGGCTGCTGATGCTCGCTACGAACAACCTGCCATGATTCTACCCGAAACTCGAGTCGCCGATGGTGAGATGATTGGAGTGTCAGGACTCGGTGTCAAGGGCAAGGTTGGTCGAGCCAAATGGAACGAGTTCAAGACCCTGGTACTGGGCGGTATTCCTGTTGCCTATCGTGCCAAGGTTTGGTCCGAGTGCTCTGGAGCCGCTGCTCTTCGCATTCCTGGCTATTATGAAGATCTGGTTACTCAAAATGGCGAGGACGATGATGCTGTTGTTGTCAGTCAAATCCAGATGGACATCAACAGAACATTGACAGACAACATCTTCTTCCGCAAGGGTCCGGGCGTCAAGAAATTGAACGAAGTATTGTTGGCGTATTCCAGACGCAACAGGGACGTTGGCTACTGCCAAGGCATGAACTTGATCGCCGCCAACTTGTTACTCATGATGCCGTCAGCCGAAGATGCTTTCTGGGTTCTGACATCAATCATCGAGAACATCCTTCCCCATGGCTACTACGACCACTCACTTATGGCATCGCGTGCAGATCAACAAGTGCTGCGACAGTACGTTGCACAGGTCCTACCCAAGCTCTCAGCACACCTTGACTCTTTGTCGATTGAGCTGGAGGCGTTGACCTTCCAGTGGTTCTTGTCCGTGTTTACGGATTGCCTCAGCGCAGAGGCTCTTTTCCGCGTTTGGGATGTTGTACTCTGCACCAACGATGGCAGTACGTTCCTTTTTCAAGTAGCTCTCGCGCTACTCAAGCTCAACGAAGGAAACCTGCTGCAATGCAACACACCTGCCGGGATTTACACATATATCAGTCACCAGATGACAGAGCATGCTATCAGTATTGATGGCCTGCTCCAGGCAAGCGAAGGACTGCGAAAGGTCGTTCGCCGCGAAGATGTTGAACAACGAAGAGAGAAGGCGATACAGGCCGAAAAGGATATGACGATGGCTCGCGATGGAGACTCGGCCAGGAGAAGACCCACCGCCGAGACCGAGAGTGAAACAGGAGTATTTCAGTCAGGCGACGAGTAAAGCTCACGATGTGAAAACGGAGAAACTTAAAAGCACACAATAGAGATTGAATATGGGGATTGGACAAAGGAGCAAGGGATTTACTTGGAGTTTGCGTCTCAGAAGGGCCATGATACCCACTACCCCCGCGATATATAGACGTATTGTTCGCCAGGGGAGTTGATACATTACGGCGTTTGGGATATTCGAATTTCGAGGTTATGATGGCGCCAGGCACTCACTTGTTCATATACGAGAATAGCGAAATTCTATGAAAAGACATCTTTGATACTTCTGACGAAATAATGGTGGTTTCCCTCTGCACCGTCTCTAGTGATTGAACATAAATGTAGGTCTTGATATAAAACCTCATCAAGCCGTATCGCTCACTATTTTCAACAGGTCCATGTCTTCATTCATGTCATTCATTTACTATTTAACATTTAATTCGGAAACTAGATCACCCATCGCCATGCAAAAACGTGTTTCGTGTCTTTTCAGACTTCTATCTTGGTATCTGGTCCTTTCCCATATTTTCCCCATTTGTATTCAAAAAGCAGCCTGTCCATTTATCGCTTGATAATGTCGTTGGCCATCTGTCTCGCGTGCTGAGCCATGATAGCATCAGCAATGACCAAAGCAGCCATACCCTCAACAATGGGCACAGCGCGAGGAACAACGCAAGGATCGTGTCGGCCCTTGGCGGCGAGGACACCCTCGCCTTGGGCATCGTAGCGTGCTGTAGTCTGGTCCTGGCTGATGGTGGCGGGGGGCTTGAAGCCAACCCTGAAGAAGATGGGCATGCCGTTGCTGATACCGCCCTGGATACCACCGGAGTGGTTTGTCTTGGTTTGGAGCTTGGAGCGGGGGATGCCTGTCTTCTCTGAGGCGGCGTCGAGGGCGGGAGCGGGCACGAAGGGGTCGTTGTGCTTGCTGCCGGTCATCTCGGCACCTTGGAAACCGGAGCCAAGCTCGAAAGCCTTGACAGCGGGGATGGACATCATGGCGTGGGCGAGAGTGGCCTGTAGCTTGTCGAAGCAGGGCTCGCCGAGACCAGAGGGTGCATTGCGGATAACGCAGGTGACGGTACCGCCTGTGCTGTCATGAGCGTCGCGCAGCTCAGCGATGCGCGACTCCATAGCTCGGCCGGCGGCGTCGTCGGGACATCGCACGGGGAGGTTCTCATCAACCTCTTGGCGAGTGATTCTCTCAGCCAAGCTGAGGAAAGCAGGGTCAGCGCTCATGGAGTCAGTGTCGCCGAAGAGCTTGATGTTTCCAACAGATGTGACGAAAGCAACGATCTCAATGCCGTAAGCCTCCTTGAGCCACTTCTCAGCGACAGCACCAGCGGCCACGCGAGCAATTGTCTCACGGGCAGAGCTGCGGCCACCGCCAGACGAGGCCTTGGTGCCGTACTTCTCGAGGTAAGTCCAGTCAGCATGGCTGGGACGGGGGTAGAGGTCGATAGTCTTGTTGCCGTAATCCTTTGGTCGCTGATCCTCGTTGGGAACAGTCAAGAGAATCGGTGTGCCAAGAGTGATGCCATCTTCAGTGCCAGAGTGGATAGTGACGCGATCTTTCTCGTTACGGGGGGTGGTGATGGCTGATTGACCTGGTCGACGACGGTTGAGCTGGGGCTGGATATCAGCCTCTGTGAGGCCAAGGTTGGGAGGGCAGTTATCGATGATGCACGAGACTGATTTGCCGTGCGACTCGCCAGCACTGAATACCAAGAAGATATCTATTAGCACTTCTGCCCCTCTGTATGGAGGGGTAAAAACCTACGTCGTCACTCGGAAGAACTGTCCAAAGCTGGACATGATGGGCCCAAGTTAAGTATGTGTAGAGGGGGAGCAAAAAGTAGGTGCGTTTTGGTGTTTATGGAGATGAAGAAGCGGGAGAAAAAGATGGCGGCCGTTGAGAGTTTAGTTTTCGAGGGAGAGGGAAGGAGTCGAGAACTTGTGAGGCTGGAGATCGACCTATCCGATGTCGGTACCAGTTTTTTTACTTTCTGTGTTCTTTGTCTTGCTCTTCTTATTGAAGCGCGGGGGAGGGGCAATTCGGTAGATGTTTTGGTACAGATCTAATTGGTCAGACAAGTCTATGCAAGCAATTAATCCCAATTGGTAGCCAATGTGATTTAAGATAATACTGATCAATACAATGATAATTAGAATAACTTTTATATACCATTAATCCAGCGACATCGGGCTGTTGCTGCTGTGACTCAAAAATATTTGGTCTAGACATTGAAAAAGTCTGGATAATTCATCATCCCCACCCTGACGCTGTAACTCCAGGGCACATCCATTGTAGAAAAATACCTAACACTCCACTAACAGGGTCCCCATCATCATGGAACCCTCCACCGTAAAAAACGTCATGGAAAAGCGATCATCGATCGAGTTTATCAATCAATCGATCCCTAGCCAAGGAGACTCGCGCTGAGAATCGGTACTTTCCACAGATGCAAGGCACAGAAATGTCACTGGATTGGGGATTGCCGCGACAGAATTGGAATCTACCCGACCGCTACTGTCCGTTGAACCGCCCCTAAATTTACAGGCGCTTTCAGTGTCCTATTTCGAGTCTAGGGTGGGTCCTTGGAGTTTCCCGGAACATGCAAGGCTGAGAACGTCTGTTTTCTCCTCTGTTTGCTAATTGGATAGCTTCAACAACAACTTACCAATTGTCTTGGGTACCACCGAGTTTCTGGCAGGAATTTGTGTCTTTCTTTGATTTGTGCTACTAATTGTTAATTGCTAATACTCCTCCAACACTGGAAGCTGCCATTGGCTCCTCCGTCATCGTGATGCTCTTCAGAACCCCCCTTCAAAACTCAATTCCGAGGAGGGCATCACGACTTATTCCCTCACTGTCAACCATCTCAAGACGTCAATTCACAGATGCTGCATCTCACACATCCAACAAGATCCAAATATATACTTCAAAATCCCGGGACCCTTTCCTCAACCTCTCTGTTGAGCACCATCTCCTTCAGAAGACCCCTCCCGAGTCAACAATCCTCTTCCTCTACACCAACGATCCCTGTATCGTCTTTGGCCGCAACCAGAACCCATGGATGGAGATAAACCTTCCAAGACTTGACCGGTTCCGTAATGATCCTGCAAGTGTAGGTTGGACTGGTGGACCAGTGCAGCTCGTGCGTCGTCGCTCTGGAGGTGGTGCTGTTTTCCACGATGAAGGGAATATCAACTTCAGTGTTATTTGCCCTCCCGCTGTATTTGATCGCAACAAGCATGCAGAGATGATTGTAAGGGCACTCTCATCTCTTGGAAAGCCAAACACTCGGGTCAATGAACGACATGATATTGTCATGGATATCCCCAATGATCCCATCGGCACCTACAAGATCTCGGGGTCCGCCTACAAACTCACTCGCCTGCGCTCTCTCCACCATGGAACTTGTCTCCTCCGTAGCCCGAACTTGAAGAACATATCAGGCATGCTACGCTCACCTGCTGAGCCCTACATCAAGACTCGAGGCGTTGACAGCGTCCGCAGCCCCGTTCGAAACGTGGGTATCGAGAACGCTGCTTTCGAGGCTGCTGTGCTAGAGGAGTTCGCACGCATGTATGGCGAGGCTCAAGTTCGAGAGGAAGTCAGCGACAAAATGCTTGAACTGGATGTCATCAGAAAGGGCTACAGCGAGTTGCAATCTCGGGACTGGATCTATGGCCAAACACCAAAGTTCACCTTCTCGAACTATCCATATGCTGAAGACCCTCGGGAACGTCCGCAACTGGACTTTGATGTGAGTCACGCCCTGTAGAGACATATGACAAATAGGCTAACATAATCACAGACCAAAGTCCACTTCGAAGCCAGACACGGTGTTATTGAGAGGTTCAGAGCCGATGGTGCATCATCTGCTACGACAGAAGGTGACTTGTCAGCTCTCGCGTCATCATCCATTTACAACGTCTCCAGCTGGAGCGCACAGCTTTCCCAAGCTGGTATGTCCGACACACAGGCGGCAAAGGTCGGGCCATGGATGGACAGCGTTCTAGGAGTCGAATTTACAAAGCCCGCTCAATAATGTTGTCTCTCGAAGAGGCTGCAACATGATACGCACAATGTCAGAGAGGCAAATGTGAATGAGCAGTCTCATCCGTGTTGACCGTCTTTCTCTACACTACACCACTTTGTGCACAGAGCATTCCATTATTTTCCATGGTTTTCATGTCTCACTCAAGAGGGCGAATCCGAATAGACCCGGTGACTGCCTAGTCTGTGGGTTAGCATATGAACTTGGCACACTATGGGGAGATGGCCACACACTTTCCATACAGAATAAGGCTGGCTGAGCCTCGTACGCGTCGCGTACATGCACAAAAGACGCGTTGCACTTTATTTGCCGCTTCGTGGTTCAGGGCCAGACCGTGAACTATGGACTGCTAAAGTCGAGCAATAGATCTCGGTGGTCTATGGGTGGGAGCTTGGTTGAAGCTAAGGGTATCACATGGCTTGTCAGCCGACCTAGGGTCTATCACACATCATGACTCCCCAACATTGCCCAGCCTTTCGACAGTGCAGTCTGTGCTCAGCACCACCTCCTTCAGCCTCCCGCTGTCTGATAGGCGACAATCTTCATCTTGCCTTGCTTCCATATCCGGCGCACTGTCTGATCCGCGCGACATGACTGGCCGGATGGTATCGCCAAAGTTCAATGTGTGGCTGCTAAGAGGACAGCTGCTCGTGTGTTGAGGATAGTGAGACACTTTGGCGGAGATTTTGGAATCAGATTACAGGCAACCCCGTATTGGGATGAAGGGGGCAAGACCCTGAGACCTCATGGGGTTGCAATGCTCAATATGGACTTGTTCAATATCCTGTTTTTCAAAACAAGCGAAGACACCCATACAATCCGGCAGACAAAAACAGATGTCGAGATCTCAAGATGGAGGGTCCGGGAATGCAGGCTCCGAGACATGCATTGTTGATCTCGCGCGGTTATCGCAACTTATGGCCTTCAACAATCCTGGAGGTATTAGGAAACTTCGCATTCGAGAGCACAAGAGGCGAAATAAGCGAGTCGGTTCACGTCACTTTAGACAAGGTCGCTACTGTATTTATTTTGGTGCTTGAGGCTCGACCGTCAAGTTTTCTGATACCCTCCAGACAGTGGGTTCTCGACTCTTCTTGTTCGTGTTCACTACCCCAGACCGCAAGAGGCGGTGCAGTGGCCAAACCTGTGATGACTCTTCGATGCCATGTATATCATAACGGGCGCAAAGTTGTGATGAGAAATGACTGGCTTCCATGGAACTGGGAATCGGGATTCGACTTGGACCTGGACTTAGGGCTGAAGTAAGCTGTGTCAGCCATCTCTTAATACGTTGGAATATTATCATGAGCTCGGTTTGGAAATAGAATACTTACGGCGCTCACCAAAACATGTCATTGTCGCCGTCTTATCTCCATGTATCTCATATCCCTCGATACGACTCTTGCCTGCGTGATTGTCGCATTCGTATCAGCACAGCCCTCACGAGACAAAACACCAACCCAACAATTAACAAGATGATCAATAATCGGTCCCAGGGTAGGAAACCAATTATTAACCCACCAACAACTCTTCACCAAAGACGACATCATCTTGACGTTAGACTCAGTCATGCTTCTGATCTCCACACCACCAATAAGCCAACCATACTCGTCAGTCGTCACCCTCTGGGATCCGCAAAAGCGAGCATGTTGTGCATGAGTCTACCCCAGGCCCAACAAATAACCTATGAATGGAATTCCCTCATTCGACATCCGCACAGTTGCACTCCAAAGACAAGCTGCGCATTCCCGCTTGTGGCGTTCAAGGATACAGGGTATCAAAGCTGAAGCAGCTTTATTGGCATATAGACTTGCAGTTGACAGCCTAAGCATAGCTGAAGAGGGCAAATGTTGTTGTGATCGGGGCGCAGGGTTTGTTGCCATTCAGCGTAGCATTGTAATAGCCATACTTTGTATTACTGGACAATACAAGCCGTGAATGTTTTGTTTGATCCTTGGACCTCCTCCGCGCAGATCGACCAGGGCATTTGCACAGGAAGTGCTTTGCATACTGTACTGTAGAGAAGATGGTGGTTGCTTCTTCTCTGAACCCTGTTCCTGGTCCGATGATAATCGCTCACTCGCACTGGCTGATAAACGAGGTGACCACAAACCCCATGTTAAGTCAGCAGCTGCAAATCTACAAACAACTTCAAGCCAAATCCCGAACATGATATCAGAAAAGCGTGAGTGTAATATTGAGCACCATGCCTTATCTTAATCCAGGACCAGCTCAGCGGTCCGAGGCTCTGGAGCGTAACTTTATTGCCAGGCTGTATGCAAGGCGTCCTTTCCATCCCATGGTTGGCCATCTAATCTCAGTGTCATTGACGGCAACTGCCATCCTCTAATTGCTTGTGAGGTTGTGCCCAGATCAAATGTGGCACTGCGATCCCCTTTGTCTGTGTCAAGTCCTGGCGGTCTTGCGCTCAGACGATGGAGCACTATCTCCGGGAAGCTAGCGCATATCTTGATTTTTTGGTTGCCGTGTACTGCTGGATCTGAAGATTTATTGCAGCTCCAACCCTGGCGGAGGGGTACTAAGGTTCGACCATTGAAGCTGGGTTCCGTGTCCGACAGGGGTAATTCTGGGTCGTCCGTCAAAGATACATTGGCATCAAGTCTTTCTCACAGTGCACTTGATGTTTCTCCGAGTCGTCTTGGCCATTGTCGCCGGTAGTAAAATGGTCAGCACAACACGGCTTCGAGTAATGATCCTCTTCACTCAAACGGACAATGGCCTGGACCCTGCTAGAGCTTGAAAATGTGATTGATCATTTTCCGTGTCATTTGAAAAGAGTCTAGGTGGAACTTGTTATGTGCAACAGCCAAGACATGCAGCGTGTTACAGAGCGATGCCTGTTCTGAGCCATTCGCTCCTACAACCGTTCAATCGCCGAGAACAAGTCCAACATGACAATGTTGAAATGATCAACATCTGATAGAGATATGAAGATCCTACTGCATACGACTCCATGCCGTTGCTTTCAAGAGGTGCTGGTTGACAATCCCCAGGTGCCGGGATGGCACAGCGTGGATGATTGGCTTTATCAGATATGACAAGACCAGATTTCCCAAATTGGAAACACGTACATCACTGTGTACTTCTGAGATGTGGGAATAAAGGGTGTCTACTGGAACTGTAAAGCACGCCGTTTTGACTCTACCGAACTGTCTTGCTTTGAGCGACTCGCTCCGTAGATGTGATTCGTCAAGCAATAATTGAAGACCCCGTCTTTCCTTTTACGGCATCTTCTTCTTGGCAATGTAACGCTCTGAACCCTTCTTTCAATCATGACGGAACAAGTGCTACGCCTCATTTGCCGGAATTGTCAAGGATATCACCCTGCAGCACCGTCGCTTACGGCGGGACAAAGTTTCCAGGTACGACGTGAAGTGACGGTGATGTTAGATTTCCCGAGGGCCATTAGCAACCAACGGTTTTTTGTTGACAAAACGTCTCATGGCTGATTTCGTGAGAGGCTCCCTAGCTTTTGAAGGCACTCTCTGCCTCTAATTCTGTATGGCTAGAGAGGTGCGTTACTCCAGGTTGGTCAGATATCTATCTGATATTGCAGACACCAGTCTTTCTTTGCAGAAGGTTTCTTATGAGGAACAAAGGAAGAAGGAAAGAAAACTCCGCGACATCAGCCGCAAAACTAGCCGCAAGGCCCTGCGATGTGAAGTACCAATGCAATGCAGTAAGGATCAGGCCTGGCATGACTTGGAGATGGATCATTCGTCTACCGATCTCTTGCGGGTTTTGCGATGACCACGTCCAGATCAGTTAACAGCCGCCACGTTTGATGCAGGAACTTGAGGCGCCGTAATGCAGATGCAGCATCGCACAACATAGTCAGAGCATTCTGAATGGAAATGTCAAAGAGCAGCATGTGCTAGCACAAAGCATTCAGCTGATTGGTAGCTTCATATCATTTGGGTTGTAGTAGTAGACATGGGAGCGAGGCTTGCATGAATTTCCTAGCTCTCTTGTCTCCTCAAAGTGCTGTAGACTGAATGTCTGCAGTGCCGAAGATAATTAACTGATAATCAGAATTGCAATTGCTCATTGCTAAGAACAAGAGCTGGTCCGTGGCCTCGACTGTGATGGGACGGAACGACAAACGCACGGTTGTTGGACAGGGATAACGGGTGCGGACAGACGGGGCTATCCTCCAGGGAGGTCTCTTCAAAGCGGACCACCCCACTGTCGTCAGTTCATCGCGCACTAATGACTTGCTATCCTGAGCTATTGTAAGACTCTGGAGATGAAGAAGTTCTAGTACCCAACGTCATGAAAAGAGTGCTGCTAGTGAGAACAGGACCGCTAGTGATCCGGTTGTGCCTCAATCTATTGTGCTCGGAATTTGGCCGTGTACGAGTTACACCGAATCCTGTCAGAAAACGTGTGATAGAATGATAATTAAGATTGACGCAGCAGTTGTCCATATTGGAGAGCTGATCTATTCAGAGATCGCACAGGCGCCTTAGCGTTGCATCTCTGCATGTTCTTTTTCACGTCTCACCCTTGTCGGGTAATGCAACGCAGAGTCCAGCGGCATCGAGACCGTAGGTGTCTGCAACATCTTCTCTTGGGATCGTGGCATGCGAGCAGAAGCATTTTGAAAAGGGTCAGCCAGCAACGCAACAGTTGTCTGTAACATGTCAATGGTAGCGGCAGTCAGACCACTTGCAAAAAGCTATCGCAGCCGAGTTTCATGCTCAATTGACAGTCCAACCAAAAGGTGCGAGACGTCAGTTGTTCAAGCCGTCAGGGGGGCACAAGTAAGGCGCCGCTGACATTGTGTTAGTCGCTCTATGGAAAACTGTGATAGCAACAAGATGGAGGTTGAATAGGCAATACGTAGTTGCAACCCCTGCCTTGACCCCCTGTCAAGCTGGTGACGAACCCTTGGCGGTGTTCCATTGCCCAGCGCTTTCCCCAAGGGCAGGCCCGCTCGGTGCTCCGCTCATCGTCCGAGCCGGGCCGGTGTTGAAGTATTGGTGGTCGTGAGAATGGTTTTTTAGCGTCGGAGCCACAAACTCCCTTGATTTGGATGCACTTGGGCCCCTGTCTCGTTCCATGGAACAGTTTGTCTCTTCTTGTCGCGGGGAAAATTACGCAACTGACAAAAGCTCAACTTGGAGGATCTTGAATTCGAATGGGGCCATCTTTAATTGCTGATGCAACTGCAGAGTCGGCAAGTGGTTCCACGTTGTACGATAGTATAATTACCGGCAATGTTTTTAGAGAACATGCCGACATCTCGTGGTTCTTGCAGATAACCTGATAGAAGTGGGTGTTGATGATCTGCTCATACTCCTAATCGAGGTGCTAGATGTCAATTCCGCCAGGGACATCTTGAGAATGCAAGAAAACAACCAAAGAACTCCATGTGAGGGGGATTTGCCTATTAAGACCCCTGTTCCTTTGGTCAGGGCGTTTTGAGACATCAGATATGTTGCTTCCTGAGGTGCATCAGTCTGAACCACTTAGGAGCTGGAGTATAGTAGCATCTCGCCGATATGTTGGTCCCTTATCGGTGTTCAGTTGGCTTTGACGCTTTTTCGGCTGCAAGTCTTGGCGGTCCAGATTGTTTGGATGTCTTGTATGTTGGCTGCATGTTGACCGTCTCAGACGCTGGTGGTGATTAAATCGCTAGCTCACTGTCACGGTCAAGTGATAATGGGCGTGACTACCGCTTAAATTCCCAAAAGAGATCGAGGTGTGCGTTCTTGCCCATGCTAGCGGCTAGTAGTAGGCTGTGATCTGGCGACGAGGTTGTGTTAGATTGGGCCTCTGGGCGGTATTGTGATGATGCCTGATGTTCGAGATCTCGAAATTGAACATGGGGAAAGAGCTCGGTCAAGATTCAACCCACAAGAGAGTATTGGAAGTGGATGCAAACTTCCGTAGTGTGGCGGGGAAGGTGCAGCTACGGCAGGTAGCTCGATAGGTCAGGTACGCAGTTGCAGTTGCAGTTGAAGAAAGAAGGAAGCAAGGGAAGAAAAGGGAAGGGCCCCGTACATATCCCGCGGGAATTAATTCCCAGGTAGTAAGTAGTACTCTGGGGTAGCAACAACGGCATCACAAAGGTGAGTGCGACTCCAAGTTAGTTCTCATCATGATATTTTCATCCAGCGATAGTGCCTTGGTAATAATCTAATACTATAATAGGAACACCTAACCTATGGCTCGAGGTACCCTTTGTTATTGATCCTAGACAGGATGAAGTGAAGTTTTGAGGCTACGATATCCATGCAATGCCCTCAGACACGGAGGAACGACCGGCGGGGGCCGAATGCCGGCCTTGTGCATTTACATGCAGATACAGCAAAGTTCAAACAAGACAGAGGCGCTAAAATACCAGGGTCGATCAAATAAAAGCAATAGGTGCTGTAGATTACCTTGCCTTGGCATGTTGGGTTGGTAAGGTAAGTACGGGAGTGAAACCGACGGAGAAATGATCGTGGCGAGTCATTTACCAATGAATTGAACAACAAAGCTTGTGTCCAAGCACTGGTTGATCTTGTATCTATGACATACATACGGAAGATATGTTCCAGTTCCAACTCAAACTTCCAAGGAATGCATGTGATTCACAGATAGCATGATTCAAACAACGTACCTGAAGCCCGGAGGCTGGAAATAAAAAAGGGGCAAGGAAGAAATGCCGATTTTGATCGACACAGCGAACTTGCTAGTTCGTCGCTGTGCATGGTAGAATGAAGTCTATCTTCGGCCGTACTGTTGATCTTGGCAACCGCATGTCATTGAACCGCTGCACGACGTAGCACAATTATGCACAATCATCCAGTTCAATCTACTCAAAACTCATTTTCCTTAACAGGAATATGTTCTCCGTCAAGATCAATAACTCTAAGACAAATATTGAACGTTTTCGACTGAGACCTCAATTGGCACGCGAGCACCACCCGTTTCCGTAAAGCCTCACCTCACCTCGCTGCCAGCTAGTGATATACGAGTGGTAAAGATATAGACAAAAAAACAACATCATGACTTGGTACCGTATCCCTGCCATACAAAGGGAACTCGAACCAGACTGGCTGCCATTTGGTCCTGCAGCTGTGACGCAGACGGCGTCGAGGGCGGCGGCGTAGTAGAAAGACGCCGGCCGGCTTTCGATGTGAGGTGATGAGATACGCTGATACGGCAAGGACAACTTCCGTCGTATGTACCTTTGAAATGAGGCCTTTAAAGTTCTAAGCTGTTGACTATCGAAATCAGAAGGCGAGACATGGCTAAGTCAGGATGCCCTGGTTTGACCAAGGTACGGACGGAGTGCAGAGCCGAAGAGCAGCAAGAAAAAAAAGCAAGCAAGATAGAGAAAAAGAACCTGCGTTCAAAGACGCGGATCTTATCGTAGCTGGGACAGGGGGACAAACTGGTGTCCCCAGCAGATGGGTCCAGCCAAAAGACACGACAAGGCCTAGCCAAGCCACCGAACCCCAACGCGAGCGAATCTGATGAGTTGAGGATTTGCAGACACATGGAAGTGTCAAATGGTAAACTACCATTGGTTGGCTGCCATGATTGCTCATGCTTTCGCCAATTGGTCGTTTGTTGTTATCTTATCGACACGTTCATTTTTTCAAGCCTTGAGGTGGACGTGACAAGCTTCAGGATTATGATGATCCCTCAACTTTGTAACGCAAGCACAACAGCCGAAGTGATCTGCTCGAGGAATCGCCTCGAAACTCCCACAGAATCATGGATTGTTCCAAGGCTTCGGCTGCTTGATTGATGCATCATGACCTGGTAAGGTAAGGTACCATAAACTTAACTTTCTGTCTCCATCAAAACGCTGCTCCACCGGCATTACCGGTACAAGCTTGTGTACCGTTCGGAAGCAGTGTGCGTACAGTACTCTTAGGCGTCATCTTGCGTTGACATGTGCTCGAGACCGCACATAGAAGCACCCTTTCACAGTACGAGTTCTCGTTCTGCAATACGGACAGCTTGAGTATCTCGAAGAATCCACTTCTTCGACAGCATCACCGCCTCCCGCACTTTTGACCCGCAATCGCTTACAGGCCTGCTTGCTCGAGTTTCCGGGCTGTCTCCATTGCGTCAGCTATCGACGACGGCGCAGGACGTCAGGCATGGATCTATCATTTCTCGATCTGTGTTTTGAGCTCTCAAAAGTGCAAGGTACATAGTGAACGAGTGACCATCACCACCATCACAACTCAGGTTGACCGCACTTGGTACCCTCAGGATTGTTATCGCATGTTAACATACTGTACATACTGTACAATAACCCCATCGAGCCACAGTGCGCCAGGGATTTGATTGAACAAACCGGGATTTTTCTTATCCAATGTCAATCTCCTTACGGTGTCACTCCATCTGCAGAGCACCTGCAAATCGTCAAGCCCGAAGCTCTCCTCGCAAGCCCAAGCGTTGCCAAGACCTTTCGGACCAGACCAGGAGATGCTCAATGCTGTGTTCGCTTGGCCGATTCCTTGCTGGTTGAGCCAGCCCAGAGCCTCGCTTCTGACTAGTGGTGGTTTGACCATAACAAATTGCATCGCATGACGAGCCTAGCCCAGATGCGTTTCAAGATAACCTCATCTATGTTTGTTTTTTTGGTGAACCAGATGAATACGACAGCGGTACAGTAACAGCGACGGCGAGGGAACGAAACGATGTGTGCTAGTGAGCGAGGAACGGAGCGGGTGGATGAACGAGCAGGGGCCGGATCCTTGAAGACGGCCGGTCCACTCCGCAGCCCAGCAGAAGCAGACATCGCCGTCACAGAAAGAGTGAGGACAGCGGCGGTTGGGGAGTAAGGCTAGTACATTCACACCCCTCCTGTACCTGGGAGGACTTGGCTTTTCGAGCAAAGACGGTGACAAGTTAGGTGAGGCGATAGATACCTAATGAAAAGACGGTACCTTACAGAGTTAAGCGTCAGGCTGCACTTAATCGATATCACCTACGTAGATGCGCGGTTTATGAACTTGTTGTGCTGGCAACAGTCTTCTTTTCTGCTGGGGACAACGAAAGAAAGCTCGGTCGGCTTGAGCGAAAACGGAACGGACACATGTGTGTGTGTTGTATTTTGGTGACGCTGGACGGTGGCCGCTACTGGCAGGGAGATTCTTGAGCGAGGTGGAGAGGCGAGAGGAGAGGAGAGGGGTGAATCTACATAGTCAAGGGTCGTGTGTGTAACAGATGCTATCTCTCACGGCCCGGGGTTGATCTGAAGATAGTGAGGGAGAGACAGAGTGCGAGAGAGCAGAAAGGGAAGCATGGCGCCATGGGTCGAAGCACAGACCCCAGCTTGCCCAGCCAGAGCCTCCAGTCCTCGCACGGTAGGGACTTACCACATTGGTACCACTATCAAGTCGACTGAGGTGGTTATAACTACTGACTGCTCTCTCTCATGGTCGCCACTACAAACCACACAACATGGAAAGAAAAAGACACGGACACTGTGCATTTCCCACTTGCAATTCCATGCCCACCTCCATCATCACCAAATGGGTCCAACACCAACTAAAAAAATCCACCCCCCCCAAAAACACAAGACCTGTTCTCTCATTGCACCGCTCCACTTGCTCTACTGTTTTGTCCATCCTATTTCACTGTTAACTAGTCTCCATCTCATCTTTCCTCACCAAATCTCTCGCACCTCAAACTCACTTCTTACTTACTTGTTCGACCCCGATCCAAGGACTCGATCTTCGCTACCTTCTATATACGCGACAATGGTACTATAGATCGATCTTTCTTCACGTCCGTCGTGACCTCAACTACTCAAGGCCCGCCGTTGCGAGTCTGCGATCCCCTCCAGCATGTCGAGGCGACTACGGCCGCTACAACAATCTCTCCCATCATGGATTCCTCACAATACTACTACAACCACCATCACCACCACTCCCACCGCCATCATCACAAGTCACTATCGCAGCAACAGTCGTCCACCTCCCTCTCGTCGACGAACCGGGGAACCCCGCCGCTGCATACCCATCTCCCCTCCTCTTCTTCTATGCCTTTGAGGACGGCAAACAGTACACCGATGTCCTCTCCTGGCCTCTTTAGTCCTTCGGCCTCCCGACAAAACCTCGCCACCTCTGTTTCCGAGAACAACACGCCTCCCAATTATGCACAGAGTCCACTACTGCATCCTCTGCAGATGCACAAAGTTAGAGAGTAAGCATGAGAAATTGTTTTTTGGAAATATGGCCTCCCAGCTTTCTATGGTTTCACCCATCCCGCTCCTAATTGGCGTTGTTCGCCTATGGCGGGGGAATGGCCAGGGAGCCTGGCATACATTGGTCGTTACACTTCTCAGACACTAACTAATTTGTCAACAGGACGCACAAGGCGCTCATTGATTCAGATACCGCTACGGGCCGGAAACTTATCAACCAATATGAAGTGATCGAAGAAATCGGCCGTGGCATGCACGGCAAGGTCAAGCTGGCTCGGAACCTCGAGACCGGTGAAAATGTGGCTATCAAGATTATTCCACGTTTTTCTAAGAAGCGACGTCTCGGGAAGGTTACGGCAAAGTCTCCCCAAGACAAGACGAAGAAGGAAATTGCTATCTTGAAGAAAATTCGCCACCCCAACGTAGTCGCCCTCCTCGAAGTCATCGACGACCCTGAACTAAAGAAAATCTACATGGTTCTCGAACATGTAGAACTTGGAGAAGTCGTATGGCGAAAGAAAGGCCTCCCTCACATCTGTCTGTACGAGCGACGACGCATAGAACGCGAGATGCGAGGCGAGCTTCCCACCCCCGAAGAGGATCGCTACGAGCAGCTTCTTGAGCACCGCCAGGCTGTGAAGCAGATGAAGCGAGCTAAGATGGCTCAAAACTACCCCGGCCAGATGAACTGGAGTTTCGAGAACGGCGGAGCGGATGAGCCCAGCAGTAGCCTGGGAAGTCAGTCCCGGTCAATGCAAGATTTCGTCATGAGTGATGGCCCGCCATCCCGACCTGCTTCTCGACAGACATTCCGTGAAGAATCAAGGAGACATTCTCGATCACGCTCTGTTGTTTCATCAACCCGTGCGGTAGAAGACCCCGATGAGTTCGTCAACTGGGAAGACGACATGGAAACCCCTCTAGGCCTTCGATCTAACCCTACCTCCAGCACTGCTTTGGATGGTACCATGTATGGTCCATATGTGGATGAGGGCTTCCGTGGTCGCTCCCCCAGTATGGCCGACTCTATTATTTCTCATATGTCGTCTCTTGACTTCAATCCTCAACAACATGACCCCTTCTCGGACGACTTTTCTTACGTTCCATGCTTCACTTTCGACCAAGCACGTTCGACATTCAGGGACACAGTATTAGGATTAGAGTATCTACACTATCAGGGTGTTGTCCACCGTGATATCAAACCGGCGAATCTCTTATGGAGCAAGGATCACCGTGTCAAGATCTCCGACTTTGGCGTTTCCTACTTTGGTCGGCCTATTCGTGATGGCGAATTTGACGACACTGTGTCAGAGTCCGAGGCCAAGGACTTCGACGATGATCTCGAACTCGCCAAAACTGTTGGAACACCTGCCTTCTTCGCTCCCGAGTTGTGCTATACCGATTTGGACACAGAACAGCCAAAGGTTTCTGAACAGATCGATGTGTGGTCTCTTGGTGTGACCCTCTACTGTCTGATCTACGCCCGAATCCCGTTCCTTGCTGAGGATGAGTTTCAGATGTTCCGTAAGATTGCCACGGAAGAGGTTTATATCCCTAAACGCCGATTACTCCCTGTTCATCCTTCCACCTCACCAGCTGCTACATCCCTTTACAAGCGACAGAATACTCACCCCTATCGTGACGACAATGATTTGGTTTATGAGGAAGTCGACAATCTTCTTATTGATCTCTTGCGACAGATGCTCACCAAGAACCCGGAAAGGCGTATTCGACTCCGAGATATTAAGCGCCACCCATGGGTCGTCCAAGACATGGCGAACCCTATCGGCTGGCTCGATGATACTGATCCTGCCCGCCCATCATCAGGTCGCAAGATCCAAGTTGATGAGAGGGAAATGTCCTCCGCTGTTGTGCCTCTTACCTTTCTGGAGCGTGCTCGCTCAGTGGTTAAGAAAGCTGTAGGCAAGGTAATGCACCCCCTGGTGGAACGAAGTGATAGCAAAACGCGACGTCGAGCCAACAGTAGTGCCGCTAGCTCCGCCGGTGACAGTGTCAGTATGTGCAACAACGGACCTCCGACTCCTCACCAACAATACCGTGATAACCGACGCAAGAGCCTTCGTCCGGATGACTATTTTGCGAACGCGATGCGTGATGCTTCTGCCGCACCCGAGCATCCCCTTTCAGTCAGCACAGCAGCTAGCCCTCAACCCGAATCTGTCATATACGATCCTCTAGCAACAGTCCTTCCAGAAGCTGGCGTTTACCGGGGACATGCCCATGCTCACAGTGAAAGTGAGTCTCACCGTGAACCCGAAAAGTCTGTCTCGGCAGCCTCCCTATGGCCATTCCATCGCCATGCCCACAGCCATGGACATAGCAAAACTACACAGCACTTCTTCCACTTTGGCAGCAACCTGCCCATCTCTCAGACTACACCTACAACTCCGAGCTTCGCCAGTCAAGCTGATTCACAAGAAGACTCTGGAGCTGAGACCATTCGCAAGACTCGTGATATGGATCCCGTGGACGCAATGGATGAAAGCTCTCGATCAAAATCTGTCGATCGCGGTCTTTTTTCCAATTCTGACAAGCGTGCTGAGCCCAAGGTGGGTGTGAATACCACAGTTGTCCCTGGCAATGTTCAACTACCCACTCGACATGGACGACAGCCCGTGAAGTCTGTTGACTTGGGAAATATCTCACATCACAGGCGGCCTGAGCCATCGCTTCTATCTTCATCTCTTGCTGCTGCTGCGGCCGCCGGACATCGACACAGTCATTCAGAATCGACATATACTGCCGACGCACATACGTCCACCAGGACCAGACCTCGGTCTCTGCAACGAATGGACAGCGCTCCCATCACCAGAACAACACCCCCTCGTCCTTCGGAAGAACTCTGCATGCGACGATGTGACCGACCGCAATCAGAGCATATTAGCTTCTCCTGCCCGCCATCGCCTATTCAAGAGGAGTGGGATCGAGATGAGCCTCTTCCTCGTGCAGACACCATGCCCACTACAAAGTCGTCGAGCATAGATTCCATGGAGGCTTTGGCCACACCTTCGACTAGCCCAAGTGAAGTTACCAGTCCCGTCTCGGCACTCCCTTCAACGGCTAGCACCTCGGAGAGAATGCTGGCATTCCAGTCCGACCCCTCCTTGCCAGCTCTACTAAGTGGTGCCAGCTCTGTCTCAGCCGATATGGAAGCTGAACTCCTTTGCAAACCAGGCATTGTCAGCGCTCATCCTGAATTGCTCGAGACTACCGATAGTCTGACGCCACCAGGATTTGACAAGGAATCCGATGGCTTCCCTATCGATCAGGTTTATGGTCACCCTTCTGCCATGGACAGCGGCTCCCTTGCTGTACACCTGGAGGGTAACGCACGAGACTCCGTGACAAGTACGCCCGTTGCACGACCTGTGGATGATGAGTCCGACGACGATGGCAGTGATGATGGGATACTCCTGATGGCCAAGTCGAAGAAGAAGCCAATACAAAGCACACAACGACCTGCAGCGTGCTATCCTCCTAAGAGACGTGATACCAACATTAGCATTGCAAGCACTGAGACTGCCAAGAAGGTGCCGACCTCTACATATGGTGACGAGGGGACGTCACCCTATGAACCATGATACCCTTCCCCGTTTCGTGGCAACATTTACCAAGTTCTTTCTATTTCTCTTTTTCACATACTTTGTCACATGCCAGATAAGCATTGGTTCTTTTTGTTATGGGTTGAGCTGTCTTGTCAGCTGTCTGGAGAACAGTTTTCCAGCATTATGCCTCCATTATATATATGAGGCTAGGATCATATCAGGTGTTTTTCTTGTTATTAGAACGTTTCTTCAATCCCAGAGAGGGATTTCTACTGCATTGCTATTATGGCATATCATGGGCGGCTCAATTGCTATAAACATTTACCCCCGCGTTGTTTTGGGGACGGGAAGTTGCTTCTGGGTGGGGACGAGAGTTGATTGATGGATGTTCGAATGAGGAAATGAGCATAATGATGGGTCATGAGATGGAATGAATGGCGATGAGTTCAAGGCGAAGACGTATTGAACAAAGGCAGTGGCCCAGAAAGTATCCGTGTCGCCGGAAGCCAGTCTTGTGTACACGGATACATTGTTTACATATTGGAGACACTCGAGGAGGGAGAGCACAAAGCATGGTTCCTTGCATTTTTTCATGCTGGTGATTCACCAGCCTGTTGGGGCGAGTCGGGCTTTGATGCATTTATATAGATATAAGGAGGAAACATGTTGCTTTTCTTGTTGGACATATTCTAGCTCCTGAGGATATGTGTCGAGTGTTGAGCACAAGACATCGATAATAAATAGCCGCTTGAATCTGCCAAATCATGAACATCGTATGTGACCATTTGATACTCCAATGAAAGTTGTGGTATATTATAAGCAGCAGTAGATGTCTATATTTCAATAGATTTCTAGCACAATATCCTCATGATATGTGTCTTTCGATTAAGCTGTGGATTCTGAAGGCGTGCCTTGATTCCCCACACGTGCAAGAAGTGCTGAAACTACCAAGCCCAGAAGGCAGACGCCAAAAACTCCGGCTACATTGACCACCGTTCGCACTGAGGATGCAGAAGACTTCTTATCCACGATATCGCCCAGGATGTCGTCAAATCGCTTAGCCATCTGCCCCCGTCCAAACATATCCTTGACTCTTGCTTCGCTCTTGTCTCCCATAGTCTTTACCTCAGCGTCATTGAGTTTCAGTGCCTGACGCACAACCTTAGCCCACTCATCTACATCACCCGGTGATCGCAACCATCCTGTTTCGCCGTCCACGATAGTCTCAATAGGCCCGCCCGAGTTGGCAGCCAGAACAGGGGTTCGGGCGAGCATGGCTTCGAGGGGAACGATACCGAAGTGCTCGTTCTTGGGTGTGTAGAGAAGAACGCGAGCGGAACGAAGAAGCGATGCTTTGAGAGAATTGGGGATCGAAAGGAGGAAGAGAACGGGGACCGAAGCCGGTGCTGATAGAGCGGTTATGAGAGTCTTGGTGGTGAGGTGCTCGAGACCGTGGGAGGAGGCGAGAGCTTCAAGTTCGGCATGGTATTGGACGTTTTCGGAGACGCGAGGATCATAGCCGCCTGCATAACAGTTAGTACTGCGGGAATACTAGAGCATGGGACTTGAGGGTAGCATACCTGCTAGGATGAGTCGGCAGCCCTTGCGCTCAGCTCCAGGAATAGCAGCAAAGGCCTTGATCGCAAGTCCAATATCTTTCTTCCTTTCGAAACGGTTGATACTCAAGATGACCTTTTCCCCCTTGAATGGAATATCTCCATCACCAGCATCTTCCTTCTCCTTGACCTCAGTATCCACACAAGGATACACCACTTTAGTCTCAGTGCGCTTCTTGAGGTTCGGCCACGTCTGGTTCACGATACCCTTTGTAAACCCCGAGTTAACCGCTACAGCGCTTGCGAATCCCATAGTCCATTCTTCAAGCCAGTCAAACGGGCGTCGGTACAGGCGCTTCAGGGCAGACTCGCGGCCTTGCGCAAGGAGAAGATCGGGGAAATGGCAGTAGAAGAGGATCGGAGTGGCGGGGGCGATGTAGCGCATGAGAGGAAGACCGGCGGAAAGTTGGTCTACGATGAAGGCGCGCGGGTTCAGAGCATGTAGTTCGCCGGTAAGAGCTATGTGCATCAGGAGATGGACGTGGCGGAGGATGGCGCAGAGGATTGTGAGGCGGGAGAGGATGGACATTGGGATGAGCCAGTGTCCACGAACACGGACGTCGAGGGTTCCTATAAAGTGTCTTAGTAGGTGTTGTATGAGAAACAGAGGGTAAGTATATACCATCGCGACATTCATCAAAGCAATGCTTCGGATCGCAATGATTGGTAAATATCACCACGCGATGCCCACGTTCTTGAAGTCCAACAGCAGCATCTACGACAAGACGCTCGGCACCACCGATACCAAGATCGGGGTGAAAGAAGACGATCGAGCCTTTATCTTTGGCGTCTCGAGCCATGATTGATTGCGCGCTCTCTCTTTCTTCAGAAGTTATTTGAGAGGGAAGAAGGGTTGGTGGGGGTTCGACTTGGAACTGATGAAATGAAAGCTGGAGCTAACGTGGGGCATCTTGGAGAAAGGAGAGTGATTGGTTGGGTCTAGTTGAGGTACGTGGCTGTCATGGGAAGTGGGGCCGTTCAGTTCAATCCCATCATGAGGTACGTAGTACGTACATTTTTACCCCAGAATCTTTAAATGTTCAAGTTCACATGCAAGTCAAAAAGTACTGCATAAACATGGCGGATAAAGACATCATTAGGATGAAAGGCAACAATATAGGTTTATCTTCCATATAGAAATCATATACAGCGTTATTGTAGCAGGCTATCCGTCTATCATATGACATCTCATGCCGAGAACAATCTCAGATCCATGGGTCTACCCCAACCTCAAAACGAGCCGAGGTGTTTCCTCTAGCCGTCTCCACGCTCTTACTTATATTTTGGATCCATTACTTATACCTACCACCCTCACTCCCTTTCCTCATCAACAACCAAATCTTCAAAAATGTCTTCACTTTTCACACTCCCCATTGAGCAGTGCGGCGCCCACCCAGGTGGTACTCTCGCCTGCACCGAGCCTGCACCAAGAGTCTACCTACTCACTCTCACATCCCCCCCAGACAACCGTCTCACAACGCCTGTCCTGAAAGCCTTTCTTAACGCGCTTGATATCATCGAATTTGGTTATCCTCACGGTGTTGTCGCGACTACTTCGGGGATTCAGAAATTTTATAGCAATGGGCTTGATCTTGAGCATGCTGTTGCCACAGACGGTTTCTGGCCTTTGTTGTATGATGTTTGGAACCGCTTCTTGACGTAAGTTTACATCCTCATTTACCGGCTAATTACATGTAATGTCTGACTGTACCAGATACCCTATGCCTACAGTGGCCCTCATGAACGGACATGCTTTCGCAGGCGGCCTTATGCTCGCCACATCCCAAGACTACCGCCTTGCTCCCTCCCCCCGTGGCTTCCTCTGCCTCAACGAGCTTGTCTTTGGCGCACCTCTCAAGCCCGCCATGTCAGCTCTGTTCCGCGTCAAGTATTCCCACGAGACTTACCGCAGCCTTGTCCTCGAAGCCAAGCGCTTCTCAGGCGAGGCCGCTGTGACAGCTGGTATCGCTGACGGCATTGCGCCGCAAGGCGTTGAGGACCTGCTTAGCTTTATCAAAGAGAAAGAGCTCATTGACAAGAGTAAGTCGGGCGTTTACGGCGTGTTGAAGATGGAGATGTACGCGGGTTTGATTGAGACCATGAAGGGCCCGGCTATGGAGGCGCATGAGAAGAGATTTGAGGAGGCGCAGGCGAGGGAGGGTGAGAGGATGGAGTTCGGAAAAGTTTGGTATGAGCAGTGGTTGAAGGATGCCAAGGCAAAGCTGTAGTTCACTTTTGTGTTGCATATACCCGGACTGTAATCACATTTGTACTGTATTGACCTATCACCAAAATCGTCTTTGTTAAATCAGCATGAGCTAGCTTCAGGGTGTAAGCCTAAAAGAGGAAATGGTTTGTTTAGTCACTTTATAATATTTGGATGGACAACTTTTCTGTTGCCCATTATGCTAGCTAGGTATTTTGAGACTCCGTATGATCTCATCATTATTACTTATTTCGATTTTTTATATACTGTTTTCATGGCCGCAGTTAAAGGGGGCGGAATGCTTCAGCACCCGATCATTCGCCGTCTTCTATATTAATCTCAGAATCTGTGATATCTTAGATGTCGTCCGTTCCTATATTGCCACTAGTTTACAGGCAACTCCCTCCGGTGACATGTATATATATGCAGAAAAATGATCATAAACCAAATACACCTACTGCGCCAAGTTCAAACTCAGGAAATCTCGATGTGGTATAGCAGCCCTATTTTATTGCTCCCATGATAAACGCCAAAACCCCTGTACCGCATGGACGCCTCGCAGATATATCATAACATGGTCTATGGCCGATGGAAATAGACATAATGCTAGAGTCAACGATGACCCAAACAGTAAAATCAGTGACCGCCTTGGCCCATATGGGGATGTTGCTGCTCTAGAAGACCCAGCACGTCCGAAGGAAAATAGTCTAACCAAGGGCCCATCATATCTGACTGCTGCAGCCCCAAAGCAGCAATATCAATATCCTGGCTGTCAAATGTAATACCATCCATGCTGCCCATAGAATTCGCCCAGGGCATAGTGTATGGGAAGTTGTTTTGGCCAAAGTACATGGTGTTAGCTCCAGAGAGTGTAGTGGCTGGAGTTACTCCATTCTCTGTCATTGCCGTTGGTGGAGAGACGCTATATGCATCAAATCCAGCCGAAGGCTGGCTTGTGGGTGTGAATCTAGGTCCGGTGTAGAAGTCGTGGCTTTCGCTATCCTCAGGAACCCCGTCAAACTGGACAGTAGGTCGCGTTTGGCCACTTGTCGCTGAAAGATTCGACGTCCGACGAGGCGCAGTAGGGCGAGATGATTGCCTCACAGCCGAAATATTATGTTGGGGGTAAGCCGGAGCGAGCATGTTCGTCGAATCTGGCAGGCTCTGGCGTATAGGGTCGAAGATCATATTGCCTGGTGGTGTACTAGGTGCTCGCATTGGCTGCGTCGGTTGTGCTGCTGTTTGAGCTGGCGAATCTCGATTTTGATACATGAGTGTCAAGCTAGAATTTGGTGAATTGGCTGTTCCTGCCAAGGTCCATGCTATAGGGGGCCCTGACAGCCGTGGGGATGCCTTATTCTCGAATTTGGGGAATGGGTTGTTCAATGCGCCATTGCTACCCCTACGAGGCGCCTTTGTGCTTTCATACTCTTCCGCTGTGTATGTTTCACAGTCCCAGATCCCCTTAGCCCTTTGATCCAGAGCAGTGATAATATACGTAGCACCGCCCCAGTACTGTTCAATCTGTTGTAGAGAATTGAAGCATTTCTGGTAATTCTGGTTAGCTGCAGAAGCCAACAAGGAATGTCTCGATGATTTTGCATCTCGAGATCTGTTACCCGTCGATGCAGTGTGTTGGGCACCAGGGGGTGAGCTGGCTCGCGGGGGTGAGCTGGATGCATTGGCACTCGACTCCATTACGAAGGCACAAGCCGCAATATAGATTGGCTGACAAGTGAAAGGGTTCCCGATAAAACTCTTCGGATCAATCAGGTCAGCGAAAGATAGGATATCGCAAATCGTTTTCGCACTGCTCATACTGAGCTCACGACTATCCGGTAACAGCTGAAGCTCGCTGCGAAGCTCGGCAAAGGGTGTGAGGAGGGTCGGCTGATGAAGAATGATGAATAGAGCGTGAAACCAAAAGTGTAATAAGATGAAGGTCGTGCCTTGGCCAGCTCCCAGATATGCCTTGAAGTTGCTCACATTGAACTGCAGGCGCCAGTCCCAATTCTTGTAGAGTCTTGTCAGCTCATGCTCCATCTCGCCGAGCTTATCCCAGGTGTCCTTAGTGAGATCCTGCGCGTTGCGAACCTTGTTAAGAACGTCGCAAACACGTCCATAAAGGTGAATAATCTGCAGGAAAATGGGATATGGAGCTGGCCAGTTCGTAGCTGGGTCAATAAAAGGTTCCGGGATCGAGAGTTCCAAATCATCATCTCGGAATGTCACAGGACGACCTGTTCCCGATGAGATGACCCGATCAAGAACAAAGACAGCCCAAAAAGTATCCATGCGTTCTTGTACAAGCTCCTTTTGCTCTTGAGGGTTCAGGTGACTTGATTCTCCTGCCTTTGCTTCCGAATCTCCTTCATCGACAGGTGGACGGCCCCAGTTCTGAGAATACAATGCGTCCTTCTCCCCATGGTACTGAACTCCAACCTCTTTTTGTAAGCCCAAGTCCACAGCCATACGAATAGCTAGGCCGAGGTACATCCAAAGCGCACTATCTTGGCCTGCTCCAAAGCCTTCGTATGCCATTAGTAGACACGCTTGTACAGCGCCAACTGTTGGGCAGGGAAACGTATCAACAGTAGCTTGCCGAGCTCTTTGTGCAAATACTGAGCCACGTTCCATTCTAGGCATTTTGTCGTTTCCATTTGTGAGGGATGGAGAGTCGGAGAATCTCGCCGATAAAGCGCATATTGAATCGACAAGTATAGGTTCAACCCTCTTTTCTTTCACCATGCGTAGGAACTTGGTTTGTCGCAGGAATGGGTAACTGGAACCCATTTGTGTAAAGAAGGTGTTCACTAGACTGATGATCAGAGGATGGACCGGAGCCGGATCGTTCGGATCGTAGGTGGGCAGTTCTTCGTGAACCGCTTCGCTAACAACTGAGCTGCTTCCTTGCGCTCCGCTATGTGTTGACATAGGAGACGTCCCAGCCATTGAACCAGCCGTCGAGCGCCTGCGATCGCGCACAGAAACTACCATTTGTTTGAAGCCAGGAACAATGGCAGTCGGGCCAAAGTATCGGAAGTAGGGAACGCGATGTCGTTCGGATTTGCGTACAGCTGTAGGAGAAGGTGTATTCTGGGCGGGTACGGACGAGGGTTGGTGGCTGTTGTGCGAGGGCGCACTCGGAGTTTCTGTCGTGTCGTGCTTTGAATCGACCATGCTCGCGAGCGACATTGTAGCTTCCGAAGCCACATGGGGAGTTGGTGCGTCGGGTGTGCGCTGGACCTGCACGGGGACTTTCTCGACTTTGATATCTTCATCGTGGTAGTTGTGATGTTCGTGTTCGTCGCGATCGTGACCAACTTTGTCCAACGGCAATTTCTCGATATCTTCCCTCTTTATCTCTTCGGGATATCCCAAACATCGGTGTCCGTTCTTGGTGCAAGTAGAGCAAACTGGTCGTTCGCCAGCGCACCTCGTCTTGCGCTTCCGACATGTTAAACACCTGAGCCGCAAAGGAGTTAGCACCTCGCAATTGACTTGAGAATGGCGATTCAAGTATCCGCGCGCAACACAGGTATGATGTTGGCCTGGAGTCGTGCGACTGGTGTTGTATTACAGCCAGGGGCAAGTGCAGTGAACCGGAAAACACTTACGCAGCATTTATTCGGCGCCGTTTCGAAGGCGGTTGTCCTTGATTATGTACGAAGCGAATCGGACGCGGCGGCGGCGGAACCGAGTCCGATGTGTTGGTCTGCGTGCTCATGGCTAGAACATGGTGATGCTTCTCTTAAGGTTGCAGAAGTGGGCGCAGAAGCAGACGTTGGAGGATTGAACGTCTAGAAGCTTGGCGCAAGGTTGGGGGACGGAGATATAAACATCCAGAGAACGATGACGAGCGAGCGACAAGCTGACCAGCGGGGTTTCGGTGTCTTTGTGGGCGTGCTGCAGGCCGTGTGGCTTGTCGGTGTTGGGCGAATATGCAGCAGGTGGCGAGGTAATGCAACCTCGGGGAATAGGGTGCAAGGGATGCGATGCGACAAGAGAGATTGCGATCTCGTTTGGTTCGTAAGCTCTGAGAAGAGAGTTAAAAAGTGTTGGAAATATGATGCGGCTACCGATTCGACAAAAGCGCTAAGGGTAGACGGGAGTGCATCAACGGCTTAGTGGCATGTTCAGGATTGGTCGTGTGAAGAGAACCAGGAACATGAAACCAACAATGACAGTGACAGGTCCTTAGGCTGAGAGGGAGGCAAGGATTTCCGATTGGGTTGTCAGGAGAATAGGGAGGATGGAAAGAAGGACGGACGAGAGTCGCGATGTTTGATATGGCGAGAGAGGCAACGAGAATGATAAGGAATTAGAGATTACTAAAGGAGGATAAGTTTGGTTTAGGATCGGGAGGGGGGGATGACAGTGAGAAGAAGTTGTGGGTTGAAGGTTGGCTTCCCTTCCTCAGCCAAGAAGAAAGTGGACGACAGGCAGGGAGTCAGGTCTGGGGGATGGAGATGGTGGTGTTTAGGCAAGTGGGGTAGATGCTCATGTGGAGAGTGAAAGGAAGGAAGGAAGTTGAGAGTAAGCTCAAGTGACTGGAGCTACCTAGGTCCAGTATCAAAAACAACAAGCAATGACAACATACCTTGATCGTGATAGCTTCAGTGTTGATGTCCAAAACAAATTGTATGTATGGGCCCAAGTACAGTGGCTTATGTTATTGTAGAAATAGAAAACAAAGAGGCGTTGTGTTGCAGATTAAAGTAAAGAAGCTAATGCAATCCAACCAACAGCCAACAAAACTGGGCACTGGCACAAAGGATGGAACGAAATATCGTCACATTTTATGATCCAGTCCAGTCCAGTCCAGTGGCAAGAATTTAGCCTTGATCCCTCTCCTCTTTTCTCTCTCTCTCTCGCCTTTTCTCATGGGCTCATCTCAACCAATCCTCCTCCACCATCAAACTCATCCTTTTTTACTTTCCCCTTTCCTACTGTAACCGTTGACCCTTCCAGCGCCCAACCGCAACCTTATTAGACTAAAAGCCAAAGCAACGGCCCGCTTGCCGCCTCGTTCAGCCCCTTAGCCTGGGCGATTATGATTATCATAGATCAAGTGACCGTCTGAAATGCAAGATCCTTGTCTCATCATGAAGCTTTTCTGTTTTACATGATGCATCTCGCACATGAAATACCGAACCGCATGTAGGCTGTCGGATTGGCAATTCTAAAGGTGGTAGGTGTTCTTGGGTCATTCTCTTTTCTGACCCAAGATAGGCTCATTAACCGACATACATGATTACAACAACGTCACCGCCAAATACTCTCCTTATAGCCGAGAATGACTAGAAACATTCTCGATCTGATTGTTTCATCTTTGGAAGCTTACAGTACAAGCTTACCCCACGGCGCTAGACAGTTGTCAATCCCATGATCCGGACAGCCACCCTGTACAGGTCGAATGGAAATGAAGAGCCAAGCAAAACCCAGCAACGGGCTTTGATATTAAAATGCGGGGGAGTCATTCATAGCCATGACTTGCCAATTGAACTTCAAGATAGTTTCAAATGGCTCTTCCTCCTTTAAGAAAATCCTCTGGCCTCAATAACCCATGGTTTAACACCGACATGCCATCTCCGATGCAGATCATCATGCACCGCCTGCCTCATCACCAATATAGGAAATGGAGCCTTCGATCTGTTGAATATCAGTGGCGAGTCATCAAGATCCACTAAACAGACACTGCGTCAAAATGTGATGAAACGAAACTATGTATCGTGATATATCCACAATGAATGGCAGATGCTCCTTCGAAAAGACAGCACACTCAACCTCATGGCTTCATATATACATACATATTTACATGATAGACAACCAAAGATAAATTCAGATAGACAGACACAAAACCAGTTTGTAAATTACCAACCCCAACAAATTAACGCCAGGTCGTCCCCCTAGCCCTCCTGAAAAATGCATTAACACTTCGCTTCCCATTCCTTTTTCAACTCCTTAAAGATTCCCAGCTGTGGATTATTGCTGGACGGGTATCGCCAATTCGCTGCCGTCGTCGTCATTTTAATCATCCAACGTCGTCTTCAAACTATCCAAAAACGATAGTCACGCCCATATCTGCACTGACTCTTCTCCAAAGATCACCTCCACTCCTCACACCCATCATCATCGCCTCCTCTTGCTGTTGCAACAGGTCGGCCTTATCCGCCCTTCTCCAAACTTCTTGAACGATCGTCCATGCTCGATCGATATTTGTCATACCTTGCCTACGGTTGATGGCGATGAACGTCTGGCGTGCCAGGTCGCGATCAGCAAGTGTAGTGGCCTCGCAAGCAGCGACAAATAATGGCCACAGAAGGGCACTCATGGGACCAGTATTGCTAACAGTTCCAACACAATGAGTCAGGCTGATATGCGCATGACGCTGTACAAGTGGGTGTCTGCGTGGGTAGCTGTAAATAGTGCGATAAAGGTAGACGAACGCTGAGTGGCGGTAAGACAAAGCATTGCTGAGAATACTCTGGAGGCGGCTCCTTTCGGTTGATTGTTCAGGACTCAATTCCTCAGGGTTCTGGTTCAGGATCGAGTTCTCGGGCAACACAGGGTGCCAGTCCTCAAGTGCGGCTTCGATGGCTGTTGCTGAAGTTTCAAATTCCGTTCTAAGAACCGCCACCTTGGAAACCTCCTCGTTCGCAACTGCAACGTCAAGTTGGTCTTTGAGGGCCAAAAGATTGGACAGTCGATGAATGATTGGCCATAAAGAAGTAGCCATGCCAAGCAGAGTGTCAACGCTATTCAGGGGAGATGTAGCACCGCCAGAGTCGAGAGGAGGGAAAGGAGCCATATAGTTGGTGCCTGGAGCGCTAGAAAGAGGAGCAGTACCAAACGATAGCGCTGCGATCACATCATAAAATCGGAATGCCTACGGATTATTAGATGCTGTTCAAAGAAATTCCAAGAGAAAACTCACTCGCTCCAGAAAGACACCAGTAGGATCGGTGGCAGTGCCATTATTGCTCATAATAGTCATGGCGCCCTTGAGATGGCCATCGACAATGTTCGATCGGCCTTTCTGAACCAACTATTACAAAGTCAGATTAACAAGATCAAGATAGATTGTCTTTGTCCACACTCACCACTTCATAATACACTAGAAGCATGATAGCAGCCAGTAGTTCATTTCGGTTAGCGCCTGGTCCTTTCTGAATTAACCTCGCGAGGCCTTGAATGGCTTTGTTATGGAAATAGACACTCTTCTCATCGTTCTCAACTCCACGATATTCGAGATGAGCACTCGCTAGAGCATAAACTGCGTTGGTCACCGGCTGGCTTGCGTGACACAAGGGAAGAACAAGTTGTTGAAACGGGTTACCGCTCTCTTCACGGAACACGATGAGATGCGACAGAACATTGCAGAAATGATCGACAAGAGCGCGTCGGTTGGTGCGTTCGGAGAACTCTGAAAACATTGGGGAGCAGAACTCAAGCCGAGGAGATGGCGCTGGAACGGGTGCAATCATAGCCAGGGAAGGCGAAGGAGTTGCATATGCGGGTGCATACGTTCCAGCGTAAGTCGTTGTGGGAATGTTGATTGAGATAGATTCCCGGCGAACAATCTCCTCAACATCATCCTCTTCATTCTCGAGATGTTGCACAACAAACTTTGGTTCATCAAATGGAGGCAGTTGAAACTCGACCGAATCGAGAGGTGAAACCAATGGGAGATCCGTAGGGCTCCAGTCGAAGGAATGGACTCTAGGCTTGCTCGCAGTGCGGTTGACGAGGGACGTATTAAGTGTTGGTGCCTCGGTACTGGCGGGAGCTTCGTCGGAGTCTTCGTCAGCTGATTTATCGTGCGTGTCGTCGTTCCATTCCGAGATTTGGGCATCCAAAAGCTGAGTTGCCCTATCTGAACCAGAGGAAGAATTGGTATCGAAGGGCGAGCATGGGACAGTCGACTCGCGCTTGCGCCTCTGGCGAGGTCGGACAGGTTCGTACACGCACTCCTGGCCACGTTCCTGGCACCGGGCGCATGCAGGTCGGATTTCGTCACATTTCTTCTTCTGTGAGGGACAAGTCAGTATGCTACCAATCTCAGGTTTTTGAGGAGCTGTGTACCTTTTCTTTACTGTAAGGAAGTGGCGTTAGTCAATTTGTTGAAACAAGGATAGACTGTTTATTAGACTTACCAATAGCTACATCCTGTGCGACAATAAAAGATATCCAAGTCAGCCAGGTGTTCGTGGTACGAGACAAGGGGTGTAACAGAATGCTTCTAGAATAAAAAAGTTAGACATACCTGCGCGCGAGCGCTTCTTGGGAACCTTTGGGGGTGCAAGCCTGGTATACAGCAACATCGCGAAAGCTATATATGGTGGCGAATATAGATAGATGATCAAAGGATCACAATGTTAATCATGCGGTTTCCATCTACCGGAAATAGTGCTGATGCTGCATACGGCTTGAGAGGATTGTTGACAATGTGATACGAGTGTTGCAGCCGTGTCTTGGTCCCAACACACAATGGTTTCTCGATATAAGATTAATATGCCCCAAGAAAGCGGTTGTCGAGAAGAAGTGAAACACTGCCGATGTCGAATACCTGATCTGCGTTGGTGTGGGGGAACTTGGAAGGAAGAGGGGAAATAAAGTCCACAAGAAGCCGAGGATCTGGGGGAGAAATTGATTGCGGAGATGGAAGGGTTCGATAGCGATATTCGATGTAAGTTGATAAAAGAATCACGATATAATCAGAGATCAAAGATCAAGAGGGGGGAAACGAGAAAGAAAAGAGAAGAGATGGGAAAGGGATCCAAAATTGATGCCTCGTGCGTCTCCGGGGCGTCATGGTTCGGTCTATCACTGCCAGCAGCAGAAGGACCTTACCTTAGGTTACCTTATTTCATCCATGCCTTGCCAGTCCCAGTCCCAGTCCCAGTCCAATTCTGTCACTACACACCATCGTGATCTTTGAGCATCCACGACTTTTCATGGATCCCTGGCCCTTGCCGAGACACTTTCCCAACTTTGGACGTTACCTTTTGCTAGCTTGCGGGGTTACGGGCGCTACAGTTGACTCGACGATGCAGTATTTTTGCCTACTGGATCAGAGGGAGAGAAATTCGGGGGATGGCAGATGGGACCATATGGAGTACAGGGGCCCTTGGGGTAGTAAAAACTTGACAGTCAGGAGCATGAGAGCCGATGATCCTTGGGCAACCCATCTTTGTTATGGTCATTTCTTGCTTACTGATTCTTACATCCTCAGCTTCGAGTCTCAGCTTTGTGATACCCCAGAGACGCTGATAGCTAATCCTTAGGTTCTGCGATGGAAGGATGAAGAAGCCGGGGAATCGGAGCCGAGCAGTTCTTACTGTGTTGAATGGGCATTCTGTAGCTGTTCAGACAGTACGGTTACAGTGTGACTCAGAGACAAACTACCCGCTCAAGTCGTCCCCCGCTCCCCGTATGGAAGTTAGCAGGTGACTTTCCTCCGCTTAGATTTAGGGGACCCTCAACCGACGCCACCCAAACTTCACCTCGCAGAGTTCTAGAATCGACGTAATAGACGAGAAGGGCATCAATGACACCCCTCACTATCTGCATCTGAGGATTAGGACTCGAACTCCTCGTGGCCCTGCAGCCTCAAACAGGATTCCCAACAGCAAGCACCTGGCCCTGGCATTCTTTTTCCCCGGTAAGCTGGAAAATCCGGGGTAATCAGACTGCTAATCCAGTGCAATTGGCCTTGCAATGACTACCACTACGCTGATTGAGTTCCAGATGGTGACGGGCAACTCGTTCTAACAGGCGCGGCAAACACAAAACCTGGCTAATTTACCAGCCATTGTCCGGGCCCCCGCGTGCTTTGCCGGACGCCGCAACCCTTCCCACTTCATCCGTTTAGCATGGCATGCTTGCATCGGTCTGAGATCTTCGCCCTTTTTGACAATGGGAATCCTCACGGAGATCAACAAGGGATCAGCGCCCCCCGCGCACGCGTGGTTCGATGGGATGGGTCGAATGGGAATTGCTGCGCCGAACTCGACCTTTTCGCTTGCGCAGGAACAGCAAAGTCGATGGTCAGGCAAAATAGAGTTCATGGACCCTTAATTACGTCCATTGATCGGCAGTTCTCCAAAATTGGGGACAAATAGCGACCCGATTTTGCAACGGTCTTGAGCGTTCAAGTCCGCACTGTCTATCCGTATACTGCCCAATGTTTTCCCTTTGGTATACCAAGAGAAACCGAGCATGATCGAGAACTTTTCAACAGCAATGACTGATCGTGAAGCATCAATCTTCAACCACGAGACCACAAAAGCTTTGGTCTAGACTGTGGCGCTTGGTGAACCGCCGGCATGCAGCCAACGTTGCAGAACCCTTGAGAGGCCTAACGATTCTTGGCAGGACAAAGGGAGGCCACAGATGCTCTTGGAGCTACGGGCTGCACAGAGTCACAGCTGTCGAACATCCATGCAGTTTTGGGGAGGTCAACTTCATGATCTGTGGATAAGCATCAGAGCTAGGGGAATTTGGCTTCGAACAAGCATTATTGACATGTGGAGCAACGCCAACACTTGCACGATCTGGGCTGATCTTGACAATGCAGCTCTCAAACTGTTGTCCTCGCAATTGCAACTGCATGGCGAGGAGGATGTCAGACCAGTTCATCTCCGTTCACCATGCCCCTTACCGGCATGAACTTTGTTTTCCTGGTCTTATTCTTAACCGAATATTGAGGCATCACGCAGTATAGCTACTTGACGGCCTATTCACGAAAACTCCTTCGGCGCGGCTTGCCATCATCCGTTACTATAGGGAGCCGAGGTCCGCTGCATCTCGGAAATCGTTTAAATCGACATTGGCTCTAAAAGTGCGTCTCCACAAGTCGAATTTCCCAGTCCCATCATCTGCTCCAGCAGAGGGGTTGATCTATTTTCGGAAAATGCGCCGTCATTTCACGATGTCAAGTGTCAACTGAACCAGTCGGTCTCAAGGTCAGAAAACCTGCCTCTAATGGTCTGAGAGAGGAAATACTTTAGTAACATTATACGAGTATAGACCGGGTCTTAGGCCGTTCATTTTCGTCAGCCTAAGCATCTGGTTTCGAATTTCATGTTCTCTCTAGTCCGCATGGCATAACCAACCATGCTAGGCGATGAAGTTCTGAAGGTATATCTGATTGTCAAGCCGAAAGGATAGCTAGTCTGCTAGTTCAAACTGTATTCGTCGTGCTTTGGATGAAGCTTCTTAAAGCTAACAGCTTGACCGCTGAAAGAACGATCGTACTAACAGTCTTAAGTCTGCTCTGCAACAAGGAAAATCCCAAACAGTCAGACTGACCGTATCGCGTCAGAAATGCCCCAAGGCCCTATGATCCCGTGATGGGCCTGTTTTTCCAGGTCTGCGCTGCTTGCCATTTCATGCTCAGTACTCGCCTATTCGGCTCGTTCGCCGGCTCGGTTGAGCCCCACGCGGTCGAAGTCCCATCAACTTCATCAAGCAGCACACCCAAAAGGTTCACATTCTTCGTCGCAAAGCTTACTGAAGTCTGTCCGACTCTCCGCTCACGATGTTCTCGGCCCCCAAAACCCCAGTGCTTTGGCAACACGCATGTGGCTCTCCTGTCGATTATTGACAGGGTTGTCTCACTCAAGGACGACTTTTGATTCGTGGCCTTGTCCCTTTGTCAGACGGATACGTCCTTTGAATGGCTGCCACGGTAGCAACGCCAATGCAAATGGATGCACCATTTTGTTCCGAGCAATGCATTCTCCGTTTCCAGTCGGCCACTGAAAGGCTGGGAAGCCAACCATCGGCCAATGATACAATGAGGGACACAGCATTCGTATGGAGGATCTCGAAATAGAGCAGCTTGGGGGCTTCGCTCTGGACCTTTGGGGCGCTGCACCCAGCGAATCCTATCAGATGCGGCGCTGCATGAGCTGCGAGTTGAGGTAGGGCAACTGAGGAAGATGACGAACTCTGTTCCTCTCTGACACCTCCGTCACCGATCGATGGTTTTGAGGCTTTTGTCCTATGGCATCGCCGATTATGTTTCAGTTCAAACTGTCTCCCGCATGAGAAAATGAGCCGCGTGTCGTGTCCATTTATGCTTATCCGTAGAACGTTGCTCATCATCGTTGCGTTGTTCACCTTCTCACCGTTTCACTCTTGAGTGTCTCCACGCTGGACCCATGATAATATCCTCCAGAGGAGCTATAATTCTCTAAATCTCCCCAGCTCAGCGCACTGAGCCTTTTTACCCAACCAGAACGACCCTTATAGCTGGTTTCAGTGGGCATCTTGCTCAGCCCTACAGACGCCGTTGTCTCGTCTGGTACGATTAGAGCAATTACTGCTCACTCGTGGCGTAGCATCTTCTGACCCCGGCTCAGGACAAGCCTCTAAGGCCTCCGTTGCTGACATTAGGAATCTCGCTGTTTTGTCTGACTCTGTTCTCCTTTTCTGTTCTTTTCCTATTCTTAATCATTTTGTTGGACGAATACTGAACTTCGGCTTTACGACGATCCTAACTTGAACCGATCGGTGGCTGTTGTAAATCAGTACCTATCAGAATTACAGCCGAATTTGCGACAACCACCACTTTGAGAAGCTATTTACCCGTTTCGCATTCAACTCATGATCGGCGCCTCGCGACTTTGCAACATTATCTCGATTCGGTATCGCATTTCCCCTCAGTTCCATGATCGCAAAAGATGAGGGGCTGGGGGTGTAGATTATACGCCGCCACGCTTCTGGGTGCCTTTTTGGCTTTGGGGGTCGAAGCGGCCGATTTTAGAAGATACGATGGAGTTCATAGGATTGAGAAGGAGTCGCAAACCACACAAGCCGCGGGTCTTAATCGACGAGCCGAAGAACAATGCGCTACGAGTATGAAGCTGTGTCCCGCAAGTCTGAACGGAGGATGCTGTCCCGAGAACTACGATTGCGCCAAAGAGAGCTGCCAAGCGACAACGAGAGGCCCTTCAACATGTGGAACAAAAGTCGGTTGGCATATTTGCGACGTGGTCTATGGAGGTTCGTACTTGGGAGTTTGAGTTGTTTGAAGAGCTATGCTCACATTTATTAGGTGGTTGCTGTCCGGACGGGTACCTGTGTGAGACTGCGGATGGTTGTGTCCCGCCATCCGGGTCACCATATACATACGGATGCCCGAGCAGTCAATATCTCTGCCCGTCGTCACTAAGCTATGGATGTTGCCCTAACGGCATGGCTTGCGGCGTGAACCAGTGTTACTCCTCTGATCCCGTAACTGTCACGAGCACTATGGTCATCACAACGACGATAGGAGGGGAGCGAACAACTTACAAAACGACAGCCATTGAAGTGGAAACGCCAACAGCTCCTACAGCTCTACCAACAGTAAACGCGGGTGACAACAACGACCAGGCAGTTTTGAAGTACTTTCCTTCTACAGTACCTAAAGAGAGTCCGATATCATCATCTGACAAGGACAATAATAATGACGACAAGGGAGGTTTATCAACCAGCGCCCTAGCCGGCATTATTGCTGGTTCTGTGGCGTTTCTGATAATCGTTTTGGTGGCGGCATTTATCATTATCCGTCATTTGAACAAGGTCGTTGCTGCAGTTGGCACGTCAAAAGTATCCGAGTCTCATGGCTCTAACACTCAATCGAGACCCACGAGGGAGTTCAAGACAGCGGATTCAGAGGTTGACGAACTGAGTGCCGACCCTTTAATTCATCCGTCATTAATACCTCCACGACCAAGAAACCCTGGGCCTGATTCAGCAGCTACTTCGCCATTCGGTCTCGCAAGCACGGATCATAGTTCGAATGAACCTACGCCTGGTGTTAACGGATATCACGCGGTATCGACGAGTCCCAATACAAGCAGACATGCCAGCTTTGACGCAATGGGTAATCTTGACGACTACTTCACCGCTGTCACAGGGAGTGACCAACAAAGAATGAGCCAGGTCTCAAGATTTACTGGTTCAACGAGAAACCGGACGAGTACAGACTCACACGGAACATATACCCATGTTCGAAATTACAGCAATGCTTCTGAGGGATCCGATGGTACCCCTGGGGTAATGGTAGGCTCGCAGCCCACAGCAGAGCTCGAAGCCACGCCATATGTGCCGGAATTACCGAGCTCCCCGTCATCGGTGGTGTTTCCGCGAGATGAGAGACGGCGTTCTTCTGGCAGTGTTGCCAGTATCCCGAGTCGACCGCCTGTTACTCAACGAAATTCCGCTGGCCCACGTATACGAAGTGATTCTTTGGGTCAGAGTCATCTCAGCAGTGTTACTGAAGAGATGCACGGATTTTACGGGCCGAGTGAGCATCTCGTGGGCCAAACTGATACGCATCGTCCGGGCACGAGAGGCTCGAACAATCAACAACAAAATCCCCCTAGAGAGCACCCTCGGCCAGTGGACGAAGAGCCGTGAACCAAGTTTTGAACCAACATTTCTTTCAATATTGATTGGTGAAAATGGCGTTGGGATATAGGCAAAGTGGCATAGCAAGGCGTTCTCTTATGGATAAGGTATTTCACACTATGTATTGGGCAGGGCTATACAGGCCTATCTATGGAGCATACAAGCATAAGATGGTCAGCGCTATATCTTTTTATGGTTTTATTGTAGCAGTTAGAAGCCGGAGCTTTGTGATGGGATTTAAACAGATGACAAACAAGTAATACCCCGCTTTCTACTCGCTTCCGAGGAACCAATTAGTGACCGACCCAGGCTCATTCTGCTCGTCTAAGACAATTCCAAGTGATGATCATTATTGTTCTCCTGAAACGACCCAAGGGATCGGTTAAGCATAATCGCCCAGGAATGCATCTACAAGGGATGTTATGCGTGTTGGTTACGGGTTCGGGAGTGGCGCCCAGGATTTAGATTGCATACAGCTTGTCACAGATAGATTAAAGAAGAAGTGGCGTGGTTGTCATGTACCTGGATCAGAGTTGATAGTACTGTCATGTTGCTTGCCCGGTCTCACGTGTGTTCCTAGGCCATCATCCGAGACAAACTGCTATTGTCGAACTCTGCAGTGACTCTCACTAACGGCTGATGCCTTCTAGTGATACGAGGTAGGCACAAAGAAACGACAGCCTGTATTGCAAGTTCCTATGCTATTCCTTTGTTCCCTGTGAAACAGATTCTAATTGGCTCTCCCTATATTCGGTGTGATGTTGGGCCGCTTACAGCTATTCGTTACTTGCTTTCAGCCTCACCTCTTGACTTCAATCCATATATATGTCTTCCTCCACCTACTCTTGCACTGCGTAATATGCAGTTCACCTCAACAATGCTGTCGAATATCATATATCAGTTCCATACATGGCTTCGGCCTACCATCGTAGCCATATTCTATCGTGACATTCCCTGGAGCTTGCGATGGAGGCTCTTGGCCTTTCAGCCGATTGGATTTCTTACGTACTCAATTACAACGATTCCTTGTCTTTTGTTTCGCTCTTACACTGTCGAATATCTTCCCATCGCCCCTGACAGACGTGTCCGAGCCCTGGTTTTTAAGGCTGCTGGTGTTGGCAAAGGTCGAGCTCTAAGACCACTGCATGTGAATTTTCACGCCGGCGGGTTTATGGGTGGTATACCAGAAGGCCACGCTTATTTCGACCAGCTGGTAGCTGAACAAACAGGTGCTGTAGTCCTGGACGTCGACTACAGAGTGGCTCCGGAACATGTCTTTCCTGCGGCTGTAGACGATGCTGATGCAATTATCGAATGGCTACAGGAGAATTCTCAAGAGAAATGGGGTGCAGATCCGACTCTAATGACTACAAGCGGTTTCTCTGCTGGGGGAAACTTGGCTTTCGCAGTCACTCAACAGAAAAGCTGTCAAGCCCCTTCTCCCACGTCCATCAAGGCTATCACGACTTTCTACGCAGCTATTGATCTGCGTCCAAGTCCTTGGGAGAAGCCTCACCCCGAGAACATGCCCAAAAACGACCCGGCGAAGCCTTTCCTTCCTCTATTTGACGCATACGCAGCACCTGCTCGAACGAAACATTGCGATAATCCGAGATTAAGCCCTGTGCTGGCAAACTCAGATACGCTGCCTGGTCGCATTCTTCTTGTTGTCCCTGGCATCGACATTTTAGTTGCAGAGCAGACTGACTTTGCAAAGCGTATCAACGAAGAAGATTCGACGAATGCAACTTCGAGGGTGGAAATCATGCTTGAGAAAGAGCTTTTCCATGGGTATCTAGAAGGTATGTTTAAGTTAAACTTCGGACTACACTGATGCTGACTTTTTTCAGTTCCTGATATCATAGTCAAGCGAGAAGTCAAACATCGAGCTTATGATAAGGCTATACAAGTTCTCCGAAAAACGCATGCAGAACATGGCTGGTCATGGGATCTTTGATTCCTCTGATGGCGATGTTGATATATGATGAATAGCAGCCATCTTTACTTGGTTCATTGTAACGAGTCCGAAGTCTGTTTTGTTTTTGCTTTGAGACCTGTGCATTCACAACTTGCAACTCTTTATCTGTTAAGATTGTTCGTTTATTTTTCTGCCACTTGCCGCGGCTTTGTTTAAGTTCAAATCGAGTTGTATATATATATATATATATAGTTCGATCACCCTGTCTTTCAGTCGTTCCCGTTTTTGATTGTGTTTATATTGAATCATACTAATCTTCCCAGATCTCACGTCTACGGACCTCACCCACCAGGCTTCACACCACCGCAGCATGGCTCAGTTACGAAATTGCTTGCACAAGCTTCTGGTCGACTTGAAACATCCACGGGGGCGGCAAAAACCTGATTGTTGGATTCTACAGCTCCCCATTGACCCCCTCTAGATCATCTATGAATATCTTCCTGTCGAAAGCCAGATATGTCTTCGACGGACATGCTTGCCTATGTACAATTCACTGGAGAAAACACTGCATCGACTTGATTACCCAGGACTGCTAAGATATTATCCCCTGATTGCTCGAGACAAGCCTGACTACTGGTTAGCGGATAGCAGTCCGTGGATCAGGCTAGTACAAGCCTGTGATCTGGAGGTGATGCCAAATGGTCCTCCAGTCTACGGAAGTCGATTCTGGAATACGGATCTGATACACAATTTCGAGCGTGGTGCTTTAATGGTCAAGCACAAACACATCCAACTGAGCATCAAGTACAGCCAGCTCGAGAAGAAGACCTGGGCGCAAAAGAAGTGCCTCAGTGCCCTCATGAAACCATACAAGACGCAGTTCGTACCAGGCTTCCTCAAGGACCCTCGACGGATTTTTAAGCAGACGAAGAAGCCAGGCTGCTTCCATTGGTATCCTAAGGTTGTCGACGGCCGATATCTGACTCATGATCGACGAGTACTCGTCATGGAGCGCTGGATGCAACAAGATCTGGTGTACCTTGGGTGCTTTGGACCATGCTCTCACCAGTACGCGGATTCAGCACGGTACAGATCTTTCTTGAACCGAGAAAGATATGGGAAATCGGCTCGTTCCCCTCTCAAAGGTCACAATCTCAGCGAAGATCAACCAGAATGCAGCGGCAAGTTCTTTGCGTGTTTACGGGACGCTTTCAACAGCCCTGGAATTAAAGTCGACGGGGCATGCCATTTATATCTTACCGAGTTTTTGATACATTTGACCTCAAAAAAGCTGGTGATACGGACGTGGAGAGACTTGGGTGATTTGTCTTCTGACAGGGTCTGGCTTGAGCAGACGGACGAAACTGAAGGCTGGTATCCAGATCGTAATCCTCGGGAGATCCGAAGTCGCTATGAAACGGGCTGGCACTCAAAGAAAGTACTGCGGGCTTCAAAGTGATGAATGTTGATGAGAAGGGTCAAAGGGCAAGGGGGGGTCACAAGTTGGATTGGATGTTAATAGTCCTTGGGGGGTTCTTTGTCTTGTGTTCACATCAGGTAGCATGTACGACAGAGTATCGATATCAAGCTCAACCGACAAGAAGTCCTGTTTGCAAGCCACTTTGGTCATTGTGCGTCAGACATAGAACACAAGGTTCCATTGACTGTGCTACACTATCTTTTTACGATTGTCGAGGAATGCGGTTGTAAGTGAAACAAAGCTCGACCCAACGGGCCGTTCCCCGGGAGAGAAGCTACCCTCAAGTTGCATGGGTAAGCGTACGAGAAATCTCAACAATATTACGGGACTTGACTCTAATCATGATGAGGCGTGGTCTGATGTGATGTGATAGAACTGATTTGCAGGAGCAAGGATTCGCTCGGTTGCTGGGCATCTTAATCGTTGGCGTCTGATGTAGCTCGAACCGTCCAATTAGATGACATCACCTCTGCATTTCACACTAACGTCCATAAAGAGCTACAAGCTATTAGTCTCCAGTACAATGGGGAGAATGCCAACAAACAGAACTAACAATTAATTGAAGAAACGAGATAGATTCTATAACCATTGAATAGATAATCTTGCAGAATTATCATTGATATAAACCAAGTACTGCACCTTCCGTTCGTAGATCTTGGTCGTCGAGCCATTAAAACAACCAGGGGTATAAGATCAACGGTCAGAGAGTCGTCAACCCAGCAACGAATGTAAACAAAGGCCCAGCGTCCTCGACCAACCATCCGCTGCCACACAACCCAGCACGTCTGGGAAGTTGGGACCTTAATATCTGCACCATTCCAGGAAGATCCCGTCCTTTGACCTCTTTCTCCTTCTCGCTTCCATATCCCTTTCCTTTTTGTATCCTCTCTCCCCATTATCTTGTGTGTGTGTCACTGCAAAATCCGCGGCACACATACATATCCACTGACCGCTTTCCCCTTCGTCGTCAGATGCCCAGACGAAACACTATCAGGGCCGACGACCTCGATTTCGAGATTCACGTTGATCCATCGTGCTTGAGCGATCCTATGGACGATAACGAAAATAAGGCCCCCGAGGAGCCAAAGGTGGAAGTCGAAACCGCCAGCAACCAAGAGACCGAACCTGCCAAGGACATTAAAACCGATATTGATACAGCAAACCACGACGACTCGACGGCTGAAGCCAAAGTCGAATCTACGACTGAAGCTACCGAAGAGGATAAATCTACTTTAACACCGGAAGAGACCAAAGAAGAGGCGAAGCCTAGCGAAGAACCAACTGCACCAGAGGCCGATTCAACGGTCGACGAGGCTTCAGAGTCTGAGGAAGAATCATCCGACTCAGAACCCGAAGTTGAAGCTCAAGTCGACACGGAAAAAGAGATCGAAGAACCAATTGAGAAACTACAAGCAGAAGCAGACGAACTTGCATCTGAGGCTGAAGTCGATACCCCGGCCCCAGAGCCTTCATTGGACGATACCGAAGATAAGGACGACGAGACTCCTACCCCTGTCGAAGACGTCACTACCGCTGAGGACACACCTACCGAAGCTCCAATTGAGGACACCCCTTCGGCAGATACCTCCACTGAGGACATTCCAGTCGCAGATACTACCGCTGAGGACCTCAACGACAAGCCTGTTGAAGAGGGCAAGGCCAAGTCTGCCGAAGCCGAACTCGAGGAATCTATTGTAGATAACGAAGAGCGACACTTTTCCGAAACGGAATCAGACATCTCTGGATCTCGACGTGTGTCTTCTGGTTCATCTGGATCTAGTTACTCCGAAGGTCGACACTCTACTCGCTCCGAAGCTATTCAGGAAGTTGCCCGCGATATCGCCTCTCAGATTGACGACCACGAGAAGCGAGAATCTCTGAACACTTACTCTGAGGGAGAAGACAACAGTTATATATCCCATAGAACTGTCAGTGCTCGTCAATCAGGCGCCCATATGGCTCGTTCCGTCAAAAGCGGTGTAGATGAGGCTGGGGAGAACAGCTCTCATCATGAGCACGAAGACGATGTTTTTAGTGACCGAAGTCCTCGAAGCTCGGTGGGTTCTGTATCCGAGGGGGATCACCGCAAGGCCCACGACGCTATGAACCGAATGACCAGGTCCCCCCGTGTCTCGGGTATCTCTGGCATCTCTGGTTTCTCTGAGTATGACAGGGAAGATGAGGATTTTATCCCCACTATTCGTGGTAACCCTCGACCCATCTTCCGTTCACCTGCCTCAGTCAAGGCTATGCAAATGTCTTCGCCTCCAGGCTCGACAGTTGGTGGTTCACCTCGCTCCAGCCGACGAGCACCTCTCGCAAGCTCATCTAGAATGAGTTCTCCTCGCTTCTCAGAGCAGTATTCGCCCAAGAGGACACCGCCCCGCTTCAAGAGGTCTACACCGCCTCTTGTACTTCTTCATGTTACATTACTTCCTCTTCGATGGCCTTGGGGTGAAGTCCTCGAGAATGCTGACCCCGAGGAGCTGAGCAAGGAGTGCAAGACTATCAAGGATGCCTGGCGAACACTCCAGGACCGGATGGGAGATACCACTGTCGAGCGCGGTATCCTCCTGCCACATCCTCAGAACGACTATGAGGTTCTTGAGGAGCGGTTACTGGAGGCGCTTGAACTCCCCATGAGGCGCCGTGCTCGTATTCTCGAGTGCGGTCATTACCTTGGTCCCTCCAATATGATGACCATCGAAGATTCTGACTCGGAGAGTGATGAAGATGAAGATGAGGAGGAAGACGAGGAAGAAGCTGAGAAGCGCAGGGCAGCCCGTCGCCAATCACAACCCACACACTGGTGTAAGACTTGTAAATCTGACATCCACTACGAGTCTCTCGGCCAGGGCAAGATTTTCCGTGTCAAGGTTTACGCCAGCAACGGTTTAATTCGTGGTGGCGCTTGGGAGGCTTGCTGGAAGGAGATGGAGCGAGTTGATGTCGAGCTTGAACCTCTTGTCGATGCAGTATCTCAGCACGAGCTTGTGCAATTGGAAGCTGATCAGGAGAGGGAGTTGGCTATGAGAGAGGCTGAAGAGGAGGAAAGATATGTCAGGTTGGAGGAGGAGCGCAGGGAATTTGAGTCGAGGGAGCGAGGACGTGTGTCGACAAGACGAGGAGAGTCTCACGGCCCTATTGAGGATCTCAGTATGAACGAAGGTGTGTCACATCTGGACCACGACGCTTCTAAGCATGCAGAGTCTGTCCATGATAAGTCGACCTACGATCGATCACATCACGATGAGAGCCACGCAGCCGACGTTACCAAGGACTCTATCAAGGAGTCTGCTGCCAAAGATCCCGTCGATGCTGAACAAAGCCGATCTTTTGATGAGCTTGAAAAGGACATCGATGAGCACCTTCAAGAGGAGCGCGAGAGGAGTCTGGCCGAAGAAGCATCAACTGGTAGACGCTCACCTGAGACCTCTCACCTCGATGACCCTTCTGCTGCTCCCGAGGATAAGGACTACGAAGCTGAGTATCAAAGACAAGATGAGGAGCGCATGAGAGACATCTATGGCGATGCACCTGCTTCCGAAAAGCACCATGCACATGCTCAACGATCCTTTGAGTCACAACCTCAGCACGCCTCCGCCGAGGATCACCAAAAGTCAATGAAGAACGCATCCCTACCGGAGCTCTTGGCTGAGTCGGCTCGTGTCGTGATGCAAGATAAGAAAAACATCTTGATTGGCTTGCTGAGCATTCTCATTGTCCTCCTTGCCATTCGTGGTGGTCCTGGATCCCAACAAGACTCTGACACATTTCAAATTATCAGGAATGCAGAGGTTCCTACTGTCACTGTTACACAGGCAATGGATTTGGAAACTGTCGCGGCAGTTGATGTTGCTGCCTCTGTAGCTGCTGTTGTTGAGGTCGAGAGCAGTGTTGAGGTCGATGAGCCTGAGGAGAGCATCGTTGTTGAGGACACCCCTGCTACTGAGGAGGAGGTTAGCGCTGAGGAGGAGCAGGCCAAGCCCGCTCTCGAAAGTTCTTCAACTGGTGCCGATGGCGCCCCTATTCCTTCGCTCGAGGCACCTTCCTGCTCAGAGCGCATTGTCCGTGTCGTGGAGACAGTTACTGCTGTCGAGACTGCCACTGTTTACGCATCTGAGAAGCCCTCCGAAGAGACTCAGGCCGCAGAGGCTGTCGAGGAGCATGTTGATGAGGAGCAAGCCCAGGAGAGTGTGGCACCTGAGGCTGAGGATGTTTCTGTGGACTCTGAGGCTTCTGCCGAGCAGGAGGCGTCTGTTGAAGAGTCGCCTTCTTCTGAGGAGACCACTATTGTTTCCGAAGAGACAGAGTCTGCCGAGGAAGCGAAGGAAGAGCAAGATCCTGCCCAGGAGACTGTTGCGCCTGCTGATGAGTCTTTCAGTGACCTGGAAGACGAGTCCCCTTCCGAGTCTGCCGCCCCTGATGTTCCCACCTCTGATGAGGAGGCCCCTGAGCACGCCGCGGACATCTCGGAGGATGATGAGGATGAGGAGCTTTAGGAATTTTGTGAGCGATGCCACCTTTTACATGCCTTGATGTAAGTTGCTACGAAGGATATACCTAGAACGCATTCTTTTTGATGAAAATGGCGGGTATTCATGTGGTTCTGTTGCGATGATTGATAGTTTAAATGATACATGAAAGGGTACATATAATCAGAAGCCTGTTATTAGTCAATATGATGAGAATAGAAATTTCATGCTTATAGAGTTGTTGACCCCTGTGGTTTATTTGTGAAATATCCTGTATTAACGCTGCATCCGCTGTGCCTACCAAGATCTTGTCCAGACCATCAAGTTGATGCATGTCCATATAATATACGTCTCATTAGAGTCACAATATTGGTGTTTCCCTCCTCTCAGTTTCCACAAGCCCATCTCCTATAGACGAATGTAGATATCCATACAATCAATCCTCCACTCTCTCTTGCCCAAAAGATTTCTGAGCCATTCAATCCCCAACCCAGACCACTCGGCTCTCCTCGCCTCGAGATCCTCACTAGCCGACTTGGCAATCGCAGCAAGTGTCGTGTTTACCATTTCAAAAGCCGTCGAGTTGAAGCTCTCCTCGTCGACAGGCAGCTGGGTCGGTGTTCCCGGGCGCGGCAGGAACCAGTTGCTCCCGAAATCAAAGAAGCATCGGTCGGACCAGTTGCACGAGGTCAGGAAGAGGATGAGCAGCAGGATAGAGCAGTACACGCAGGGCCGGTTGAGGAAGTAGGTGCAGATGAAGAACAGGAAGATGAATGCTGGAGAAGCGTTTGTCGGGATGAAGAGCAGCGGGAGCCAACTGTGAAGCAGAAGGTTAGTTTTAAGGGGAGTAGATCCGGTGGGATTCGGTTTGGTGGGTGCTTGTTTACCTGCGTAGACAAAACATGATGGGAAGATTATGTGCCGTACATGTGACGGACTCGATACTCGTATGTATGTAGTAGAGTAATTACTCGGCTGTCGGCTCTGCGCGCGGGCGCATGAAGATGAATGTTGAAGATGGGACTTGGACTTGACTTTGACTTGGGGGGATTGGCTTTGGTGGCGGCTTGGAGTGTTACGTCGTTTTGGCAGGGCGAGAATGGGGGAGCGACTTGATTGGGTCTAGTCTGGGTTAGTGCGTTGAGGCTCTGGGGTTAGCCACTGTTGATATAAGAAATGAACGTTTTGGTATTGGCTGAACGGTTATTGTTGACGATATCTTGAACATGGACTATCATTGTACTGGTCTTTTGATTGATTCGATAAATTGTTCATTGGATGTTGAGTTTACGCCTTTGTGGCTGGTTAGTCCAGCAGTTCCAAGGGAGGCTGTAGGTTATCTAAGCACCTACTAAGGTAATAGGAAGGCAACAGAAGAATTATACTCCATGGCTTGGGATACTAAAATACAGTAACCTAGGTGCTGGTCCAATACAGGCAGCATGGGGTATTGGAAATTGATCGTTTTATCTCTTATGCTTTTAGTAGCTAATTCTCTTCATAGCCTAAGGGAAAGGATATCCTTAAGCAGATGGCTCGGGTTAGTGAGCGCGACATATGTATACAGATATATTTCCAGTTCTACTATTTGATTGAGTCTTATTAGGGCACTTGAAAAGTCTTGTCTCTTTAGTCGTAATCGAGTATTAAAAGGACTCTACATAGTTCACTAAAGCTCTACTTGGTCAACGATCATCGTGAGAAGCAATAGATAGGCCCTTAATAAACTTGAAAATCCATGATCAGTCAAACGCACACAGCTCACACCAGTACTGCACCCCATATCAAAGTGAGTCAGGCCAACTCTTCTGTGCAGGAGTTCCTTCGGCTACTAAAGACATGAAGTTGGTCTCAGAAAATCTTCAACAAATGTTGGGCAACAAACAGTATGCAGTTTGGCTTGCAGTTGACTGCATATGTATGCATAAGACAGGGATCACAGTTCTTTTCAGGCTCGAATCGAATCGGATCGGATTTCACCTCAGGCTTTGTTTGATTAGACTCTGAGTCACTAATGATGTACTGTACAGGAAGTGTTGCGATCTGGAACTATTGCCTGTCCAATAGAGCTGTAAGAGGCGGTGACTTGACAGCTGGCAGTCTGGGCGCTAGGTAGGTATGCGACCAATACTGCGCATGTCTTAGCCGGAGTGGTTCATCGAGGAGTTTGAGCTTTGAGCTCTGCATCAGCCACTTTAAGTTATTTGGTGCCGTTGAAGGACAGATAACGAGTACAGTCGACGGTAAAGCTAAATATTCCTTTGACTCGAGTTAAATGCTCCTTTGTGTCAAATGCTGTAGAGGTCAAAGAAACGACATTTGAGGTACCTAGTAGCACACATACACACACACATATCACAATCAACCAGCCCGAATCAACCACGTCACTCGGCCCAGGGACCTTAGACCTTAGCTCCCTCCCTCCTGTACGGGGAATAGTGAGGTGGAAACATCCATCCATTACTTCTTCCCTCCCGTCACATCGCATCACCTCAAAGTACCTACGGATACACTGTCCCTGTTAACCTTGAGCAACGTGGGCGCATTTACTGGTAACCTACACCTTTATCAGTTGATACCCGCTTGTCCTTGAGTTGCTACAGCATCAGCCAGTGCATTGGCAGTTTTCAAAGTCAATTTCATCATTGAAATCAAAGTCACTGACTGAAGTCACTTTCTGAGGCCGCCCTAAACACTTGCAAACAGCGCACAGATAATTCCATTTGCTTTACTACCATCACCTTCTTTGCTCTCCCTCTACAAACATTCCCGCTAGCTTTACTTTGTTGGACTAGCAAAAAGGTACCACCCTACTACAGTTAGGTGCTCTATCAGTGCCGGTCAGTGCCAGTGCCACTTACCAGCCATTTTTACCTTCCTGAGAGAGGTATCAGGTACCTGACCTGACCTGGTTGGTCTTCACCGTCATCAACTCGGGTCGCGACTTTTTTGTTTTTTTCTCACCCACGTCAACCACCCACCTTCGCCTCATCATCGAAGAAGAGGATCAAAAAAATAGAATCGCATCTTTTCTCCAATTCTATCATCGCTTTCTCTTTTTCCTCTCCTTCTCTTTTCTACCCTCTACCTAATCATCATCCTATTTCATCCTTTCCCTTGGCGTTCTCTCGGAATCTGATCGGCCCGTTTGCTTTGCTTTCGTCCGCCTCCGCTTCCCTTTGCCGCTTTCCCTCCCATTCTGAATCACCTTCAGACTCAAAGCACCCAGAGCCAAGCGGTAACTCTTTTCGAGTCCGCACTCGACACCAATTCCTAGGCTGTTGCCATGGATAACCTTGACATGCCCCCGGCTCCCACGCCGCCATCCAACAACATGGGCAACAATTCTGATCGCACTGCCAATTTGCTGAACTTGCTCAAGTTCAGTGGTTCGGGTGGTTCGCAGCTGCAGAGCCAGACTGCGCAGGCACGCGCTCATGGCCACAACCAGCAGCCAGCCCAGCAGCCTCAGGAGTTGCAGCAGGAGCATCAATCTCCTCAGCAGCCCCATCAGCAGCTGTCGCCCGAGCACCAAATGCATCAGTTCAACCAGTTCCAGCAGCATGCCCAGCAGGGCCGCGGTATCCTTCAGAGTCCTTTGCCTGCCCAGATCCATCAGCCTGCGCCTTCCTCTGCTGACCCTACTGGTCTTTTGGCTGCCCTTATGCGTGGTGCCCATGAGCCTGAGGAGCCTAAGCAGCCACAGGTCCACCCGCAGCAAGCTTTTGGCAACGGTTCGCCTCCTGCTGATACCCGTTCTTACTTGCTGAACCTTCTGAACCGCCCTAAGCCTAGCCAAGGCGACCAGCAGCAGTCAGTTCTGACCGAGGCCTCCCGTTCGACGAACCTTACGCCGCAGTCACCCGAGAACACTCCCGCTGAAACCGCCCGTTACTCGGGCGCTTACCAGCAGCAGTACACTCAGCACCAGCACTCGCACGGCAACCAGTACTCGAACCACCAACACCGCCCCGAATCATATGCCGACTCTCATGCGCCTTCCAACGCTTCCGAGTCCTACTATCCCAACTCCCAGGAGAACCAGGCTGATACATCTGCTCTTTTCCAGCAGCTGCTGGGAAACCTTGCTCAGTCTTCTCCTCAGAGCCAGGGACACAGTCGCGCTCCGCAGTCGCCTAGTGCTCTGCCATTCCAGATTCTGAAGAAGGACTCACCTGCTGCGTCGCATCACTCGCATCATTCTCACCACTCTCACCGTCACGAACATTCGGTTGGTGCTGGTAGCGAGCGGGCTGCTTTCCCGACTTCTCCCCACCAGATTCGTCGCAAAGCAACTCGAACTGCGTCCATCCAGTCTCACCCTTCGGTGAAGCAGGGCACACCCCCAACCTCCGGTTTCGACAACCATAGTCCTGCGGCTAAGGCGACCGTCGCGGAGGCTGTCGAAGATATTGCTCAGCAGGCTGATCATGATGCCACTGAGGCGCTTGAGCGCGCGGAGTACGAACGGGCCCAGGCTGAAATCGCCGAGGACCTCGACGACATGCTCCACGCAGAGTCCAAGAAGGAATTCGAGGACAGCGCTCAAATCGCCGCTCAGGCCATTCAGGCTGAACTTGATCGTAGCGACAACGAGGGCGTTCTCGAGGCCGCCCTTTCAGCTGACGTTGCCGAAACTGTTCGCGAGATTGTCGACGAGGCTGCCCAAGGCGTTGCGGAGAGCTGGGAGAGTGCTGACCAGGATGAGATTGTTGTAATTGAAGAAAAGGAGACACCTCCTGTCAAGGTTTTCAACTTCCCCATGAAGCCATGGATCTCCATTACGCTTCAGGAGGAGGGAACTGAACCACGACCTCTGTTCCGCGACGAGACCATCATGGACATCGCTCGACTGAAGAAGGAATTCGACCAGATCGATCGCAACCTGTACACTGCCACTGAGAACTACATGGCCTATGGTATGTCCAAGCAGGGAGGTCTTCGTGTCATTCGCCAGGAGGATGGTAAGGATGCCAAGATCTTTACCGATACCAAGGATCGTATTTTCAACGTCGCCATGTCTGTTACGCCTACTGATCACGACGGCGCTCATCGTGAGGCCATCATCGGCACTGGCATCAGTGGCACCGTCTACTGGGTTCAGATCCGTGATGGTGACAAGGATCACATCGAGGATGCTCACATGGAGCAGTATGGCTTTGCTTTGCCTCCCATGAGCTCCCAGGAGGGCGACGCCCCAGGCGGTGTTCTCAAGACTCGCGCTCGCACCTCCACAATTCACCCTGAGTACTTTGCTGTTGGCCGCGGCAAGTCTATCAACCTCATCTGGCCTTCTTACATCTTGCAAAACAACTTGTTCAAGCCAGGCCACGATCGCGTTGTCGACACCGAAACCCTTGCTAAGCAATGCTCTCTGAAGATCAACACTGGTAAGGCCGGCAAGGACTTCACCTTCAGTCAGGACGACTCAGTCATTGTCTCTCTTGACAAGTCTGGTCGGGTCAAGTTCTGGGATGTTCGAGACCTGACTGCTGTCAAGGAGGGCTCTGACCCGCGTGCTCCTATGCCCGCGCAGACCTCCCTCGAGGTCAAGGAACCCTTGATGACTCTTGCCACCACTCCTGAGGGCGAGAAGGCTTGGCCCACCTCGGTCCTGCTTCTTGACAAGCAGCGACCTTACCAGAAGCGATGTGCTCTTCGTTACATGATTGTCGGAATGAAGCAGAACCACACTCTGCAGCTTTGGGATCTTGCTCTCGGTAAGCCGGTGCAGGAGTTCAATCTCCCCCACAGCAAGGAGTCCGACGCTGTCTGCAGTGTCATGTACCACTCCGCCACTGGCATGATTGTCATTGGCCACCCCACACGAAACTCCATATACTTTGCCCACTTGTCGGCACCCAAGTATAACCTCAAGAGTGTCTCTCAGGCCGAATATATCCAGCGACTTGTTGCTCAGGACTCCTCCATCCCTCAGCCGGATAGTACCGCTGTCATTAGTGGTGTGCGAGAGTACTCGTTCGCTAACCGGGGAATTCTGCGAAGTCTTGACATTCTTGGCACACCTGCTATGGTCCAAGACGCCGACGAACCCACCCTCTTTGAGCTGTATGCCATGCACTCCAAGGGTGTTGCTTGCCTGCTTGTCAAGCAGACCGAGCTTGGATGGTCTAAGGACAACAAGGTGCTTGACGCAGTTGACGCCGTGGCCCAAAACGTCGTCACTGTTTCCAAGCTCAAGGCGCCCCAACCTGCCGAGGCCCCGACTCCCGCCAGCAACGGGGAATCCGTTGTCCGTGTTGTTAACCGCGGCAACAAGGAGAATGTGCAGACCACCCCCGGATCTCAGGCCGAGTCTGTTCAGCGTGGATCTGAGTCTGCTGCTCCAGCTAAGGCCAAGAGCGAGCCAAAGGAGGCTGAAACGCCCGTCCAGTCTGCCAAGGAGTCTCAATCGGAGAAGCCTGAGCGAAAGTCACGAAAGAAGAAGAATGCTGCGAACGCCGCGAACCAGGGTGATGCTGCCACTAACGGGACTACGCCTCGTGCTGGCAATAAGGATGCCAAGGGCGCAAACAATGCTGTCGCACCTGCTGTCTCTTCTGAGGCATTTGATGCTGCCATCTCTGGACTCGAGGCCCGTTTGAACGTGAGCGTTGGCGATACCCTCAAGTCGTCTTTCAAGAACTTTCACGGCAAGATCGATGAGGACAATCGTGTCCGTGACGAGAATTTCAACCAGCACCAACTTAAGCTCCTTGATATGGTTTCGGAGGTGCTGAACGAAAACACTCAGAAGGTTCTTGAGGCTCTCATCCACCACCAGTTCACCGAGCTCGTCATCCCCGCCATTGGCGACAAGGCGGGTGCTGCTGTTACCGATCTTCTCGAGAACAAGCTACAGCCCCACCTTGCATCTTCTGTGCAAAAGGAGATTCAGGGCTCCCTCCCTCATGCGCTTAATAGATCTCTGCGCTCTGGCGACTTCGTGAAGGCCATCTCGGAACGGGTTGGAAACACCGTCACTACGAGTGTCCAGCAGGAAGTTGTTGCGACACTGACTCAGCGACTCACGCCTACCTTCACTAACATTGCGACTCAGGCGTCGCAGCGTGTTGCTGGTGAACTGCACCAGCAGTACCATGATCAGTTTGAGTACATGAAAGCTCAGCATGCCGCCGATAGCGCCAAGATCGACCAGCTTACATCTCACATCACCCATCTTTCTGGCATTGTCGAGACCATGGCTGCTTCTCAGGCTACTCTTCACGCAGAATTCCTCAAGTTTAAGCAGCAACCTGTTCACGAACTTTCTGGAATTCCTCAGAATGCTGGTCACGGCCAGCCCATTCCCCACCATGGTTATGCCACTTCTAATCAGCATCACGCTCAAGGAAGCCACGCTGGCAGCTACCACCCAAGCCAGGCTCCCAGCCAGGCTGTAAGCCAAGCCCAACAGTTCATCGGTAGTCCTCAGTACGCCCGCGGTTCCCAGCATGTGAACAGCCCACAGGCTTCCCAGCAGGCCTCTGACTACGTCGCCCCTACTGCGAGTGTTGGTGCCCTTGCCGGTGCCTACGCTAGTCAGCGTAACCAGACGGAGCCTGAAGCGGACCACGACTTGATGCAGCGCATCAGAATTGTTGAGCAGGCTATCCAGGAGGGTCGTTACCAGGATGCCATGATTCAGTGGATCCAGAGTGGTCGCGAGGAAGAGATCTTCCGCCGTTGCCTCAGTCGATTCCCCCCCAAGAAGTTCGAGAACTTGCCTCTCCTTATGTTGCTTGTTGTTATTGCCACAATCTCCAAGGATCTGAAACCCAACGCTCGCCTCAAGGAGGAAGTTGAATGGATCGAAATGGCTCTCAATGCCTTTGCGGAGAACCTTCCTGCCTTTGTGAGTTCACTTCTACCTACCGATACGACCAAAACTAATCTGTTACAGGAATGGGAACAATCCGGCGCTCGTGATGTGATCAAGAGTACGACTCAGACCATGCAGCTCCTCATTGGACGCATTCAGCCTCTTATTGGCGGTATCCAGGACGGTTTCCCTACGGATCCCTTCCTCGCCAACCTCGAGAGAGCCAAGCTTGACTGGGTTATTCGAACATCAGAGCATGTGCTTGATACCTTTGGCGCCCCGAGACGCTACGAGTAATCGAACGCTATGTGTATATGGCAACATAGAATCTGTTGAGGAATTCGTTCCGACGATCAATCTTTCGACATGCCTAACGAGATAGGTCATGGAAACATGACACCTTGTCGTGGACTAGAAGTTGCATTTGCAACAGTGTACATCACACTGGAGGACATCATTTCACATGGGAGCATTTCGGAGCGATTCACGATTGGTGAATAAAAAAAGACAAGCATGTTCATTATTAAGAGGTTGCTGATATTTTATGGTCTCGTCGCATGTTATTTCCCGTGGTACGATTTGGTATCATATGCACGGGGACGTACGTATTGGAGGTATCGGTTCTTGGGTGCTTTAACTCGTTTTCACATTTGGGATGCTATGATACCCCGGAGAAGGGGAGGATTGGGATGGAGTGTTTGCGGAGGATTCATGGAGGTAGAACCTTGTTGTTCTTCCTCTGATTAGTTTTGATAATTAATGTATGAGTTGCTATGATCTATGATCATGTCGACGTGTTTACTTGCATGCATGAGGTTCCACTGTTGAGCGCCAGAGCCAAACGCAGAGAACCAATGCTCGGTTGCTTCGGAAGCTGCGGATATTAATGGACCGTCTCTCGAGACATGGTCTTGGCAGACAAGTGTCAAATGTTATGTCGAACAAGCTTTGCGGCGTCGTGCCATTTCAGCCCTAAGGAAAGGGGCAGCTTGAATGAGGAAGTTTGTCAAGCTACAGATTAGGGTCTGGTTTCGTGTATAACTTGGGTGCTGTTCATACGAGTACCCGTTCTGTTGAGCATCATGCAAGTACTCATCACACTTAGGTGAGCTCATCATGACTCTAAGAACAGGCAGTGTCATCTCGGCATTTTTGAAATAACGGCGTGTTAGTCGTGTCATGATAGGCTCAGATCGAGGCTCGAGACCAAGTCTCTGGATATTTACTCCACACCGGGGTTGAATCTCTGGAGATAGATTCTCATGGCTTCCATATGATTTCACCTGATCTGGCGGGCGGGCGCTTGCATACACATACATACTGGGGACATCTCGGGCTCAAGTCAAACCCGAACCACTCACCCGTTTAGAGACAAGCATCTCACTCTGATCCAATCACTCGTTGCTTCTCATTAAGCTTTCACTATGACGGTTAGCCTCAACGCTCTTGCAGAAAACTCTATTAACTACATAGACCACAACCTGTAACCGACCACAAATGTGGCGTAATGAGAAACTGCTGTCTCCGGTGAGTTCTTGTCGGAAGTCATAAGATGATGGACAAATTCTCACATGGTTACACATTGGGTGCAATGTGCCGCTGTCTGTGACTTGGCATTGATACATATTTGACGGCAACGAGCATAAGAGTTAAGCTTATTACACTTTAATATTGGAGTTTATTGGATAGTTGGTTAGGTGCATGATATGTATGCCGAGAGCTGATGTGAGCTTACGTTGTGATAGCAGACAACAGCTGCGTTGAATACCTACTGATAGGTCATAGATAGCAAACATGCAAATATATAGTATCCTACCATAACTAATTTATGTGGTCCAATGACTTGTGAAAAAGTCCGAGTACCTATACCAAGCCTGCCAAGAGTCTTGATGCATGTCAAGTTCCTGGACACCACAACTAGAAAACACCTTCAATCGACTACAGTATCAAATATGCAGTGCAACACTAATAAGATCAAGCCAACGTCTTAAACAAGTGCCAAAGCGGGTGTGGAGTGTACATGCACTTGCTATTCTCCGTGACAAGCTATTTTCGTCATCAACCCGATGTCTCGTGCCTGGTTTCCTTGTTTCGCCTACTGTACCTGTACCTTGTCCCTACTTTTACTGCGGTTTACCCAATAAGTTGTTGGATGGTGGGTGTAACCTGAAGCTTGGCCTTTTATCTTGACACTGCCCTCCTTTTCCTTCCGGTTTAGTTTCCACATCCTCTATTCTACCTTTATATATAGTTCTATTTTCTGGCTATTGTCTTGTTCAAAAGTTTTGTATTTTCTCACGATCATGGTTGTAGCTTCAAAGAATGTGGTGGAGCCAGTGTGTAAGTTCAGATCTAGCTAACCCGTCACTCACATGATATCTAACCACGTGTTACAGTCATTGTCCTGGCTTTCACAGCAGGATGTCTCGTCAACAGAAGACGGGAAACTCAAGCTTCATACAATGAATCCTCGGAAGATATTGAGAATGGTCAGAGATACGTCGACTCGCCGCCTCTGAAGCCGGCTCTACTTCAACAAAGTGAACGACCTACGCGCAAAGCTCCAAACTTTCTCTTCGTTCTTCTATCACGCTTCTTCAACACTTTTCCATTTTTAATAGAGATTTGGTATTGGAATTTGACATACTGGTATGCAATGCCCTCTGAAAGTAACATGAAGATGCTGACCCGAGTAGGATATATCAAGGTCTCCGAGCAGTTTCAGCCAGGACAATCGCAGGCAATGAAGCTGTCTTCAACCGCGCACGAGATCACGCTCTCCAAATCCTCTATGTTGAATCAACTTTTGGTCTTGATATCGAGCAGCGTTTCCAGTCGTATATAATGCATCAACAATCATGGCTTATGCCCATCCTCGCCAAGGTCTACTACTCACATATCAGCGTTGGCATTCTCTTCCTAATCTACGTATATACTTATCTCCCGCCTTCTACATTCCAACGAATTCGTCGTACGATCGCTGCTGACAATGCAATCGCTTTTGTTATTGTTACCTTTTGGCGCTGTTCACCTCCGCGTCTACTACCTCCCGAGTATGGATTCGTCGATGTTCTTCACAGTAAAGCTGGCGGTTCTAATGTTTGGAACAACAATCGATTTCAATTGACTATCGCCGCTATGCCGAGTTTACACTTTGGGACAGCTCTCTTCTTCGCCGTCTGCATATGCAAATTCTCTCCGCATCGATTTATGCGTGTACTTGCTCCCCTGTGGCCTACTGCCATGCTCATCACAATTGTTGCGACAGCGAACCACTTTCTCATGGATGCTTTTATCGGCGCTTTAGTTCCGTTGCTTGGATGGAGGATGAATGAAATTATACTCATTCTCAAGCCTATCCAGGATTTTGTGTTTGCTCCTTTGGTTAACAGGCTGGACCTGGTGGATTCCAACATACGAGCTGTACCAAAGAGTTGCTGATACTGAGTATTGAAAGAAAAGGCTTTATATGCGACTTAATACAGCTATGAGCTCATTCAAGTTGGTCACGGTACCTTGGTCAGCGTGGCGCCACAAGAATCGGCCGCAGAGAGCGTGAGACAAAATAATTCATCTGCCTGTCATATTGTCGCTTCTACTAGTAAGGATTTCTTTTTGATAGTCTAAGCCTTCTAGAACATATTTTCTGTCATTCATGATAGTAATAGACGGATCGAACTCTTACACATCCAAGAAGAAAATCCATGCAGTGCATGTGCATCTCTAATGTATATCCTCACGTCAAAGCAATAACATGAGTTTAGATCTTGGTTGTTACCTCAAGATTCCGAGGTTTGTTCATTTTATTTACTTCTGCAACACTAACGGATGCCAATTCCAACGATTCCCCGTTGGGACAGTTGGTCTCACTTTTAACCATTACTGTAAATGCCAAAGTAAAAACTGGTAATCTATCGCTGTCACAAGCCGCTAGTGTAGCGAACATAATTAGCTGTAACAGATTTGATCGTCAAGTTAAAAGCCTTGGTTTCGTGGTCTAACGGTTATGACTGCGGATTCTGATTCCGCCAGCGAGGGTTCGACTCCCTCCGAGACCTACTTTTTGGAGTTGTAGAAGCATTCTTTCTTAAAGCAAGTCATGGTCGTCGAGGCTTTTTGTGTAGTGTTGTTGAGTACTTGAAAAGGTTGTGTTATTTGAGATCAGTACTGGTATCAATGGCTGTGCTTTACATCAACCTGCTGTGTTATCTACAGGCAGTTATACCGTTCAGGGATGTCAGATAATAGTAATCTGGATAGTCTGTCTAAGATTTTTATTATTCTTTCTATTATATCTAACCACTCTTGGAAACCTTGACAACAACCTTTCCGAAATGCTGTCCGCTGCTCAAGTACTCAAGCGCCTTATTCGCCTCCTCAAACCCAAAGGTTTTGCAAATAACAGGGTGAATACCATGCTTCTCGTAAAAAGTAACCATCTCCTCAAACCGATCCTTAGGTCCGTTGAGAATACCCTTCAGCGTCACGTTTCGTCGTAGAGCGAGGACGTTGACGCCAACCTTGCCGCCGATATCCTCCTCTTCCTCCTTGCCAGAGAGGTAGCCGACGCAGTTGATCAGACCGCCGAAAGCGACTGAATCGAATGACTTGCGCAGTGTGCGTGCGCCGCCTGTCTCGAAGATGATGTCGGCGCCCTGGTTGTTGGTGGCTTTCATGACGGGGTCTTGCCACTCCCAATGTGTACGGTAGTTAATGCCTGTGTCGGCACCGAGATCCTTCTTTGCGCGCTCGAGCTTATCGTCGGACGAAGAAGTGATGATGACGTTGAGGCCAGCTGCCTTTGCGATTTGGAGACCCGCAATAGCGACACCGCCTGTACCTTGTAGGAGAACACTCTCCTTCTTCTTGTTGCCATCAGCTGGTTGACCTAGAGGTCGCATGCCGTTGATACACATCCAGGCTGTGACGGCAGCGATGGGTAGACAGGCAGCCTCCTCATCGGAGAGGTAGTCCGGGACGAGGACGAGGCTGTCGGCGGAAAAGCAGCGGTACTCTGTTAGAACACCGGAGAGAGGAAGGCCGAGACCAGAGGCCATATCAGCTTCCTTGACTTGACCGGTGAGATGAGTCTGGTTGAAGATGGACATGACGCGAGTTCCAGCCTTGAGCTTGGATGAAGAGCTCTGGATGACGGTACCGCACATGTCGGAGCAGGGCACCAAAGCGGTAGTGTCTTGAACTGAGGCGTGATGGTTATAATCGCCATTGATGACTTACACAGTTAGCCCAACTCGTTTTTGCAACAAAGGATAACCCACCTTCAGTGTCACGGTAATTCAAGCCAACGGCATGGATCTTGACCAGAACCTCACCATCCTTAGGCTTCGGAACCTCTCCGTCGCCAAACTTCAAGTTCTCGAGGCCATCCTGACCAGTAGTCCACTGCTTGTTCGTCTCAGGAGTCGCCATATTGTTTGATTCAGATTTTCCGAATGGTAGGTAAGAAGAGATAAAACTAGCCATGACGAAGAAAGAGAGAAAGAAGTTAAATATCCGCAGTTCCGACGTCAACGTTAACGTCAACTCTCAGTCAATGCTTCTCTTACAAGTGGAGATGACGTCGCCTGTTGGTGGATAGAGGCGATGGGGCAACTTGTCCTATCAGAGTAGGGGACTAGATCGTTTCAGGTATTAATGCCGGTTGTTGTCGAAAATGTCTTAATAATCAAGACTTTAAAGGTAAGAGAGTCAGATCTTGGCGATTCAAGTTGATGTTTGGGTCATGCAGACTGAGTTTTCTCGTCGAGTTTGTTGCCAACTGAGCTTAGGACATGTAGCCTGCAGTTGGATATAGAAAGAAACACGTAGGTCCTGTCATTGCCAACAAGTGGACAATAGGTACGTAGGTAGGCAAACAACCTCAGGCACGAATATCAGTCATTCACTCGATCCATGCATGGACAGTACAATAGTAACAAATTTACGTATATTGAATAAACACACAAACACGCAGTTACTTTGCAGCTTGAAAATAGAATAGGCACAAGCCACTCAACTCTTCTCTGGTCTTCGCTGATCATCCTCTTATTCGTTTACAACTCCTACTATACTCCCTATGCCATACACGCGCTACCTTTCCCCCAAGGCCTTCCAATCCTCGCTACCAAGCAAATTCAGAATTAAATCGAGCGGCACCAAAGACCCTTCACCATGGCCATCTGGGCACAAAATCAGAAACGATAACAGAACCATAAACTGAAACAATAAGCAACTAATGCAAAACCAGGTAATTGTAACTTTTTTCTTTTCCATTCCAACGCGGCCCTCACTCCTCCATCAGCCGCCTCTTGCATGCCCTGGAGTCCAATAGCCGGACTCGGGCGTCTCCATATCGTCTTCATCGTCGCGGTCATGCCAGGAGCAGCGCCTAGACAGAAATTATTTGGTGGGTATAGTAGTAGATTGTAGTCGCCGAGGCAACTCCTCCCATTGCTGGCGATGTACACAGCCTGATGAGGAGAAGCCGGTATAGCTGTCTAGACGTAACGTCGTAAAAGCGTCATAATCGTCAGGTAGTGGTCGTAGGTCTTGTCGGGGTACAGGCGAGGGTATTCCAGGTTATGCGTCTTGCCAATTGGTTCGTGACCTTCCATGTTTGGTTGCCCAGGTGTGTTGAAAACATTGTGTATCCAGATATCCTATCCCATACTCTCTCATCGGTAGCTGTCATCAAGTCGGCCACTTAGAGGCCACTCGTCCCCAACAATCTTCAAAAAAGTCATAAAACCATTCCCACGTAAACTATATGCAATGGGGTTTAACAAGACAGGACAAGGCGAAAGCTTGTCGACACTTCCCCAGGTATGTAAATATTACAAGTCGTAATAGCAAATGCGATGTAAAATATCGATGCGTCGTTTTCGTTGTCGTTAATCCATGAGGACACGCGCAAATACAGCCGGGGACGGGTTTCCAGGTCGCTCAGGCCTTGGCCCACCAGGGGTAAGCGAACGATCACACTCAGTGGTATCGCGAGGCGTTAGTGGAGCTAGAGCCGACACGAGCTCCGTTATCCGACGAGTCTAGATCAAAGTTAGCCCATACTCATATTATCATGTTTCGTTCAACATACCGCTACCTCGTGTGGCGTGGCCGTTGGCACGACGTCCAGAAAATCCAGCGTTGGACTCCCACTCGGGTCCGCGGGGCTGGCGCTCGGGAGCTCCCTTAGAGCTGTTACCAGGGCGCTGGCTGCCAATGGCGCCGGGAGTGCTTCGCGCCTGGCTCTGCATAGAGGCGGGGTCGTAACCCAAGTTCAGGTTGTTGAGGCTGTTGAGGAGAGCCTGTTCATTCTTGGGACCGGGAGTACCGGCGCTGCCAGGGTGGCCCGAAGGGGACATGGCACCACCACTACCCATGTAGTCACCGAAACGCGCAGTGGAGTTACCACCCATGTTGTTCATACCAGAGGGCCCGAGGTAGCTGGAAGATGTCTGCGAAGGGCTAGGGGTGAAAGATCGGAGATCGGCAAAGCTCTTGGCAGCTCGGAGGTTGTTGGGAATGCTGTTTCCATCAGGGCTTCCAGGCAGCTCAAGAGTGGGGCCTTGGCGACCGATGACATGGGCATAGTTGCTGCTGGCAGCCCTCGTCTCGCGATCTGCAGCAAAGTCGAAGGTGGCGGCACGGCTGAGGCCACGCTTGTGCATGTCGAGGCTGGTAGCCGGTTGAGTGTGAATGTTGGCAGTGGGGGAAGGCTGCTGTCGCTTGAGCACAGTAAGCTGTCGGGACTCGGCTTCTCCCATAGATTGATGCTCAAGACCCATGTTATGGGCAAGGATGTGAATAGATCGGCGGTGCTCAGGGGCGATGCCGGGAGGGAAGACCAGAATTTCACGCGAGTCATCACGGCGGAACATAACCAGCTCAGTGTAGAACTCGAGGGTTTGGGGATCATTCAGATCGACATCTCCAGGCATGGTAATTGAGGGGGACTGAACCCTGGACGCGTCGAGCATGCCGAGGTGCGAAGGTCCGCGGGCCTGAGACTGCGAAAGGCTACCGAGCGACTGGATAGAGCTCTGCTGGTGCAGCATCGGTGCTCTGTGCTGCTCCTCAAGCTGTCCACGGCGCTCACGCTTCTCCCGTTCAATCCTCTCCCGCTCAGCCTCAGGGAGCATCTTCTTGTATTCAACACGCAACTTGCGGCCGTGAACATCCATACCGTTCATAGCTTCAATGACCATGCGTGTGTCCTCTGCGGACTGGAAGTTGGCGAAAGCCAAGCCACGGAAAACACCATTGTCAAAGTGGTAGTTGAAGGCATATGGCTGAGGAAGGTGCATTTCGAGCATAATCGAAGCAAGGGTCTCCTTTCGTACGGCAAAGGGGATGTTCTTGATAACGATGGCAGTGGGGATAAGCTGGTCGGCATCGGAGGTGTTTGATCGAAGATCTGTGGGAGAACCGTGAGATCCAGGGTGATCAACGCGGAGATTGCCATTTGACATGTTGTTGTTCATACCGCCTTGGTAGGGCTGAAGACCCCCGTGGCTACCATGAATGCCAAGACCGCTGTGGTCTGTCCAAGTCTGTGTTTGTGTTAGTTTCGTTTTGTGATTCCGCCATATTCACATACCTGAGGAAGAGCGGCTCGGCGGTTGACGTTTCGCTGTCGGCCAGGGCCGTTCACAGCTCCGTTGACAGTGGCCACACCACTCGTGTTGTAGTTCCAAGCCTGGCCGTTGTCCAACATATAACCTTGCATACCGCCAGCCATGTTATCCATACCGCGATGGCTGTAACCACTTGCAATTCTGTCGGCAGGGTAAAGCGCAGATGAGCCTAGGGGAGCGTCAAAGGGGCGTTGAGCCTGGCGAGGTAGCGATAGTCCGGCAGCGAAGCCACCAGCTGTGGCATAGTTCTGTCTCGAGTTCGGGGAACGATTGGTCGAGGTACCATAGTCCAGGTAACCCATATCGTGCGGTTGTTGCGACATTGTGATGACTGGATCCAGTTTGACAAGGAGCTGCTGATTCTACCCAGCAGTCGTTTATATCTTAAGTTTGATGATTTTCAAATAGCCACGTATGAGATACGTCGGCCTAGATATGCGCGTCGCGAAAGATACAGTATGCGTAATATAGCGCTAATGATGCGGCATCAAAATCGTCGATCGGGGTCCGATAGTCGTTTCGGTCGTAAGCGGTGAAGCTATGAGAAGAAGCACAGAACGCAGCAACGGACTTGAACTGTCGGGTGTCTCAACAGTTGAGGTAGGTCAGAGGCAAAAATTGTCGTCTGGATGAAAGCTTGTTCAAGTTTGCTATGTCTGCTGCCAATTTGTCGCTGGGCAACCAAAGCGGGCACTAATAGCAACTGAAGTATCGCAAATAGTGGTGGCAACGGGGCGGGAAAGTAGCCAGCACAGCGAAGGAGGTCGTTGAAGTCAGTCCTGCTAGGTTCAAGATTTCGGCGAAGTGGCGGAGTAACGTCAGAGGCTACTTTTTGCTCGTCGTTCTGCACACAACGCAGCCAAGACAACCACGAATACTAGACGTCTCAAATATAAAATATTCCAGACTGCTATTGTATAAAATAGTGTTGCGAAAAAGGGGGGATTGGATTCGCGCGGCAAACTCGTCTCTCGTTGGTGCAAAAGTCGTGGATTTTCGTCGACGTAAGGGCTGAAGCTTTGGACGAACCAGATGCGTACTACGGAGGAGTATGTAATCAAAGGGAGAGAGAAGAGGAGTAGAGTAGACGACTGGAGATGTCGACAAAAAATCGGGGGAGGAGAGGGGAAGAAGAAGGATTGAGGAAAGGGGTAGAGGTAGAGAGGGAAGGAGGAGAGAAGAAGAAAAAGAAGATGGAACAAGTCCCAGTAAATGTCCGTGATGATCTGGAACGGGAAAACGGCGGACGGGAGACGGGAGACGGGGGTTTGAAGAAGGTGGATGGGTTGTGGTTGGGGAGGTGACAGCGGTTTCCCTCTGCGTTGTGCCCTTTTTTTTTCTTCTCTTCTCTCTCTAGCACTTTGCCTGCCTTGCCTTTTGACTTGACTTGGACAATCCAGAGTGGAGGCCCTTATTTTTTCCCTCCTGTCTTGTCTTCCATGTCCTGACCTTGCCTGGCCTGGCCTGGTAAGCCTGGGATCCATGAGAGAGATGATGAGATGGGGGGTCTCGACAGTACGCGCACTGTGATGAGCCACTCGCCAGATGTACCCATGGAAGGCGCAAATTGGTGGGGTCTTCAGCGCTGTTCACTTACTGCCCGCCTGGACAGAAGCCCACAGTGGATCGTCATCCCCTGAGATGCCCTTGAAGCGTGAGATTGAATGCATATCAAGATATACAACATCATCATAAGTATATAATGCTATGATACCTCTTTCATCCAACAATGAAGCATCAGATGCTTTAATCACTATCTATGCAGTACAGTACTGTGCTTAACATTAGGTTCTGTGCTAGTTAAATGCACTTCTAAATTCTTTAGCTCAATGTGGGGGCCTGTGAAAAAAAAATAACAGTGACGATGAAGGAGGCTGGCCTACTGCGTCTTGATTCCTCTCTACCGCAACTTCACAAGCCACCTCTTTACTTGGCATTGTCAGCCTCTTTGAAGAGGCTGTCTGGATTGGATGTCGATACCGGTGTCTTTCTAGAAGGGTTGTCGAATCGAAACTTAGAAATGTCTGTCGACAGATACTCTTTGGACAAATCAAGTGCTTATCCAGAAAGATCAACGACTGTGGCAGAGACAGCGACAGTGCGAGCAGCAACGTCATCCTTGGGTCCAACGCCTTTTAGCTGAGTGGACCGCATGCCATTGCGCACACCAATTGTGGGAGTTTCCGTATGTTTGTTGTCGTTACCATCCATAGGTAGTCTACTTATGTCTCTAGCTTAGTTCCATGTCAACTCATCAGGAACGTTGTTATCTAGCGAATTTATGTTGTGCATATTACTCTGCATTGAGATCTGGTATTACATGCATTCGAATCAAGTTTTGGTGGACTTTCTATGCAGTGGATGTTACAACTTCAAAGGTTGGGCTGGGCTGCAAATGACTCTCAGTCAGAACCTGACTCGATGGGATGCATGAAACCTACAGTTGACTCAGTGAATCACACACTTGCATTGTTTTGCATTGTAGTAGTAGGTATCCATATTGTATTGTGCATTCTTAGTTGGAGTTGTTATGTATGAACAAGGTAGCTTTGGAGCACAACCTCAAACCCTCTCAGTTTACCTGCACTATTGGGTAGCACTGTTCCAATACTTTTCATTACCCCATCTTGTCTCGATTCATTTTAACAATGCCCAAGGAGTAGGTAGTCTGTAGTCTTGATGCCAATAATAGGAGAGGAATGGTGTCAGAAGAGTCAAGAGAGTCGAGCGAGATTGTTCTTCAGTGAGGCATCCGACAGTCCCGCAAGTTGATTGTCATTACCACCGGAAAATCTTGGCCGTATCGTTTCCAACCTCCGTCTCATCTTGGAGTTTGTCGACTCCATCCATTCTATACTGTACTGTACTGGAGTGAAGGTAATTAATTACTGCATTCTCTTAGCTCTGGCACCCCTTTTTATGACATGTCCGGCTTCAGCTCCCCGGACGATGCTAGTAAAGATACAGTAGAGACTGACGGCGACTGTACGGTCCCGAAGCCATAGCGTTTGTCGTATCGTACTGTGATCACCTAGCACAAAGACTAATCTCATGAACCTATTCCCACTGCTGTGTTCGCGCTCGGACTGCCAATGGATGTCTTTGATTGCTTTTGTCTCGCATCCAACCTGCGTACCGTATAAGTTATCGAATGGGTAGCACTGAGTTCTTTCTACCAGAAGTCGGTGTCGTATCGCTTCCAGGGGTTTGCCAAGGAGATTTACAATGCTTCATTTAGACAGAACATTCATGCGAGATTTGACAGCCAGGAAGCTGGGCAGATTTACATGTAATTCACCATCGTCAAAGCCACGTGCATAGATCCAGCTGCGGCTCTTTTGTTTTTAGACCATGACAAGCCTTTCTGGGGCTTTTCTTTTTGGCACCGACTTTTATAATTAGCATCCATGATATTGCATTGCACTGACACTTTGACCATCTCAACGTCTTCAACGCTGACGTGGTATCCAAGCCACCTGACCTATCTTTACTGCAGACCAGATAAAGCCAAGAGAGAGAGAGCAATTTTGGCTTTCTTGTTTTAATTGTAATGATCAAAGAAGATTTCGTACACCGCGGTACATGTCAGCGGCCCGTCGGACGGGAAGCCAATCAATGGATGTAGTGGAGTACAAAGAGTACAGTGTGAGATTCAGTCGCTCGACTAGCAATAAACTTTGGTAGAAGAACATAAGAAAAAGGAAATATGAAATGCCGTGTCCAAGTTTATCAACAAACATTGCCTAGGAGACGCCATTTCTCTCAGCTATCTCACCCATCCACCACGTCACTGCATGCATTGTCGCAAGACATACATACATACATACATAATGACTGCAAAGCAACTTCAACTTTATTGCGGCAATGCTGTGTTCGTAATTGAGAAGCCCCTTTTGCTTTTCCAGAACCACTGCCCCTCCTGGTTCGCCGCCTCTTCATGGCCATGACGAAGCCAGGGTCATCCTAACCCGCCCACCTGGGCCGGATATCAGGGGGCCTGCTTGATCTCAGGGGACTCCCCAGTCTTTGGGTCGCCGTTCGTTGACCGTACTGTAAGCCCCGGGATGGGAGACGAGGGTCCCGGGTCCCTGGAAATTGACCACTAATTAGGTAGCTGGAGGGGCTGAGGGGTCAGTCTAGGTACTATGGACGGATACAGTACCTATTGTTATTGTTGTTCTCTCAAACTACAACAACGTACAGTACCTACAGTATTGAGTATCAATCCATGGTGGATCTCTTTCTAATGAGGCTCATGTCCTATGTCGCAGATTTGCCTGGTCCAACAGTTTTGACTGGCAGGTGAAGCATGTCACTTTCATCTTCTCATCTTCTGGACCCTCAATCTCCTTTTCTCTCACTAAATTATCTATACTCGGTTCGTCTTGCCTCGCCTCGCCTCGCTGTTCTTATTTTCATCTGTCAAGCCAAGTTCCAGAAGGCCGACTAGCGCATTCTTTTTCCCAATCCACCTCGCTGGCCGGTGGCCGCTGGCCGGTCCCCTAGAAATAGCATCCATATCAGAAGGGGTCCAGTCGGGTCTTGTTGGATAGTCTATTGAATCCCTGAGAAGCCGAAGAACGCCTAAGCCAAGCGAACATCCCAGCTTAGCCTCATCTCGCCGTCGCTCGCTTGTCAACTCCCAGTCTCCCCCCGGAGATGGCGGCTCATAGATCACGCGGCCTTGCTCTCCACCCCTGGTGAAATAAGATGAAAGAAACTCGTCAAATGCTCTAGAAGCTCCGGCAGACGGATCTGCTCCCCCGGCTCCTGTTGACATGACATGTATTTGCTCACCGATCTACGAACATGCATAGGGATGCTCACGAATCCTTGTGGGCATTACATTATGGATGGATGCACAATCGCTTGAAAGAATAATATTCCCATGGATATTCAGGTCGACACTGGGATGTCCAACCTTTTTGGTTGCCCACCACCCATTTACAAGAGCACGTGTCTCATTAAAGCCTGACTCACAAGAGTAAACACAGTCATGAGACGTCTTTTTGCTACACCCATAGGTTGCAAGTTGGCCCAGCTACGATGTTTTCATGTCTCAAATATCAGAAACCTACAGCAAGAACCGTAAATTGATGTCTTGTTCGCAACCCAACCGACTTGTAAGCTAGACTAGCGGGGGATCGCCATCAGCCGCAGTGACGCCCCATTTCCACTCTTGAGAGCCTTACGGCTCTCTTCCATGATATCGCCACCAAGAACGCTACGTCGGGACAGAACATAACTCGACCATGATTTGATAAAGTGTATGGAGATCAGGCACCAAACACGAGGTCGGATCTCATAGCGCTCGACCTGTCATGAGAATTACCAGTCCATCGGCATCCAACATGCAGGCCTCCGCCCTCGCCTCATGCCCGCAGGGACAGGTACAGCTGTAGCTGCAGCTAGAGCTACAGTAGAGTAGCAGCACGTCTCGGCTGTCTGCAAAGACCTCTCGCCTCTTCTGGGAGACACTGCGGAGCTATTCCCGAGCCTCGCAATGTTGCCCATCCGCTCGGATCCAGCTGACACCGATCCAACCACGAGGGCCACAAGCCACATCCTCAGAATGGGAGCCTCGTAAGTTGCGAGACAAGACAAAACAGTTGTCACCGGTTCACTTAAAACCAGGGGTGAGAACACCCAAATGACGTCTACGAGGTCTTTGCGACAAACACTGTGCAGTGTACTCATTCCTAATGGCTTCTTTGATGTCGCTGGTTTACGGGAAGGACATTTCAGCTGCAGTTGATTGACCAACCAAGACAAAGGGATGATAGCCTTGCTCCGACATCACTTCTTGAATCCCGTGTTAAGAATGCTTTGACACCACCAGAAATCGCTTTCGTAATATGGTTGTCAGCTGCTGAACTTTCAGGCCATGAAGAATGGTTCAACTCGTGCTCTTGTAGATACCTACCAAAGTTTTACGACAAGAGAGGGACACTCAACTCAATTGACGGAGATTTTCCAATCGAATATACATTTAATACAGTCATTTCCTATCTGCAGATTCAGTTTCTCAGTAACACAATGTCAAGTCGGGACCAGCTTCGTCTCTGAAGCAACTTGCGGATCATCTTTACGAGATGCATCCAAGTTAGCTACCCTTGAGTGTGACATTTCATCATCGACATCAGCTTCAACATTATTAATTGAAGAGATGCAGCGGCTCTAAGAATCTTAAAATCGTCTCCGCTATAATTATCAGCATGCGTGATTCTAGTCAGTTCACAACGTGATATTCTTTGTGAGCGCGTCTGGCTGGGAGACTTGTTTCATCAGGACGGGACATTAAAATTTTCCTCTGCCATTAAAATTTCTGCGACTTCATCATTGAAGGAATGGACAATCTGAGACCCTTAGAGTATAAGTATAGTAGGATCGCTGTCACCACTCTCACGACCATCATCATCGCACCTTCAAAGTTGGCATGCAATGATCATAAATCTTGAAAGATATGTATGTATAGTATGCGAAATCACAATAGGATCTAAGTGAAACAACAGCTTCGTAGAAAGGAGTTGATTATCTTTCTGGATGTCCCTCTCCCAGATATCTATTGCATGTACGGATATCAACAGCCTCGTACTACAAATGCTCCAAAGTTAGAGTTGTTAGGTCTGAACAGGCGAGGTATAAGGACTGACGCCAAAATAAAGTAGCCTAAGTACTGCCTAAGCTGTCATAATGTGGCTAAACTATTTCGTCTTGTATGCTCTTTTGGCAGGTAATCCCTCTGATACACTAGCATTACACAATTACTAGACACTGACGCAACTTCATAAACATAGACAACATGGATCTCATCTAAAAAGAAGTTAAGTTTTATCGGAAAGAGCGTGTATTGAATCATGCGAATAAGTTAACTACCTAGGAACACTGTTTTATAAACGATTCGTGCAAGGAACAACACCTGGGAGCTGCACAGGTCAGGGTATCATCCCTGTACCAACATCAAGGATCTTTAAATCTTATCCGGTTGGACATGAAATCCTAATTCATCCTTGAACAAACCGAAAGAAAAAGCAACGAACATTGACAGCCCATCAGCCGAACTCATCCCATGTTGAGACATGTGACAGGTCAATATGTATCACTGTGTATTCACCACAACTAGAAGTCAACGATCCGTTTCTAGAGAAATTCTGTCTGCATGTCTTTTTACAAAGGAATTGGACAATCCAAGCTTCTGTCTCAATATTTCACGTCTTGAAGATAGATGTAGTTGAGTAATGGTTGCATGCAATATGATTGGCCGAAGCGAAGCAGGCAAATACTCGGCTAACAACAGCCATTGCCGCCACAGTTTAGCCACAGCGGGACATGATCATCTCCAGGACGAGCCTTGGTTTCAACTGTTCAATGCCAACAACGATATCCTCGAGCACTTATGATGATGCTCAAGCTTGCTACAAACCGCACAGTTGACGCCTCTGTACCTGGAATGACATCGGTACATGCTATATGATCAACTTGACAATCAACAACTGTTAGGTAAGACAGAGCCAGTGATATGCGGCAAGCCGTTGCTGGCATAACATGAGATGAGCTCGAGTAAGTATCAACACAGCTCCTCAACCACCACCTCTGGAAACTTGGAAGAGGTCTTCCTCGAATGCCCATCTTCATTTCTATCTCTTTTGTTCTTTTCGAGGACTTTGAGGGGGTCAAAACCATGTTTCAGTGGTCGCGATATCCCAAGCCTCTTCTCTCCCACAGCCTTTGGTAGCTCAGCTTCTCGGCCGGATTTACTTCGGATCTGGGAGCTCATTCCAAAGGTGAGGTGCGGGCAAAAAGCTAAAAGCTAAAGCTCCAGTACGTACCACTGAACCTACCCGACAGAGTCAGGTCGCCCTCGCCAGAACCCAGAGCCCAGCCTCTCCAGTGCCTGCCTGAACAAACAGATCTAGCTGAGGTTCATCAGCACCGCACCGCACCGAACCACACCCACTAAATTTCTGCCACTCGATCCTTCGATCCCGCGTTTTTCATCATCAACAACATCAATCGATTATTCGACGTATCCGTTACCGCGTTCGAATCCTTGGTCATTCATCGTCAGATTTTTGTTACTTTTATCTTACGACTTTTTTTAACGCGACTACTTCGACAATGCCTGGCGGAAAGGGAAAATCTTCTGGCGGAAAGAGCTCCGGCGGAAAGACGAGCGGTACTGAGGGCGCCAACAAGAAGCAGCAGAGCCACTCTGCTCGCGCTGGTCTTCAGGTGAGTCTCAATATGAGAGGTGGAGAATGAGCTTGCTTTGTCGACCGATTTGCGCGCATTCCATGTCCCGCATCCCACCTATCTCAAGTTCCACGATATACTCTCGACGCGTCGACTATCTCCGCACGACAAGAAAACCTTTTCAAGACGACAGCGCATCATCCATTTCAACCCAACCGCGCGTTTTGACTGGAGCGACGACTTTGCTACAGCTCACCGATATTCTGGGCGACTTTCGACTTGAACTGGATTCACGATGGGTCAATGCGGGACAAGACGGAAAGCGCAGGCAACGACGACACGGAAAGCAGGACTCATCTGAGATTGTTGATTCTGCCCATAAACTTGCTGACATCATGCTTTCCAGTTCCCTTGCGGTCGTGTTAAGCGTTTCCTCAAGCAGAACACCCAACAGAAGATGCGTGTGGGAGCCAAGGCTGCCGTCTACGTTACTGCCGTTCTCGAGTACCTGACTGCCGAAGTCCTAGAGTTGGCAGGCGTAAGTCTATCCCCGATGAGTTAACACTGTTGCCTAGTGTTCACGCTAACTTTCATGACAGAATGCTGCAAAGGATCTCAAGGTCAAGCGTATTACACCCCGCCACCTTCAGCTTGCTATCCGTGGTGATGAGGAGCTCGACACTCTGATCCGTGCGACAATCGCCTACGGTGGTGTGTTGCCACACATCAACCGCGCTCTGCTGCTCAAGGTTGAGCAGAAGAAGAAGGCCAAGGCGCTTGAGGGTTAAAGAACCGGTCACCTTTCAAAATTTGGTTTTGCTTTTTGCTTCCTTGGGTCTTGTGGTATAACTGGTTTATGGGACGGTAATGCAGAAGTTCGAATTCGACGAGGGCGTCGCGTCGTGAGATGAGCGGACGTCCGCACGACCACAGCTTGGATTAGCTGAAAGGCGCCTACGCTTTGAAAGAGGCACACGACGAGCTCTCGCGTCGGCTCGAGAAGCCGATGCAACGACGAGAGGGTTCTCATTACGACGAAACGCCCTGTGCTATTTTTGCTGCGCGAGCAGTGTACAACAACTGTGTTTTCACCTTTAGTGTCTGGGTACGAGATGCGACACGGGACCGCTGTGCTGATGGACTGGATTAGGTAGACACGGAAATACGAGTTCCTTGTTGAGTCACAGAGAGGATGAATCAAGTTCAGTGTGTTTTCATATCATGTCTGTATACGCAGGTAACTGATAAATGAAGCTATTATCTCCCCTCATGATGCAAAACTGGCAGGGTAACAGAAGAATTGTCCTTTAAGGCTTATGCCACCAAAATAAAGTAGCCTAGGTTCTAGTCTAAGCTATCATAAGATGACCAAACTATTTCGTCTCTTATGCTCACGACGGTCAATTCTTCTGATACCCTGCGGACTGGCTCCAATGCCGCTCCCGAAATAACATGTATTTAAATGCTCCCAATTCACCATTCAAATTCCGCTTGGCTTTCTTCTTTGTAAAAGTCTTCATAACACGGATCCCACCATTTTATGTCTTGCTTTTCATCTGCCTCATCGTCCGGGCCCTGTTCGGTTACCTCCTCTTCTTCATCACTGCTGACTGGAGAGCGTGGTGATGTCGCAAACCAGTCCGCCTGCTGATCCTCATCCGCAACAAGGGTTTCGTCCTCACTGTCGAGATCCTCTGCATCCGTCGTCTTCGGACTGAAACCTGGAATAAGGCCGCAGAGAGGAAGTTTACCAATAGTATAACCGTCATCGTCGGGGTTGGGGATCTTCATGACCATATTTCTTAGGACAACATCATCGAACTCTTGCAGATCTGCCTCGTATCTCTCTGAGCGGCACTGGCTCGGATAATCGCAGTCAATATCGCAGTTGTGGGTGTTGTTGAGCATGCGCTCCAGGCGCTGCTGTGTTATCTCAGTGCGTCTGCTCTTCTCAATCTGCACCTTCATCACACGCCGCTCCCTGCCTTTCAGTTTGAAAAGTTCGCTGTCAGTACGACCTTTCCAGGCTTCAGGGTCAGCTTTGTAGACGGAGTGGAAACGTCGCCAGTCGTTGTGAACGGTCCAATAGTCGTAGTCATGCTTCTTAGCTCGTCGGGAGGCACGGTGCTTGTCAAGCCTGTTATTGCGTTGCCACTCGTCTGAACGAGACAAGCCGATCATCTTGCTGCCGCCGACGGTCTTGGTCTTTGTACATCTCAGACAGCGCCGCGTAACGGCGAGCTTCCATCGTGATCTGCAGAGACTACATTTCCAAAACCAAGAAGGAGGTTTGGCAGCGGGAAGAGTCTCTGGGGGAGCGCCCGTGTAGCTCAACATATTGGGCGGTGGTGTTTTAAGAATTTCGGTGGTGGTTTTCATGGTCGGAAATATAGACATTACTGAAGCTCGAATGAAGAACGGATTAGAAGTTGAAGTGGACGAGGAGTTTATAAATTCGTTATGTTTTGAGGGAGAGCGCACAAATACAGAAGAACAAACGCGAGGTTATTGTTCAGAGGACAAAGTGTGGTCTTCGTGTGAAGAGTAGTTCTTACAAACGATGTGAAAAAGCTGAAAGAACACTTGTTTCCTCGACAAAGCTGCTTTGTAGAGAGTTGAGCTATTCTTTGTTGCGGGCGCGATGGGCGAGGGGGTGGGGTGAAAGCAGATGTGAGCAACGGGATAATTATATATACTCAGGTAACAGGGTGTTTTACAGTTTCCTACACGCATGTAAAGAAAGGCCTCTTAGGAAGCTATCTACATCTTTGTGATGGATGCCTGAAAGAGGTCAACTTTATTGTTGCGGCACTGAAGGCTTAAAAACCCCGTAAGTGAATCGAAATTCATGTATTGATATTGCCCATGGCTGTCTTACATGCCATCCACAATTAGTATCGGTGTGATCAACTGTTGAATGCGTTCGAGAATCTGCTCCCAACAACCTAGGTTAGCATTGCATTGAAGCATTCGGGTATCATAAGAAATGTCTGCTGATAACCTAAGATATGAGATATCTTAGTCGCTTTATGCAAGCTTATGCTCTTATGCTTGCATTTAGATCATGTTATTCTGGCGCCCTAAGGCTTAGAGGACAATGTCTGTGTTACCCGGCACTGACTATAGAATTCGAGGTATTGAGCGCGATAAATTCGAAATATTTCCTATCACTCAGCAAGGGCCAATTATCATATTTAATATCAGGTTTGGCCAATACCTCTCACCGGGCCACGATTCAGCACAATATTCGGCACGGTGGCTGGACGGTCCCTGTCTGTAAAGCTTAAACGAACAACGTTGCAGTCTTGAATACTGGGTTTCTCTAAATAGTAGACGTAAGATATGTATGGATATATTATTATACACCGCGGTAGTCCTTGTATTAGTGTATTACAGCGGTGTTGTTTGCTTTAGGTATGGTACTCCATCCATCGGGACACCATTACCCCTGAATCCTCGACATGACACTCGATGGTATCTCGATTGACAGTGACTCTAAACGCTTTCAATCTGGTCTCCTTCATTTTTAACGCCTAGAAGACTCTCCTACCGAGATTAAAGGCGGCAGTCTCAAGTGTGACCCAGCTTGTCATCTGGCACTGCCAGGCGGCCGTCAAGCACCAGCTACCAACCGCCAACTTGCTGATCCTCTATGAACTGCCAATGCATCTCCCTGCGCAACAACGCAGGTCAATCTGGTGGCCTGGTGGATAAGAAGCCATACCGGACACGCAATGCCTACGGGTACGCGATCCAGGATATCTGCTATAGAGTCTCTCCGTAGGGGGGGCATTGAACAGCATCGCGACCATGGCAAACGTCCACCACAAGCCAGGCTGGTCTGCAATCGGGCCCTATTTTTTGCAGTAGTTTTTCTCTTATACAATATGTTCGACTCGAACTTTCTTGGAAGGAAAAGAGCGTGGTTTGGGCTTCTTCGAACCTGTGACGTTGGCAACAATGGTTGAGCACATGTACCTCAAGTTTTTGGTGTCTTGGGGAAAAGATGGATTTTAGATGAAATTTCGCATGACTAACCGACAAAAATATTCAGAATAACAGTGTCAGTCTATTCTTTCTATCTGTCTTCTTTGATGATTCCATAGCCTCAGCAGCAAACTTTATTTACCATCTTTAAGTTATCGTCTTGAATGAAGTGTTATCCACCTACTCTGGATCCAGAATCTTCAGCAATCTAAGCTTAAAGTCTCTCTATCCTGGAGACTACAACGCGCGATTGTGAAAGCTCATCGACGCACAAGGAACAGTAAAGAAGCAACTGGGATAAGTCCGCAGTAGAATGCCGCTACTGTGGCTGGAGTCCCCTCAAAGGTCCTTAACATTCATGTATCGATATGACGATATATCCCCACCTGTTGCTCTGCCTAAGCCTCCACTGATATGATCATATGGAGTCTCAATCTAATCACTTGGCCAAATAACCTCAAGAGATCGGACTCATTCCCAATCAACATCTGATATTGGAGTTCGGCCAGCATGAATCTTTCTTCCCCACTCCAAAGTCTAATTTTTGGTCAAACCATGAGCTTCTTGTTCCAGTGAGATGACCTTCAAAGTCATATGATAATACAAGCTACACTTCGAAAGCACCAAGTGTTCAACTTACAGATGATGCTAGATTCGACTACCAGTTCCTTCTGGTTCCAGTACTATTCGTAATCGCAATTGAGACTGTAAGATTGGTGTTTTATGCGGCGTTTCCGTTTAAAAACTGCAGCCACTTCGCCTTTGACCTTACCCCGGTCCCTTTGAGCTTGATGGTCAAATGCTGCGAGCTGCAATCCCCATGTCGGAAAGTATAACTTCAAAATCATAAATTCTGCAGGCGAATTCGAAGGTTTATTGACAAGAGAGAGTAGGATTTAGACATGTGACTTCTGACTATAAATGAAGCGCTCTCTCCCAGACTGATTCCTTTCCCTTTCCTTCTCCTCAGCACATAAGACTCGGGTACATACAACAATATCATTGCATCTTCCTTTAATCTCTTTTACATCTAGTCAAGTTTCTTTTTTCCATCTTGACAAATTAATTATTTCAGATACATATCCCTTCAACATAGACAAGCGTGCGTTTGTATATACGTGCCTGTCAAGACCGTCGAAATGGCGCCTAGCATGACGAAAGGATCTGGGCTCTAGCTCAGGTCTCATCGGTACATACAACGCAGGGCTTGGGACTCGTGAGGGATATAATCTATTCTCACCGAGTTGTATGAGTCAAACAACACCTTATCAACCTCGGCATACAACACGGTTTATACAGCAGCAACAAGCCGCTTTAGGAGTCATCTATCGCCGTTTTCCCGACCATTTCCTGGGATGCAACCCTCACACATCCCACAATGTCGACTATTTACTGCTGTATATATCCAGGGAGAGTCGTTGTCTTTGCCGAGTAAGCTCACTTTCGGCCCGGCTTTCAAGACACGACCTCATTCGATCCATTTATCCGCCAACATCCACATACCTCAGGACCGAAAAAAAGAAAAAGGACCTCAAGAAAGGTCCGATCCGAAAAAGAAGAAGAAGAAGAAGAAGAAAAGGGACAACAAAGATCTGTTCTAGAACAAGGTGGTCCTATCTTGCAACCCCTGAAAGGGACGTCTTGGTCAAACCCTTTACCGGCTCCCATTTCATGATACAAAATATCTCTTACGACAAACTACCGTGGTGTCATGCCTTTCCCATATCCACGACTTCTTGTTCCAGAAACGGGACGAATTTGCCTCTAGGGCTTGAAGGACTTTTTTGTTTGCATCTGAGGATGTCTTGTACCTTCCAGTCCCAACGGCGAGGTGGTTTCGCCTTTATTTTTCAGCACTGCCACTCTGACCACCTATGTTCCGTGGCACTATTGATTGATGATGGAACCATCCATCTCGGGACTCTGTTCAACACCGATCTCAGTGTCCTAAAACAAACCTTTCAGTGTCTGCGATCAGACTAGGGTCTTGGGACCCCAAGTAAGTGGGATTACTTTCTCCAAAGTGAACCACAAGCACTGCTGCCCAAGCATCTCCAGGTCGATCGGTTGCTAGTTAGAAGCTGGCGACTGCTACACTAAGTCTACAAGGTCCTATGGGACCTTGTCGAATCACTCACTCGAGACGATTCGCTCTCGAGGCACATCTGCCTTTTTAGAGCTCCGACTCAAGATGTTTTCTTCTTGATGTCGTTAGATGGGATAGCGCACCCACTCACACTTACACACTCACACATTCACACTCA